AAAATTTACCGGGAGCACCGGTAAATTTTTATATTCAATTTTTATCAAAAACAGAAGTGTTTTAGGGACTAATTTTTTAGTGCTTATAACACATCCACAGGGGCACCAAATATATCAAAATTGTAAAGATTCACTATCCACCCAATTTTCAAAATTTCCCAAAACTTTGTGCTACCTTTAAACTTCGCTCTGACCTCTCTTTCCATCATATGAGTGCGGAGTTGATCTCTATTGAAACTATTTCCCGTCTTCCTGGAGAGAAAAAAAAATGACGTAATCTGTGTCGTATATAGACCTCCAAATAATGACAAGAAAGTCTTTTTTGATGATTTTGATAACCTCCTTCACAAACTAAATGTAGAAAATAAAAATATATGTTTCATGGGGGACTTCAACATTGACTTGCTCTGTGACAACGATATTACTGCTGATTTAAATACAATGTGAAATGTTCATGCTATGTTTTTCTACAATTACAAAACCAACAAGAATAGATATGAATACTAGTAGGGCCTACTTTATTGATTATAATATTTACCCATGCTTCTGATAATAACATTGAAGCAGGGATCATTTATTCTGAATTTCAGGTCACCTACCCATTTTTTTGCTCTTTTCCAATTTTATTAAAACTCAAACTAAAATGAAAAACGGCTGAAGCTCGTAAACTTACAGAGGATCATATTGGCAAATTCAAAACTGTTTTGATGTCTTAAATTGCAATGAAATTGATATTGCATATCAGACATGTTTAGAGACGTTAACAAATATTTTAAATATGAATAGGCCTATACCAAAAGTCCAATTTAAATCTCGCAGAAATTTACCAAATATCCTTGGATTACAAGAGGAATTTTTAAATCTATTAAACAAAGAAATAAGCTATAAACAAAAAAGCTAACATCGTATTATTATTTATTCATTCATTTATTGCAACCATGAGTTAGATTTCATACAATTAAAAGGCAGGCATAAAAATGGTTCACAATCTAGTTATATATATATATATATATAAATACTTTTTACAATAAAACTGTATAAATTGACACTTTAAATACATAGATATGAAGAAGAAGAAAAAACAAACATTCAAGAGCAATCGCATTTAAATATACTTTTAAGGTACATGGGACTTCACAGGACCAATAATCACTGACATCAACGTATTGTTCAGAACAATTAAAATTGAGGAAGATTTTGAAAGAAAGAGAGAGACAATAAACCCAAATTGAATGTTGGTATAATGCATTATTCGTAAAAATATATCCAGTCAAATGCAATTGATATCAAATTTGTTACATTCTAAATCATTTTAAAATTCATATAATAAACAAGTGTGTAATTTATAATAAAACGTCTACACGGCACTTCAATTCAATAAAAAATTGGCAATAATTATTAATAATTAAATTGAATACCCTATACAAAGCTTGAATACAAGTACCCCCAGGTTTGATACTAATTAATCGGTGTCGTATGGAAAGAAGCAGGAATATAGGCAATATAGAAATTAGTTAACACATATTATTCGTATATCAAATAGAACGTATTATACCAAACTGTTTGAAGAGGCAATTGATTGTTCCTCCAAGTGGAAGATAAATGTTATTCTGAAAAGGGGGAATGCCCGGCCCCCCCCCCCCCCACTCAGTGTTATTTAGGGTACGCATATGCGTGTTCCAACCGACCCCCCCCCCCTTCAGCAAAAGTCCGGTGTGTAAAATCAATACGGCTCGACCTTTTTCTTTTGTATACGAGCCTTTTTCAGCACCCCCCCCCCCCCCTTTCAGCAAAAGTCCGGTGTGTAAAGTCAATACGGGTCGACCTTTTTCTTTTGTAACGAAAAGGACATTTTGGCAACACGCATGGGGTCCGTCCGTTCTCGGAGTGGGGGGGGGGGAATGTTTCTCATTCAACTGTGTTTAGGCACGATGGTATCACTGTTGAGGACCCACATGACATTGCAAATGTTTTGATAATTATTTTTCAAACATAGGTGTTGAACAGGCTTCGAAAATCAAAGGATGTAGCAATAGTTTTCGTGATTCTCTTTTTGATTCCTTTGTAAATAGTTTTGCTTTAACCCTACATATCCAGTTGAGGTTTAATGAGGATTGTTGCATCACTCAAGTTCAGTCATTCAACTGGACAAGGTGAGATGAATACACATTTGCTGAAAAATATAATTGGAAGTATAATTAAGCCCCTCGTTTACATAATCAACTTGTCATTGTTTTCTGGTAGTTTTCCTTCAATTATGAACATTTCGAAAGTAATACCCATCTATAAGAAGGACGATGTTAGCTCATTCAGTAATTATCGGCCTATCTCAATAGTTTTATATTTTCCTAAAATATTAGAACGACTGGTTTATGATAGATTTTTGACTGACAACAGTTTACTTAGTAATGATCAGTATGGATTTAGGAAATTTCATTCAACGGAATTCGCTATTATAAAATTATATGATAGGGTATCATCTGCCTTAGCCAAACACGAGCATGTTATACTTTTCATGGATTTAAGTAAGGCATTTGATACCCTCGATCATGACATACTTCTACACAAGCTTTACCATTACGGGATACGAGGTGTACCTTTAAATTGGTTTCGTAGTTACCTTTCTTGTAGAAGTCAATATACAATATTTAATAATGCCAAATCGACCATGTAATCAGTTACGTATGTTGTGCCCCAGGGCTCTATTTTAGGTCCGCTTCTATTTTTGATTTATGCTAATGATATCTCTAATGTCTCGTCCTTACTACATATTATTTGCTGATGACGCTAATATTATAAAATTATCTAACTGTTTAAGTGCAATATATTATCGTTGAATTTGGGTAAAAATAACTTCATCCACTTTAAAACACGTGCTCATACTGAACAAACTAATGCCCATTAAACATACATGTAGATAGCATCTCCATTCAACAAATGAAAAATCCCGAATTCCTAAGCATTTATATTGATGAGTGCCTGTCTTGGCACGAACACGTACGTGATCTGTCTGGAGTTTTGTCTCGTTATATTATTGGTGTTATGTACAAGTTAAAGCCTTTTGTTCCACTTTGTATTTTGTTCATTATTTACAATTCTTTCATTCATTCACGTATTTCTTATATGAGCCATTAATAGATTAATCAATTTTAATAGATTTTTCGATTTTGAAATGATTTGTTTTTTGAATGGTACAATTTCTCAATTGATTTTTTTAATGATATAATGAGAAATGTATCTTAACTTTTGTTTATAATATATATGTACCTCGTTTATATATTTCGTTTTATTACGTTGAAAAATGCAGAAATACAATCAAACAAACTTCGGTGTATTGATTTTTTGTTAATGTTATTTATTGGTATATAATGATCGACCAGCAGCACAAAGCTAAAAGGATCAATTTACCAAAAAATACAGTGATGTATATAATTAAATACATGTACAATAGTATAAACATATAGTAAATAAATCAGTAACATAATGAAAATACCAAATAATTGTATTTCGTTCGTGTATATACATTATGTACTAGCAGGATATATAAAAGAGCAGGGGAAGGTATATATAGCTCATGAAAGCGAGAGTGATAGAGCGAATAAGGTAGAAAGAGAGAGGATGAGAGAAAAGGGGAGGTATATTGAGAGAAAGGAAGAGAGAGAGAGAGAGCTAGAGAGAGACAGAGAGTTTGAGAGAAAGCAGAAAATGAAATGAACATAAGTAGACAATCATATTATTCCTAATTAAAAAAAACTACATATTGCCTGAATAAACAACCTGTAATGCATGTATTACATGTAATACATTAATTATGCAAATTAAGAAAAGTCAAAATTCGGCAAGACAATAATAATCATCATACAATAAATGCAAGAAGAGAGAACATGTAAGGTTAAAAGAAAGGGGAAAGAAGGAGAGAAAGAGAGAAAGAAACAGAGAAACAGAGAGAGAGGAAAGAGGGAGAGGGAGAGAGAGAGAGAGAGAGGGAAAAACTACGAGTAAATAGAACGATAACTGTAATACAAAGAAAATAATATACATAGACCATAGGATCAAGGCATGCAGGTTGAAATAGTGACATTGATTTATTTATTGACTCAAAAATTTCGATTTTAGTCAACGCCCGGTTGCCGCACTCCTCAACGTTATGATGTCATGAGTGTGTCGTATTCGTCATGCATATTATCATTATTTATCATTGTTTTATTTGGCAAATCAAGTCACATAAATACAACATTATAATAAACATGAATTGAGACAGAATCAAAAGAAATCATATATAAATATTGCAGCGGCAGGTGCATCCGGTCGAGTTGCCCGGGTAAGGAAAAAGTTAACCAAATAACTGTGATCCACAGCTAGACCTTTCCTCCCCACACCCGACCAGACGCACCTGACATTGATTGAAACAAAGCTATAAAATTTCCCGCGCGCGCGCCACTTTGAATGAGCTCAAATCACGTGCCGGTACTGCTGGCTACAGTTACATTTATTTACCTGTATATCGTTATTGCCCGTGAAACCGATATTCATTGAATCACCCTATACTAGCACTCCTTTAAGGGGGTAACCATTGGGCTTAGCGTTAGTTAAGAGGGGTGTGCGCATGAGGGTTTCACAGACCACTAACGTTCAAAAGTAGACTACATAACGAAAGTAAATAGGTAGAGAGAGAGAGAGAGAGAGAGAGGGAGAGAGATAGAGAGAGAGAGAGAGAGAGAGAGAGGGGGGGGGGGGGGAGAGAGAGAGAGAGGAGAGGGGTAGGGGAGGGAGGGAGGAAAGGAGAGAGAGCGGTTTCGTTTTTTCTTTAAAAACTATTCATGCTATTGCTATACACAACATTCTAACTTGTTACAGAAATGTAGTCTACAGAATATACTGTATGCGGTGTATGGTAGACCTGCTTTGCCAATCCACCTTTTCCCGTTATATTCATGATATTCCATATATACCCCCCCCCCCTCCTCCTCCCCCCCCCCCCCTCCTCCTCCCCCCCCCCCCATAAAAGTGTGCTCTAATGTTAAATGGAACCCAATTTAACTCAAAAAATAACGACGATTTCAATCTGGAAAGCACTTGGTGCATATGTTTTTCTTTATTTATGATGCATAAACTTGAGAATTTATTTGCTTGGAAGTGGCCAAAATTTAAAAATATTTACATAATTATCATTGATCGAAAACTGGAACAACATGGACGGGCTTTCACACAAGTTGGATACTGAAGTGCTGTCAACTATACTACATAAATGATGACTGGGTCGAGTGACGTCACAGATACGTCATCATCCTCTGAAGACGGAAGAATGGTCACCGTCGAAGAAGCATTTTCTCCCAGAATGCTCTGTACTCCTCAGGTCAGGTATCTCTTCCGGGTAGAGAATGTTGTACCTGTAAATGACAGAATAAACAACTTATCACAATCTTCATCATCATCTTCACCATCCCCACCATCATTATCATCATTACTTGAATAGATGTTGTTGTTTTTATTGTGGTTTTTTAGTAGAAGTAGTAGTAGTAGTAAAGTAGTAGTAGTAGTAGAAGGAGAAGAAGAAGAGGTAGTGGTAATACCTGTATTATTAGGAGTAGTATCAGTATTATTATTATTAGTAGTAGAAGTAGTAGTAGTAGTAGTAGTAGTAGTAGTAGTAGTAGAAGTAGTAGTAGTAGTAGTAGTAGGAGGAGAAGAAGAAGAGGTAGTGGTACTACCTGTATTATTAGGAGTAGTATCAGTATTATTATTAGTAGTAGTAGTAGAAGTAGTAGTAGTAGTAGTAGTAGTAGTAGTATTAGTAGAATCAGTAAAGTAGTAGTGGTGATGGTGGTAGTAGTAGTAGTAGTAGTAGTAGTAGTAGTAGTAGTAATAGTAGTAGTAGTAGTATAATAATTAGTAGTAGTATAGTAGTAGTAGTAGTCGTCGTCGTAATAGTAGTAGTAGTAGTAGCAGTAGTAGTAGTAGTAGTTGTTGTAGTAGTAGTAGTAGTAGTAGTAGTAGTAGTAGTAGTAGTTGTAGTAGTTGTAGTAGTCGTCGTCGTAATAGTAGTGGTAGTAGTAGTATTAGTAGTAGTAGTAGTAGTAGTAGTAGTTGTTGTAGTAGTAGGAAGGAAGTCCAGGGTGCAGACAGTGGCGGATCCAGGGGGGGGGGGTGTAAATTTTCAAATTTACGAGGGCCGAAAAAAAAAAATGTAATCACGTAATCAGTTAATGTGACGTCCTTTTAAGGCACTGCCGGACACGGCCCAGTGCCTTAACACAATGTCACACGCGGCAGTCCACGCTCTTGTCGTGTAAATCGAAAAGTCCCTATTGATTTTTGTTATTCGACGACTATAAGCGTTAAGCCGAGTGATGGCGCGATCCCTTTTCCGCACCGGTTCTCGGGATCGCGCTATCACTCGGCTTCACGCTTATAGTCGGCGACTAAAAAAGATCAATGCAAAGGGGCCAGAATTAGACTGTGGATGGTGGTGAAGGAAGGAATATTGTAAAGAATCTTTGAACTAATGCCAATATCAGATTTATTGTGGGATAGGCTCCTGGTTGGACGAGTAACACGGTGAAGCCTGTCTCGAACTGGGACGGAGAGGGTGCCCTTCATAAGCTTCGAAGAAGGTAGTTAGTCTAGCAATCATTCTCCATTTAGCTAGGCCCCGTTGCACAAAAATTACCATTAATGGTAGCTTTGCCACCAGTGATAACTACCATGGAAACCTTGATATTGATTGGCTGTTGAGTCATGTACCATATAGTAGTTGCAATTGATGGCAAAGTTACCACCAATCGTAATTTTTGTGCAACGGGGTCCATGTGTGCTCCAACCAAGATCTTTCAACATGAAAATAACACTATTGCCTGCCATAGTCATTCTTGACAAATCTGACTCACTTCGTTTCACTGCCTGAATTCAGGAAATAAGGTCCTTGGCAGGAGAATACCAGACTAGTGAACAATATTACAATGATGGTCTGATAATCAAACTATATTCCAAAGATTTGATATCTTCTGTCACTTGTTCAAGTTACGTTTGTCAACGCCTGAAGTTCTGGAACCCCCCCCCCCCTCCCCCCCCCCCCCCTCTCAAAAAATGAAATGGAAGCTCTTATTGAGAATCATGTGAAAGAATATGTTTCGACTAATACGTGATCATACAAATTTTGCCGAGAAACCACCTTCTAATTGATATATTTGGTACATTATTATATCTATTTGATAGATATAACGCACGTGTCGCGCATGTGTCGCGTAGTCCCATATACATCTTTCTGTGTACAGTGCTTGCAACTTTACCAAGACTGGGCCAAATTTCTTATCATTTTGATGATTCCAGAACCTTGCAGTACACCAATACGTATATGCCAGATGATCAACCTTTTCTGATCGATTCCACAACGTTTCTTTCATAATGCAATCGCATGACCATAACTGGTCTTTATCTTTAAGTTTAGGTGTTATTATGGTCAACATGTTTATTCCATTACAACATTTTACGAAGCTTTACTGTACGCACATTATCTACTCCCTTGGGAACATTCTAACCAGGCGCCATTTTACAGACGCTCGCAATGCAACTCTACTCCTGTATTATATGTGATACAGTTTCAGTACTAGTGATTGCAGTACCGTTAAGTTTATATCAATGTAATTTAATAATAATAATAATAATAATAATAATAATAATCTGCGTTTATATAGCGCTTAATAATTCGAAGATGTCTCTAAGCGACAAAAGATTTATAAAGACTAAATTTCATCTGCTAAGTTTTTTTCCCATACCAAGATTAATTGGTCAATATCTTTTTTAAGGATTTCAGCATCCCTATCTGTCATAATAGATCTGGGGGTTGTTTTACCAAGATCCCAAGTTGAACTTAATGCTAAGTTGGACTTAAAAATTATTGAGAGCCATTTGTAGCCTTAAAATTAAATATATTCAAAAGTAAATATTCAAGTATAATAGACTTTTCCTAAATTCCCCAATCCCCAATCAAGAACATGAAATCTCCTTGATAATAGAAAATATGAATGATTTGAATCAACATTTAATGCCTTTGAAAATATCTTTTACAAAATATTTTCAAAGATGCTAACGGCTTTCCATAATTGTAAAGTCCAACTTAAGATAAGTTCAACTTAGGATCTTTGTGAAACATCCCCCTGTATATTACACAGTACTTAGCATGGTTTCTTACCTCTTACGGGCTTCGGTCTTGTACCTAAGGCCGAGTCGATGAGGAGTCCTGGTACCAGAGGGCGTGAGGCATTCCGACAGAGGGGCAGGAGGCAATACCAGTGGGGTGGCAAGGTTGCCTTTCCTGATCATGATCCGCTTAGCAATCTCGTCCTGCCGCTTCCGAACAAGGTCCGAGTAGGGCCGAAGTCCTGGTAACGAGCCGAGCACACCCGAATGCTTCATCGGCAGCATTCGGTAGTCCGGTGGTATTATGAAGGGCTGGTTCTGTTGCATGGGATGGAGCTGTGGGGTGACGCCCCCCGAGTGCAAGGGTCCTTCGCCTCCGCTGGGGAAATGGACAGTGTCTCCTGCAAGGCGGGGGCTCCCTCTATCTGATGTAGGATGAAGACTTGCTAAGGCGGGCGAACCCGACTTCAGCGACGATGGTAGAGGAACCGTCGCGACTGATGATGCCTTTAGGCCAAGAGGCGGTCGAGGAACAAATGCGATATGTTCTCCAATTTTTGAAGACGACAACATCTTCTTCAATGGATCGATGCGACCTTTTGATGTACATTTCCCAGCAGGAAGGTTGGTGATATCCCTCCTCTCGAGGAGCTGCGACCCACGGATATTTTCAATGACCAACGAGGTACTCGGTGGCCAGCATGGACCGGTACCTTGCAAGGCCGGGGAGGCACCAACAGTGCTGCTGTTACCACTTTGCTCCGAGTCTTCACCACCCCTTGCAGAATCTCGGCTGTCCAGAATCTGCACCTGTGGCGTTTCGTTAAAGCTGACGCTGCGTTTGGCCCTAAGAGATTGGGACTTGGATGACTTCGGTAGAATGGTATTGGCCGACTTACTACCGTCGGAAACAAGGATGCTTCGCAACTCTGACGATTCGCCCTGAGAAGCAATCTCCTCCACTTCCTCTTCGTTCTCCTCGTCATTTTCATTCGTTCCCACTGGATCCCTCTCTCCTTCATCCTCTTCTTGTTCGTCCTTCTCCTCTTCGTCAGTACTCCCCTTCCCCGCTTCGTCCCGGTACCTACCTATCAACCCGTCTCCCTCTTCCCTCACCATCTTCACTTCATCCTCTTGTTTCATTGGCAACGAGATACTGCCTAGCACTGAGTCGACAGGAGCAGCTGTATATTGTTGCTGATGAGACATTGAGGTGTCTTGGAAGTGGTCCTTGTAGGTTTGCTGGTAAAGCGAGGTGTGGTATAGATTATGATGCAACCTCCGGAGTGCATCATCATAAGAATTAGTGGTATTCGTCTGTAAGGGAAAGATACAAATGCATAGGATAAGTATCACTAAATTAAGATCATGGTCACCAACTACTGAATCTCTGAACAAACTTCCCGAAGTCCTGGTTACAAACAAGGAGGAGAGTCCTTTACAAAATATACCTGTACTTATTTTTGGCAATCCCTAATAATAATACAAATAAAATAAGTAAATTCTTTTTTCCAGATGTTCATAGAAATAAAAGTAAATCTATGAAAAGGGAATGAATGAATGAATGAATTTATAAGTAGAAAATGAAACAAAAAAAACCAGATAAATTAATAGATGAACAAACTGTTTCTAGTGAACTTACATGATGCAAACGATTTATTTTGCTAATTAAGCGGTAAAGTGAACAGAACATTATTTGTCTGCGGTACGATTGTTGAGCAGGCAAATGTTGTTTGTATCGTTAATGAATGCATATTTATGTTGGGTCCAGGGCCGTGTCCCGATGGAATGTAATTTGCATAGACAGCTCGAACCAGGGCGTGGCATCAATTAGTGTGTAATTGAATCATTCTAGCTCGATCTGTCGACGAGACAACTTTTATTTACAATAAAAGTACGTTGTGTCATGTTATGTTACGACATGACTGTGTTTTATTAAGGTTTTCCAGATTTTGTATGCTCGTTGAGTTTTACATCTGTTTTTTTTTATCCTGGACCATGGTCGGTCCGGTTTCCAGTGAAGGAAACGGTTTCCAGTGAGGGAAACAAGAAGAAATGTTTGTTAAACATTCATACTGAATAAACGACCGGCTCTCAGTAGTCGTTGTCAGGCTATCCCACAATAATTGAAGTGTATTATTGTGTTATTTGTTTGTATTGGGAGTCAAGAGGGATGACAGACGAAATAATATGTGAAGTTATAGGACAGACTGAATTTTTTTTTTTACTTACCAAGTAAGATGCCCGGCCATCAGACTTCGATTCTGTTCAGAAAAAGAATAAAAACCAAGAATGTTAATATAACATTATAAACAAAGGATATGATGATGACGACGACGATGACCATTTCGATGATGATGGTTTCGTGTCTGCGATCCTGAATTAAGTAAGTATAGTAGTGATGGTGGTGTTAAAGGCGACGGCTGTGATAGTGATGGCGGAGATGGTGATGATGATCACGATAATAAATGTAACACCAGGGTAGAGAGTAGCAATTGTAAATAAATGCCTTGCAAAGGACATGAATGTGGGGCGGGACTCGAATTTCGTTTATGTTGAAATACAAACTAGAAGTAGAGGAAAATAAAACTAAGACAACAGATTTGAATATTACTAAGTGGAAGAGGATAATAACTGATTTGCAATCTGCTCTCAAGTAACTAGAGATATGTAATTTGATATGATCTCAAGTAAATATGAGATAAAGTGCTTTGTTATGAATATTTATATACGATTTTATCCGTGATGTTATCTGAATAAAAAAACAAAAACAAAAAAAAAAAAACATTGTGATCCACAGTCCGACGATGCATCAGCTATTATCATCTGATTTGTTTGGTGATAGCCTGGGGAGTCCCATCATAGGCCTAGAATGAGGGGGAAGGGTGGAAAAACCAGGGGCACTTTTCCATAATAATTTAGAAAATACATATTCATCTATTATAAAAGAGGCAAGATCGAGACTGTCTATCAAATGCACTTCTGACATGGTGGTATACAATAAATATTTAAAAGATGGAATTAAATACCAACCTATTTCAGGATTAGGTTTCACCTCCGGGAAAACTTCAAAGATTGAGCGATGTGAATAGTACGGATGGTTCCCAGGCCATTCTGCACGCTGAAGGGGAAAGCTACAAGAAGATCATCAAGAAAGCAATGAGATGGTGATTAGAAATCTGATATTATCGAGGGGTAATAATGATATCGTCCGCTTCATGCGAAATTCTATTATGTATAATACAATGAAACACTACACTGGGACGAAGTCATGTAGAACAAAAGGAAATATTAAATCACGGCAGAGTACCGGTCATGAAACTAATTTGAAACATAAATTATCCTTCAGTAAAATGAACTTTAAAAAAACCTACTTTTAAGTACCTATTTTTCCCAATATCACTTTCCTTCAATGCTTGTTTTTTTTTTTTCTCCATATTTTTCCCTCCACAGGGATTTTATTGATTTTCATTTGAAACACATACAAAAATATATTTCCAAGGTAATTTACATTTATAACATAAATGAAATTGGCTTTTATAAATACAAGTATTGTTGAACTGTTGAGAAAACTAACAAATCAATAATTCATTTCTGACACTCATGGAAAGAAAAACAAATACAGAAAAAATATAATTTTAAGTAAACAAATTCCTGAATTGTAACCATTTTCTTGTGAATTTATTATTTCTACAATTCGAATTTGCAATATACTTTTCGTTTTTGAAGTAATTTATAATCGAAACTCTAATGTTATCAAAGTCGGGCAATTGTTTCTTTATTTTGGAAGTATACACCATCTGTCGCACCACAATCAGTATACAATTCAATGCATAATTATTTGAACCTTTTAAACCAAATAATTTATCTTGTAATGAAAATGTTAATTTATTTCCGGTTCTAGTATTAATCCAGTGTTCTAACCTACCCCAAATATTTTTAACATGCGTACAATCACATAGGAGATGTATAACTGTTTCAATCTGTTCATTACAAAATGTACATTCTTTTCTTGGGACTAAATTCATTTTAAACAGTAGATCGTTTGTATATAATATGCGTTGCATGACTTTAAACTGAAACCATCGTAAGCCCACATCAATGGTACAATTAAATCCAATAGAACAATATGTTTCCCAACTCTTATCATTCAGGTCGAAAATGCATTTCCATTTAAGAAAACTTTTACATAGTCCTTTCCTTCTCTTTAATGAAATTGCATAAATATGTGAACATCCTTTAATACGTTTCATAACAAATGCCATTGTATCTGGGAAAAGAGGTTGTGGCACCTTGTTAAAAATAGTACAATTGTTAAACCCTTGTCTAATTGCATCGCATAATCCACGATAAAAAAGAAAATTTATTTGAATATTATACTTTTCTTGGAAGTGTTCCAGAGAGAAAAAAATCATCATTTTTGTCTAAAATATCATTGACAAAACGAACTCCCTTTTGACACAATTTTTTATTATATATTGAGCTATATTGCCTATTTTAATGTAGTCATTATTCCATAAGGGCTGGCAAGAAATGTTATCACAATGCATGGACAAGAGCGTACTATAAGCCATGAACATATCTTTCCAAAAAAGGTTTTTTGTTTTACCTGCTAGTTCCCGAAAATAATTGTTTCCCATATATAATTTTAAATCTTGCACTTCAGGCAAGAAAGATTGCAAAAGACAGAGGATATTGCTATCCATTGAGCCAATTACTAATCTCTTAATCCAGGAAATTTTTAATGATTGGCAATGTGTGTATATATTTATCATTTTAACCCCTCCGTCTGAGTAACTTTGTGACATTTGATTTCTACTTATTTTATCAGGTTTCTCCCCCCCATATAAATCTATAAAAGTGAGCATTTATATCTTTCAAAAGATTTTCACCAGGATTAGGGAGGGACAAAAAAAGGTAGTTTAATTTGGATACCAACAATGACTTGACGACAGTGCTTCTTCCAAGAACAGTTAAGTATCGCCTTAACCACGATGTCATTTGACTTTTGATTTCTTTAAATTTTTCATTATAATTGTGAATTATCAATTTGGGCAAATCCGTACAAAAGTCTATACCTAAATATCTGAAATAATCATCAAACACCCAATTTAGATTTCTATTCAAAAGAACACCATCTTTCTTGTTTTTAAATCCTCCAATCCAAATCGCATGTGTCTTCTGTATATTAACTTTTAAACCAGACATTGCATTATATTTATCTAAAATGTTTAATGCACTGTTTAATTCCGTTACTGACCCATTCAATGTTAGAAGAGTATCATCTGCATATTGAATTAATTTAAGTTGTCTACCAGGTAAGCTCAAACCAACAATGGAATCGGAATTTCTAAACAAAAGACCTAGTATTTCGGCGCATAATAGAAAGATAAGATCTGACATGGGATCTCCTTGACGACAACCTCGCTCTATTGAAAATCTTGGAGACAGGTGTCCATTGATTAATACACAGGATTGAGCATTTTCATAGAATACATTAACCCATTTTATAATAGACGGACCAAACTTAAAAAAGTGCAATACTTTTCTAATAAAATCATGAGAAATAGAATCAAATGCTTTTTCAAAATCTATAAGCAGCAATAAACCAGGAATGTCATTGATATCAGTATACAGTAATATATCATATAACAAACGGATATTCTCTCCAATGAAGGGCCCTGACATAAAGCCTTTCTGATTTTCATGTATAAGAAAAGGAAGTACGTTCTTTAATCTGTTTGCTATACAAGCGGAACCTAATTTATACACCACGTTCAATAAAGATATGGGTCTCCAATTTTTCAAATAATGTCTATCTTTTTTTCCTTTGGGAATTAAAGAGATGACTCCTAATTTCTGTGTATAGGACATTCCTGATGAATATGCAGAATTCAAATATCTCACTAAAAATATGTGTAATTCTTTCCAAAAATGTTTGAAAAATTCGACGGTGTATCCATCTAAACCAGGTGATTTATTATTTTTCATATTTATAAGTGCTTGATGAACTTCATCAATGGAGAGTTCTCCTTCGAGCTTCTGTGACATTGAAGCGGTTAATTTACTTATATCAGGATTATTTAATATTGTATTTAAGTCTACATCACCAACAGGATTATTTGCATACAATTTAGAGTAGAATAATACAATTTCTGATATAATATCATCATGCGATGTTATCTCCTTGTTTTCAGTAGTGACCAATTTGCATATACGTTTATTCACAGCATTTCTTTTTTCTAAATTCAAAAAATATTTCGATGGTTTCTCGCCATATTCCATCCATTTAATTTTAGACCTCATCTTTATTCCTTCCATTTTTTCTTTTCTTAATTGATTCTAATTGAACTTTCTTTTCATTTAATATAACTAAAGCTCTATTTTTGTCCGTTTTTGATATCAATGCTTTCTCCAAATCTGTAATTTCTTTCTCTAAATCATATTCTAAATTTATCAATCTTGTTTTCTTTCTGGCTGCGTATGAAATTGTTTCACCTCTAATTATGGTCAACAACGTATCAAAAAATAACTGATCATTTACAGTAAATTCATATTGTGTATCTTGTCCATCTACCTCAAATCTAGGGACTGAATAGGTCTCAATCGTTTGTTGAATGACATCTTTAATTTTTTCCACATAACTATCATCCCTTAACAACGAATTATTGAATTTCCAGTAACCTCGACCTACCCTACAATGATTTAAATTCAAAGATAACTTGACCAGGGAATGATCGGATCTGTACCCAGGTAAAATCTCTATTTTATTAACGAGTGACAGTAGCTCGGTGGAGACCAAAAAATAATCCAATCTAGCCGCCTTAAAGGGAGTAGGTTGACGCCATGTAAACATTTTTTCCAGGACATGTAATTCTCTCCATGGGTCTATCAAATCTAAATCATTCTTCATTTGATCGACTTTTTTCTTGGCATTAGGATTATTAAGACGAATATAATTATATGTATCTTTATCAAAATCTTGAACCAAGTTCCAATCTCCGCATAAAATTGTTAATGAATTATCAAAATCCAAAGCAAGTCTTTCAATATCTGCATAAAAACTGACACTATCGTGATTAGGACCATACAAGGATATTAATGTTATGTCATAGCTATATATCTGTAGGTCTAACGCAACAAAATTCCCTTCTTTTGATCGCTCAATCTTATTTACATTAAATTGCACCCCTTCCCCTAACAAAATAGCAACACCTCTGGCATTTGACGCTTTATGGCTGAAAAAACAACTATCTCCCCAAAATCGTTTTATAGAAACTTCTTCTTCAGCTACAAAATGTGTATCTTGCAAGCAACATATTTGGAACTTTTTTTAACTTAACAAATTCTAAAACATCATTTCTTTTTTCGCGATTTCCCAAACCTCGACAGTTCAAAGAAACGATACTAAAATTAGCCATTGAATATCAAATTTACCGCGGTACTATGAAAATCAAATCCTGTGGAGTTTTTCTTTTGTAACATCAAACAAATAACATTGACTACACTATGCGCTAGTCCACCGACACAACTTATACTGCAACACCTATGACAATTACAGCGATGTCTAGCACAAACGAAACTACAAAACAAAAACACATATGTCTCTGTTAGCGAGACAAGACGCAATACCAAGAAAGCCACAGGTGACCACATATTTGCTGTGGATCCCCGAAACCCCACCAATCCAAATAAGAGGGAAAATGTATCAAACGTTTCTCCCTTGAAAAGAAGGCACACCGGCTTAAATCAAACACAATCCTGCTGATTGTATGATGTCATGTATACACTTAATTATTTTACATATTTACAAATGTGCGACCTCCGATGATTCACACGGGTAACCTAAACACACACTCCCCTTTCACAGAAGAGGTCAAATATAATAAAAAGATCGATGGCTTGACCGTAGTACTTTTGCGGAAACGACTAGCCCTTGATCATAGTCTTAATTTGTATCATACATGTATATACATTGCTATATGATATTTCTTTAACATGGCTTTGGATAACAAGATATAAATATATAAATAAAGATATATCAAATATTAACCTCCGTATTCGGATTTATAATGATTATCAACGTATTTAAAATTATAAAGTGGAACTGCTTCTTAGAATTAAAGAACAAGAAAACTGTATGATCTCTTGCATTTCATAAGTCTCACATCAATATTCTGATATCTTCAAAAAAAGGATTAATCTATGTAGAACACGTTGCTTTCATATGATTAAAACTACTGATTAAATAACGTCTTCTCTTTGAAAGAGACAGCAATTTTTTATTTTAAAAAGAACCAATTTCTCTTCGTACCTTCTTCCCGGAGATACAAGAGAACAAAACATTCAGCTTCGTTCAAGAAGATTTGTCATTTTTCTTATATGCATCCGCAATAACAAGGAAAAAGATCATTAAAACTGCTCTTATATCTATTCTTATTACATGTAAGTCTTTAGCAGATTATGTAATAGACATACACTAGTACTCAACACCAGTTTTTAGGCATCCAGCCAAAAGCAACATCAATAAGTACGAAAGTTGTATAATATAACACGAGCAAACGATAGGTACTTTTTTATGATCTTGATCTATGTCACAGAAATTGCTGATTGTTTTACTTTACGCTGATATATTGATTACATTTTAAAATCAAAGATATATCAAATTTAAACACCCATATTCAGATTTGCAATACTTGTTACCTTATTTGAAATTTTACAGTATTACTGTTGCTTCACAGCATGAAAGAGAAATAAATTTATATGATCTCATATCTTTCCAAAATATCTATATATCATCACTAACAACAAGAATAGTGATGTATCGATATACATCGCCTTTTCTACGAAAGAACCAATTCAATGAATTAAATGAATAAAGTCAGTTCTTTCAGCACTGACGAACAAGCAATTCTGTATTTACTTTTAAAATGAAAAATAAAAATCCAGAGAATTCAAATTCTTGACTGTCATTTTGTATAGTATTCTCAAATAAGGACAAGGTATTATTCATTTCCCCAGTGTCGTGGGTGATTGACATTAAATGCTAAGTCGTCCTATAAGATTCAATTGAAGGTTACCGCCTCACAAGTCATAGGTACTCGAAATCCCGTTCATATTTATAACAGGAAACAAACAAAAAAACGCACAAAACCGATTCAGTGTACACATCATTAATATTTACTTCTTATGTACTCGTCTCCAGGTATTTCGAGCTGGCATACATTATGTAGAACAAATAGACACCTGTCTATTTTCTTTTTTGAGGAAGACTTTTTCCGATTTATTTTCTCCGAAGGCAAAAACAAACAAAAAAAAAAACAAACAAAAATCGATCCTTAGCCTCCTAGCATTATGGCTCATGTAAGTCCTCATTTCAGGACAGTTTCGTTAATCTTACAAAGTCGAAATGTAAGGTGTTTTCGTTCCTTCAGTAAATTCTGTTTGAAATACTTGTTGATGTGTTTGTAATTTTCGTGTGTGTTTTTTTTTTTTTTTTTTTTTTTTTCTTTGGGGGGGGGGGGGGTTGATATTTTAAAAACAGAATATCAATTCTATATCAAATAAATTTCTTATCGGTTATTTACTTTTATATCCTGCATCAAAAATTTGTTGGCTTTTGATTGGTTGAGAGCTCGTCACATGACCAAAAATATTTGAGCTATTTTTAGAAAGTACTATATGAGAGTACTATTTTGGTTTACTATTTGGGAGTTGGAAAAAAAATGTGATTTTTTTTTTTTTTTTTTTTTGGGGGGGGGGGGGGGGGAATCGGTTTTTTTTTGGTTTTTTAAATCCTAATTTAATGAAAACAAAATATTCTAAACCTTTTTAGATAAAAATTGACATTTTTTTGTTCTAAATTTGTTTTCTTCCCCCAATTTTTTTTTTTTTTTTTTTTTTTTTTTTTTTTTTATAAAATAAATTTTTGATTGCAGGATATGAAACAAATATACCAAGCCTCAAATAGAGGTACTGGTTAAAATTATGGGCCTTGGCTACTCCAGAAGTACCATTTGCTTCGGGGCTGCGCCCCTCAGCAAATAGTACTATTGGAGTCACCTCTTGCGCATAGTTTTAACCAGAACCTCTCAAGGCAGTGTATATTTGTATATTATTTAGGTGAAGTTGTTAATGGGAACTAGAAGTTAACACAAGTGCTAGTCGAGCCTATAGTTCCATTCTTTGGCAATAATTTTAATTTAAAAAAAACTTGTTAATACATGAATGTAAAACTTGTTTGTTAGATTTATTGGAATTAATTTCCGTTCTTATGTCATTTCCTACTGGAACCGGGTGGTTCCTGTGTCGAACCTACAGGGAATATGACAATGCAGTAGTCAATGGGTTAAAGGTAAAGACCAGTATTGGAAACGCCCCAATTTTAAAAAATGAAATGGAAGCTCTTATTACCAATCATGTGAAAGAATATGTTTTGACTAATACCTGATGATAAAAATTGTGCCGGGGAAACCGCCTACTAATTGATATATTTGGTAAATTAGTTTATCTATTGGTATGTGAGAGATAAACGCACGTGTGCGTATAGTCCCATATACATCTTTCTGTGTACAGTACTTGTAACTTACGAAGACTGGGCCAAATTTCTTATCATTTTGATGATTCCAGAACCTTGCAGTACACACCAATACTTATGCTAGATGATCAACCTTTTCTGATCGATTCCACAACGTTTCTTTCACAATGCAATTGCATGACCAGAACTCAACTTGATCTTTAATATTAGGGACCTTTAGATTTACACGACTAGAGCGTGGACTGCCGCGTGTGACATTGTGTTAAGGCACTGGGCCGTGCCCGGCAGTGCCTTAAAAGGACGTCACATTACCTTTAAAGGATGTCACACCTGGCGGTCCACGTTCTCGTCGTGTAAATCTAAAAGTCCCTAATCATTGCATGTTAGCCCTTACTTGATCAAAGGAGTTCTGAATTACGATTACGATTCCGAGGAGGCGCGATGGCTCAGTGAAATAGCAGTGGTCTCGTGACCGGGAGGTCCTGGGTTCGAAACCAAGTCGATGCGCTAGTGTCTTTTTGTAAGGCATTAATACAATACAATACAATAAAGTCATTTATATAGCGCTCTTACAAACTAACTGTTGTTTCACAGCGCTTTACATAAAAGTTATCAAAAAATCTATTGTTGATCATGGTCAAAGAGGAGAGTTTTGAGACATTTTCGAAAGTCCCTCAGGAAGAGGTCTTAAAGCCGTCGGTCCCCTGGTTGTTTACTTACACGCATACACGTGCTTTATTAGCAGTCGGGTAAAACAAACCAACAAAAAACGATTCGAAAATATAAAAAAAACTTACTTGCTGAGTCTGGCCGTCAAGGGAGCTGATAGCCTGTAAAATTGAAATAAAAATAAAAAAGAATGATATGTAAACATATAAGCTAAAGAGAGGAAAAGGCTCATTGATATAGTGCAGGTTATAAACAAAACAATTATCAATACTGCACTTAACACAAAGCAGGCCTATCCGTGTTATTACTCCGATATGATCTGAGCTAGCATGATCATGCACTGGAGTATCCCAAGCGGTTCATATCCATTTACCGCACCTGGATGGAGAGTGGCAATTGTGCATTAATGTCTTGCCGAATGACGTCATTGATGTGGCAAGGATATAAACTCCGTATACTTTCTGATACACAGTCCATTGACTAATTGCCCGCTTTAAAGACCACAGCACCTCAATGTCTTTGAGAACGGTTTTTATGAAAACTTCAAGCCATACATGAGAATTGCTTTTCAGAGATATACGCCATCATCCTTACAATAAATTGAATGCTCTGAATCATATTCATAATTCATATTTTTATAATTATTCTGCGAAATAATATTTACCTCTCATCGTTGATTCGACAGCCACTTTTGTTCAGGTCGGTCACTCTGTGCGGCTGATCATACGTCGCACTGTGGAAATATTATATAGGGGCGGGGTATGAGAAATTGACACAAGAACATAATCATTTAATCATGGAAGACATCGGTACGAATCTATTTTTTACAAGCTTTTCTTTTTTATTAGTTTTCGTCAAATTCCACTATCAAATTAATTTTTCGTGCAAAAGCTGTTAAATAACTCGATCAATAACTAAAAGTGTGACAGGTATTTAATTTCCTTTTATGTGATTATCATTTACAAAGAATTGTTATATATTGCAGATGTGAATGAGTGAATGATTGTAATAAAAATAGCACTATGAACACGACGGACAAAGAAAGAGGACAAAATATACAGTTCCTCAGGAAGAGAAAGGAATATCCCTTCCCTGATATTGTGTAAAAATGTGTGGAACAGGTGTCACAAGCATAATCACCTGTTCTACCCATTTTTACATAATAGCAGTAAAGGGATGTTCTTTTGTCTACCACAGCAATTGTTGAGGGTAGAATGAGGAACTGTATATTTTGTACTCTTTCTTTGTCCGTCATGTCCATAGTGTAGACAGAAACAGCAGGAATCCAGACTTACGCTTTTGTGACCCCACTCCCATAATGCCTGTGACTTCGGCTGACGGAAAGATCTCGGACTCGCTGTTGCCCCTGGAAGGGATGCCCTCCAATTCCACCGTACTCTGTGAGCTTCTCTCCCCAGTACTTCCCGCCTAGTGAAGGCACCGCTTGCTGATGTTCCCTGCATGAATTGAAGAGGGAAATGTCATGTAAGATTGTTGATATTTTGTAGATAAAGAATATGAGGTGTTGATTCATGAAGATGATCCATGTTTTTCATAAATGTGTCAGTACCCAAGGTGGCGTAAAAGTCCTGACATGAAAAGTTAGGGATTGAGGCATAATGGCCTTAACCAGTGACGTTTTCATCATCATCAACATCACCATCACCACATCCTCATCATAATCATCACCATCACTATTATCACCATCATCATTGTTATAGGAGGCGCGAAGGCTCAGTTGGTAGAGCAGTGGTCTCGTAATCCGGTGACCCGGGTTCGAAACCAAGGCGATGCGGTAGTGCCCTCTGGTAAGGCATTAATCCTCATTACCAGGTCTATCGGAGAGGACCTCAAGCAGTCGGTCCTCTGGTTGCTTACTAACAAGCATTTATACTTTCTTAGCAGTCAGGTAAAATAACAACCACTACCACGTGCATAATCACCTTTACAACTATCACTGTCATCATCACCATCATCATTACCATCCTCGTCATTGACATCATCACTATCATCACCATTCATATCACCATTACCTTTACTAAGTACATGTATCACCATCATCATCACCACCATCATCATCACCATCATCACCATCAACATTATCAAAATCACCTTTAAAACTATCATCTTCACCACCATCACCATAATCACCATTAACATCTCCATCACTATTATCATTACGATCATCATCACCATACTCATCAATGTCACCAACATCATCATTATTACTATCACCATCATCACCACCACCATCATCATTATAATCATCTTCACAACTACCACCATCTTCATCACCACCATCCTCATAACCCTAACCCTAACCCTAATACACCAACATCATCATCATACTCATCATCATCTCCATCAGCATTAATTATAATCATCTCCCCAACTACCACCACCATCACCACCAACCTCATCACTACCACCAACATCATCATAATCATCATCAACTATTATAATCACCATCATCATTATAATCATCTTCACAACTATCACCATCACCGTCATCATCGTTATCGTTATATTCACCACAACTATCACCATCACTATATCATTATCATTATCCTCATCACCACCACGACCAATCATCACCGCCGATATATGTTTTAAGTTCAACTGCTTGCCCTTGCACTTTGCGACCATTATCGATGAACTTGATCACCTCGACCATTCTCTTTCATATTGAAGCAAAGTCAATCTAGTAACAAGAGCAAAGTAGTAGCTACCAATGTCACCAACGTGTGTATCGGGTTTTTTTTTTTTTTTTTTTTTTTACAGACGTGTATCAATCAGATATGATTATTTACGTCTGGGGACCGACCTTTAAACGTCACCATCCGAAAGACGTGACTCAGTTTCGAACCTGAGTCCTCGCCTGAATCAGTTTGTAACTTCCACTGTTAGCTGGCTTACAGGCGCACGCCCCAACGCCTAGTTTTGTTAATCTTATGTTATTAATCATGTGAAGTTTAGACAAATTAATCGTGAACAAAATCAGAATAAAAATGCAAAGTTTACCATTTTCTTCGCTGCAGTGCCTGGATAGTCTCCAGCATCGTCATGGATGCCATGGTGTGAGATGCACTAAGATTGCCAACAGACGACAAAGAAATACTCCCTTAAAGCCATCAAAACCTTGCGTTTACCCCCATCAGCGTTGTCGTGTTCTTATGTTTCTGACGGAGGACATACAATCCTATGAGGTCGAAATTAGTAATAATTTCACCCCTAAAACCACAGCTCAAATCGGCAACACATCATCGTAATTTTGCGGGATGATGAAATTAACGATTAACTCCTAAACATAACAGTTTCCTTTGAGCATATCGCATGCAGCTACCAATGACAATCATTCAATGAGAGTGAAATTCCTTCGGGATAATTATCACCATTTCCTTCAGAACCGGCATCTCCAGTGTTTACAATTTTTAAAGACGATTTCTCGCTCCAAAATCATGCAACGTGACAATTAGATTTGTATATAATATTTAAGGGGAATGAACTACTTTCCCCCAAGAACGTGTATGGATTCCAGAGATATTATCGTCTGTCCTTGGCTCCACACAGGACAGAGAAATGTCATTAACCAGAGACGAAGTTTAGCTCAGGATTGCGAGACCATTCCAAACTTTGATCATCATTTTCCCAACAACATTACCAAAGGACGGTAAAAATGGCTGACGTCTTTGATTCAGGTATACGGAGCGAGAAATATGGACGACTGTCCTTCTGTACAATTAAAAAAAGATCCAGAGGCGGGTTTCAGGACTGGTCAGAAACAGATAAAGAACAGCACCACTCCAAACATGCTGAACTGACAATAAAGACTGTGAAAAAGCTGACGTCTTTGATTTGGATACAGAGCAAGAATCGCCTGACGACTCCGTTTGTCGAAACAAGAGCCACAGAACGCGTTTTTAGCTCTGAATCTGATAAAAAGCCGCAACTTGAAATAAAGAGGTATATAAGATGGCCGAAGTGTTAGATTCACAGAGAGAGAGAGAGAGAGATCGAAACAATATTGATGAATTTCCTTTGTCAAAAGAATAAGAAATAAAGTAAATCGATGCTATCCTCTCATCTGGGTAGCCCCTTTATGTTTAATGCACCACTGAAATATCGATCAAAAGCTAGCCTATTCTAAAAAAAAAGAAGAAGCTGTTTTTCAAATAAAGTTTGATTTCTTTGTTGATAATACTATTAATGTCACTTATGAGTAAAGCTAATCATGGTAGCGAATCATCAGAGAAGCGATCATAATCGGGAGTTTTGTGGAGTTTTTGTTTCCATTACATACGTTAGCATGCTCAGATTCAATGAGTTAAAAGTATGTTTTTTTTTAACTTTAAGGTCTTGAATGAGACTCTGCGCATCATGACGACACGCCCTTTCTATCACGGCGCAATTTTCACTGAAACTCACGAAGAGTGCCACTGCAATATGCATCTTAAAGAGTACACAATTGCATTGTATTTTCACCACCTAATGCAGTGTCGCACTGCGTGAAATCGCATCACTTTTCAGTTAAAGTTGCCAAATATGGACGAACCTTTTGATGTTACATGTATCTTATTGTTAAATGCATATAAGGCTAAGCTTTTGTCGTTTCTTTTATTGATCGCAACTAATATGTTTAAGTAGTGGATTATATTCAAAACGCAAAAGGATCTATATGAAGATCTTAGAAGGATGAGATACTATAAAAGGCTTATTTGTGAACGTTATGGACAGTGGCGAAGTGGTTGGAGTACAGGTGCTGAATAAATATGACAAATATCAGTTAGAGGTAAAGAGAAAAGAAAAAGAAGCAGAAGAAGAAAGAGAAGAAGGAGGAGAAGAAGAAAAGGATGAAGAAAAAGGAGAAATTGGAGAAGAAGAATAAGAAAAAAGGATGAAGAATAAGAAAAAGAAAACAAAAAGAAGAAGAAGAAGAAGAAGAAAAAGAAAAACAAGAAGGAAATGTAGATGAAGAAGAAGAAGGAAAACAGGATGTGACGGAGATTGGTGAGAGAGAGAGAGAGAGGGGTGCAGTTTTTGGTTAAGAGGAAAATACTTTTAACACCGTGTAATATGTCATGTACGTGCCTTTGTTGAGTTGAATGCAATAATACTTATCATGAATAGAAGAGAACTACGCAGGGGAGCACTGGAACTTTCAACGTTTTTGAACCTACCACCCCCCCCCCCATTTCTTTTACCCAACACAAATTTATTAGGGCCCTTCAAATTTGGAACTGCGCCTGCGCCCCCTCCCAATAAGCTCATGATGGAAAGAGATAAATACACAACGAAAGGGAAGGGAAAGAGAGAGAGAGAGAGAGAGAGAGAAAGGAGAGGGTGAGGTTCAGATAAAAAACAGATATAGTTTAACACGGTAGATTGTGGTTCTTCAGTACCTCTTCTCAGCAGTGATTACGGGGGCATTTTGAATCTATAACCTTGCCCCTCCTTCGATTCATTAAACCACAGGTCCACAGACCGCAATCGAGACCACATCGGATAGCGTCGATCCCAAAGTTTGACAATCCAGGCTGGGCTGTCACATCTCCTCCACTACCCCCAACGTACACGGTACACTACTTAACACAGAGATGGGACTTCCCACCACTCTTAATCCAAACTCAATGGTCGCCCGGTAACGACCGAAGCTTACCGTACTCTAAGCCGCCACTGGAGCTGTGATGCAATCGGAGTACTTTGTACAGGTTTAACAATGCATATCACGCTATTTCCCTCTCTTTGCCAAGTAGTTGCTTATTCTTTGACTCTTGTCCATCGAAAACCTAGAACAATCGCATTAAAATAGTATTCGCGTGGTAAAGCAAGCAAGTCCCATACACAACAACACAATTTCTTCATAAGGGGTACATCTATATTCTTGCAAAGACAGCATTTCAACATTATTGTAATTCATCGAGATATTCATTCATCTTTCCTTGGTATGAGAAGTTTGTGAGGATTTTACTACCGCAAGCTCGGCATGGGACGTTCAGGACTCATATAGACGAAAGTTTCGCGATTCCCCAGACTCGTGCCCAATATATCAGTATTTGTTTATCATATTCGTCTCGGTTCCAGTGTAATCTTCTTCTTTACCACTTCAAAGAGATCATAGTGGTATGTATTTGCCTTCTATTGAGTTCGCCTAGATTCCTTTCCACTGAGTTACAATATCCCAAACAGTTCAGTTGTTAACTTGTAATTATTATTATACACCCTAAAATAGTTTTAAAAGACTGTTAGGGTTTAACTGAATTTCTAAAAATATCCTCTAAAGATTACGAAATAATATATCATTTATAATTTTCCAACCGAAATACTAAGTCGATTTTCTTTAGGAAATTGAACTGCTACACAATTAAATTGTTTCTTGTATTTTATTAGAATATTCATTAGGCTTAATCTGGAAAGAATTTCTGTTCCTAGGCGTGAATTCTTTCGCTCGACAATCGAAACGGAGGATATATGTTTATAAATTAATAATAATAATAATTAAGATTTATATAGCGCTGGTATACAAGTACATCTGAAACATTTGTTGCATGTGTGATAAAACTCTGCTTATGAACTTGTCCTTCGATTTGATATTTAATATTGATACATTAATAATGTCGGAGACGTGATTATTAAGCGTTTTCCAGAGAAAAATCTTAATGTCAGTGTATTCGTATTATCAGCAGCTTTTGTCAGCGAATTATTCGTTTATAAACAGCCTCTCATGACACTCTTGAAACTGTATATTTAGCATATTTCTTATTCCAGGAAGGGCCAGGAAGGGACATGCACTTACAAATCTGGACTCCCAAGTATTTTTCTTTATTATCTCTTTGACATAAATCTGTATTTACTAGATCAAAGTAAATGAGAAGAAAAAAACAAAAAACTTTCTCAAAGTGGATGATCAATTAAGTAGTATAATTACACACTGGTGATTTTGTGTATGATAACCACACGACTAGTGTGTTGGACGTACAATCTAATGATGGCTGGAGTTTTACTATTGTTGTTTGCTTAGTTGTTTACTAAGATATAAGGGATGTATGAGTATGATCAATGACAATGTTCCTGCTCGATGAACTTTGCCCTGGAACTGCAGCTAATATTGACCTTTGACCTATGACACAGTATAGACCGTAAACGTGACGGTGATGATGTCAAGCAGGGGGTCGTGAACATGTTCGATGAGAACATCTTCACAACCATGGCTGTTCCTGTCACTGACGTACGAGCCTTGTTTCTTTTATTTTCAAGAAAAAGTTGGAAACACTAAAACTGACACTACACTGCAATGAAAACTCATTTAATGTTATAGTTTCACAAACAAATCTTGATTCGGCATAAATAGTTGGGCATAAAACTGCCTAGGCTACAGTTGGTGGGGCATATAATTACCATCATGTTAGGGCATATTTATTTCATTGTTTTGCTCAATAGTGTTTATGTAGAGTGTACGAGAGATAAACAGTGCTCTTATATTATACAAGCCTAATCATTTTCTCGTCAAGAGCCCCCCCCCCCCCCCCAACCCCCAAAGGACCAGGATGTAAACCAGTCCTTTCTGATCTTGTTATCCTGATGAAATATGTTCAAATAAATAAATAAATAAATAAATAAAAAGAGCGCACAATTTTCTACAGCACATCACACACACTATTAACACACAATGGTCAATAAGGGCGTTGATGGGAAGGGGCATACAATTTCGAAATGAACTGCTTTCTCTACTTGGTTTAATGCATACCCACCCCTCCTCGCCCTTGTCAATACATGGCAGATTTACAATCAGGAAAGTACAAGTATTTCACCCGTTTCAAAGAGTAGTCACAATGAATTAAAGAAACGAAGAATGAGATTGACAGACCATGAAAGACTAGTTAATTCATTTTAAAGTGTATCAAGGGATTGAAAGCTCCTTAGGCTTAAATAAGTCTTCTTTAAATCCTCACTGAACTACTTAGCTACTTGCGCCCTCTATATAGCAAACAATGCCTAAGTGGTGACCGCTGGTCCCCCGTGAACCCCTTTGTCTTATGTTAATTGAGAGCTGATGAGATAACCACATGTCAGTGACCATGCGGGGAGGTCTAATCCCTCCTGGCCAAACTAATACAGATAGGCTTTAAAGGATCTCATCCCCAAAAGAATGAATATACTGTAGGTACTCTGAAAATGTGAGGTATTCCTTACGAAACAGTTCGAGAGATATATAAATGAAGACATTCTTGGTATAATGTACCTGTAATGCCTTTTACCTTTAGCATAACATGGGCATGGCCATTTTCATGAAAATGTACCAGGCGACGTTGTTCATGTATCATGCACCAAGCTTTAGTTGGAAGGACTTTTTAATTCAATAACGAAACCTTTACTTTTCAAAACTTGTCATCTGTGACAAATGACAGTTTGTGTTATAAACTGTTGAAATCCTTGCTTCTGATGATTGGTTATCAGCAGATTTGTCACTGATTTGTGTCATTTGTCATTGTAAAGGCTACGGTGAAACGAGACACTGGTGTGGGTCTTGTCAATGTGACTGGGGTATATTGAAATTGTAACCTGAAGATATTTTCATCTTTGATATTAATTATCAATCTATAAATAATTTTGTGTTTGTTTGTCTCCTGACTTTGCAGACGTCATCGCAATCATGCCACTATCAACGTTAGAGCTCAGGCCGAAAATCGACTACAGCCAAAACACGTACGGCGACAAGAAATACAACGTCATGCACCTCATCAGCCTTTACAACCAAGACCCCTCCCACTTGCCATGGCAACAATCAAATGGGCGGACCCAAATCACCCAAGTTCACAGCATCAAGCTCCCCACCTTGAACTCTCAGGGCTTCGCCAATCAGAGCGGGTCTTTCTACGCGTCATCGTCGCAGCCACGCCTTAATCTGCCGAGCGTTGGGCGTGGCATGGCCCACAGTACGCTGGTTCCGTTTTCTTCATACGGCAAACCGACGTGTGGGTATTTCTTTACCAGAACGACGGAGAATCGAAAAATGAGGACGGGGATTCCCCCGAAATTTGGGTACCTGAACGTAACCGCACCGCGGATGCGATAACTCTGACATTCTAAACACGCTAACCAGGGCCAATGACATTTAAGGATACTTTTGACTTTGATATAGTTGAACTTTGACATATCATCAACGAGCTAATTGATATGGGAAAAGAAATAAGACGGTTTACTATAAAGTCTCATTCTATGCATAATCTTGAAATCTTAGTGACAAGCTTGTTCTAGGCTTGCCCGATGTAGCAACGAATCGATGAAGAATTCAAGATGATTTGCATCGCAAAGGTGCTAACGATGAAATTTATGTTTGTAACGGGGTCTCTGTTGGGAAGAAAAACTATACAGACAAAGAACATAATATTTGTCTAACCAACGATGTTTGGTTAATTTCATATGACTCTGTTATACATTTTGTTTTCCTTATTTGGAAATACAGTGTAGTTGTGTTCCTCCTTGCTATACCTATTTAAATGACATCCAATTATATAGAGAGTTTAAACATAAATTATTCAGGTTAATACCTTAAAAAAAAAACGAATTAAATAGAGACCTGTTAGATGAATTTCTCGGAGGGGGGGGGGGGTGTGACTCCCCCCCACTCCCACTCCCACTCCGCCTTACTTTTACAATAATTAAATTTAATAGAGACGTGATCGGAAACATCTCAAGAATATCGACAATCATGAGATTCATTTTTTTCATGATGATCTAAACATAATGTCCATTTGAGTGATGAAAATTCAAAATTGGCATTGTCTGATTAATAAATTCGTTTATATTTCATTTAACAACTTCTGCATTCTTACTATTTAGAACAGTTTTGAGCGTAAAGTGGTTCATTTTTTTCTAGGTAACTGGCTACAGCGTATGCCAAATTTTCATTTCTAGCTAGCTGCTTTCAGTTTTCTTGTACATAGATAATGTCGGTGATTGGTTTGTCAAAAAAACATGATTTTTGTATATAATATTAGAATAAACTTTTTACATGATAGTTGACGTTGTTATTGATTCATACTTTTAATTGACATGGAAATGATATTAATTCATGGAACTACTCATTAGCTAGTTATTCTAATTTCGATAGTGCGCCATCATGCTCTTAAAAGAGGTGGACAAAATTGGGTGAGAGAGAGTGGGGGGGGGGGAGAGACATGCAGAGAGAGAGAAAAAAGGAGAGAGAGAGAGAGAGAGAGAGAGGGGTGGGGGAGGGTAAAGCCCGTCCCCCACCCCATCCCATAGTGGCATACCTATTGATTCATACTTTTAATTGACTTGGAAATTTTTATTAATTTATGGAACTACTCATTCGCCAGTTATTCCTAATTTTCAAAGTCCGTGATCATGCTCCCGGAAGAGGTGGACAAAATTGGATGTGAAAGAGAGAGAGAGAGAGAGAGAGAGAGGGGGCGGGATACTGTACGTCCCCCATCCAACCCTATAGTCGCATACTGCTTACTAGACTAGTCGATTTTTTTTTGTAATTGTTCCTTGGTCTTTTAAAGGAACTGACGTTTCCTTTTTGGCCTAGATCAATAAAATTGCTTTACACAATATTATGTTCAGAATTAAGAACATGCCAATAAAATACAAATAAAAGTAAATATAAGATATATTGTAAATCGATAAATTCACAAAGAAACCGTACAAATCATTAATTAAGTACATGTATAAACATGGAAATAGATAAATGAATGATTCCTTACGCAATACTGTGATGTGTTTCCTTTGGTTCTCGGTAGGGTCCGAACAGATCAGTGGACTGCACCGTACGGGAGACTAGGGCGGTGAACATAGGAGGGCCTGATGGGTCCCAGGTTCGAACTTCTGCTGGCACAGCAAGCATCCTTTATGATGGTCAAAATACCTTTCCTTTCAAACCGTTATTAATTAACTTTACTTCAGTGAACTGAAGGTCAAAATGTCTTTGCAATTTATGTTTATTGGTTATTGTACAGTTTGCTGCTTTTTGCCCCCGTTGTTTAAATTTGTGTTGTCATCATTTCGTTAATTTTGACCGACTGCCTATAAAATAATTGTGACGTCATATTGTTGCGCGAGCCGCCGTGCCAGGTAACAAAATTACTTAGAGCGCATCCATTGATTTTGCATAAATTATCAGCATGCGCTAGTGACGTCACAATGCCTTATCCTAAAGCGCATGCACGCGCCTACTCTATTTTTGAGACAGGGTGGGGGCTTATGTTTTGCGATTTTTTAGAATTTGTGTAAAAGTTTTAAATGATCGAGCTATACAAGTCGAGAAGTATGTTGCATTCTCCTTTGTGAAATAACAACTTTAAAAAAAAAACTTTCAATCTTAAAAGTTAACGGGGTGGGTTAACAAAATAATGATAATTAAGATGATGATAATCGTCATCATAAAAAAGATAATAATAATACAGTTGAATAGTTGAAGAAAGGGAAAAAATGAAGTTTGGGAGTCCAGCCGTAAATGGAGATATTAAGCTGTGAAGCTTATTTATTCGATCTGTAAAGACAGATAAAATAACAAAGACAGATTTAGTATATCATTCATGTTACACAAGAATGCAATATATAATCCAAATTATCTGAACAAACCAAGTAACTGTATCTATAAAGATTCATTTAAACACATTTGCTTTTGTTCTATAAACTGTCAATCTTGACCTCGTCCTTTAAATAACAAAAATCCAGAGTAACCAATGGTTACAAAACCTTATGCATTTTCTAATATGCATTACTTTCAAATACTCATACTTTCAGAGTTTCTAAAACCGACCAGACTTCCCTTTAAACAGATCACTGCCAATTTGCATGAACCAAAATAACTGTAAACATCTTTATCTTGCATCCATACACAAGCTTGATAATTCTCATCTATCTTCATAGTTTAAATTCTTTCTAAAAACCTCAACAATAGATTGTCACTTTAAATGTGCTATATGACCTTCGACTGACTTTGACAGGCGCTTAATTTGCATATTTATGCTCGTCTAAGAAAAACTGTTTTATAAAATGACTTCATACAATTTAACCCTGTTTGATGAATTAAACTTAAATATCTGACTTACATAAAACTTCCCAGTAATAATCTAGAGATTACACTTCAATACAAAATAAACTATCTGGCATAACTTGTAATTTACACCTGTAATTTACATCTGAAATCTACTCCTGAAATCCACACATGCACTACAGCAAGCATTTCGAGTTGCATTATTAACTCTTCAAATGAATAAACACTTTCTTTCAATTCTCAGTCCAAATACTATGCTAGAGGTGCAAAGCTAAACCTATCAGCTAGTCAATAAATGGTGTCTTGCAACTTAACACTTGCTATATTACTGTTCGTAGCCTTCAACTGGGTATACTGAATACACTTCCACAACGCGAGCGATGGTCCATTTTCCACGTAACGCGTTGGCGCCAGCCATCAAAAACGATATCGTCGACACAAACATTGCGACGATCAATGTTCCACTTCCATCTTGGCGTCAATAACGGGAGCACGTCTCTTCTCAAACGCTGCCAGAAGGCGTCTGCAATCCGTTGGATGAGCTCTACTCGATGCCTTGGGTTCTTGGTTTCTCGGAACGGCTCTTGTGCGACATCACTGGATGCACATCCTAACAGCATGTCATTAGGACTCAGGTAGCTCCCATCATCAGGATCCGTCGGGATTCTGCCAATCGGCGGTTGATTGTCTGGATTGGCCACCTCTATCAGGCATGTATACAGATCAAACGGTGTCAGGATTTGCTCTCCAATGGCTCTCTTGAGAGCAGACTTGCAACTCTTCACCAATGACTCGGCGCAGCCGTTGTGATGCAGGGCTATGAACGTCCATTTTGTTCCCTTTACAGTACAGACCTCCTTTAGCACACGTTGAGCACCTACAAACTGAGTACTGTTATCAATCCAGATCAAAGCAAAGATTTGACGAAGTACTTGAACAAACTCCATCGCGGAACATTCAGTTGCAAACTCTAAATGCAGACATGTGAACAAAACTGGTGGTGTATGTGGTGCTAGTCTTTCTCTGGGTAACTCGGTCATTTCATGTGGTTCTGCCTTCTGGTCAAATGCTCCACACACTGCACATCTGAACTTGACAGTCTTCGCTAGTCTATGCCCCTTCAGAATCCGATACCTCCTTCTGGCCTTTGCTGTACTGGCTGCAACTCCAGTATGACCACTACTGTTGTGGACATGTCGTGTGAACGTGTCGTGTTCGAAAGGAAGCAGGTCTGGGTGTTCCCTTCCAAACGACATCTCAGCTCTATCAACTCTGCCTCCTACTCGGGTGATGCCCGTACCGTCTGTGTGAGCACTAAGGGCTTTCAGTTTTCCCTTTTCAGCTCTGCCTTTTAGTGACTTCTCGGCATTCTGGATCAAGACTGCTTCTCCTTGCTCCAACTCGTCAGGTGTCAAAGTGCCAATGCTGTCATTATCACCAACATCAATTTCCTTCCTGCACTTTGATCTCAGCTTTCTTACAAACTTCAGCACATATAATGTCACTCCGATCAACTTTCTCCAGCTGAAGAACCTCTTGCAGTCAATGACGTCCTCTTTGTTGGTTACTATCAAGACTGATTGTTCTTCTTTACCTCTTTCTGATTCAACTTCAGGCACCTTTCCCTCTAGCTTTGGTTCTTCTGGCCACTCTGACTTTGGTTGGCACAGAAAATCAGGTCCGTGCTGCCATCTGCCGTCAAACTCATCTTCACTCAAATCTTGGGTGAGATCATCTGCAACATTCACCTCTGCTTCTTGCCTGCTGATACCACTAGGATGGCACTGCACTGGATCATGACAAACTTCAATTGGTTCTGTCGTCCAGAAATCATTGAAGTCCACTGAGTTGGCAAGCATAACATTCATAACTGTACTCTTGGTTGGCTGTTGCTTTGAGGTAGCTCCAAACACTACCCATCCTAAAGGTGAATGCCTTGCCAACATATTCCCTCTCTCTCTGGTTTCTCCTTTATGAAGCTTAGCATGGTCGGTTCCTACTAACACATCGATGGATCCAAAACCACGGTGTACAAGATCCTTCTTCAGGTGGAATATCCTTGCAAGCTCATCAACCCGAACTTCTGCTACATTATCGTTGATGCACTCCAACCCAAGTGCCAACACTCCGTAAGACTGCTTGCCTTTAAGGGACTGTAGTCTCATCCTATACAGTTTCGTCTTCACTGCTTCAACACGGCCTCCGACTTTCGTGATGTTGATCGTGATCGGTTTCCCAACCAAACCCATGTCGTCTGCCATCGACTGCTTCACAAGACTGATCTGGGATCCTGAGTCTATTAGACAGTTAGCTGTTGAACTCTTCTGATCTGGACCCAGCACTTTAACCGTAACCACTGGCAGTAGGGCGGAATTTCCAGCTACACTGGCGACTATCTCAGTTCTGGTTTCAACTTCCCTGTGCAGCAGAGGATGATGAAATGAAGAGCACTGCTCCCCATTTATCTCTTTAGAGCACCTCTTCCTTCTCTTGCAGGTTCTCATGTTGTGCTCTCTGCCTGCCTTCTTGAGACAACTAAAACATGCATGATTGTCTCTCATTAACTGAAACCTCTCTGTCTGACTCTTGGAGAGGACCTTCTGGCAATGTTCAACCCAGTGATCAGAAGATTCGCAGATCCAGCATCTGTACTGGGTAAATTGGGTACTCTCGCTGTTCTGTTTGTTGTCAGCACTTACATGGTGGACTGCATTCTTCTGTCTGCTGCTACTAGTTGCACTTCTAAGCGGTGCAGTGGCCCGCATACGTGTCATCATCTCCGTCTCCATCCAGTCCAGTAAGTACTGCAAACTGACATCCTTGTCAGCACTTTCTACATGTCTGAACCACACCTTCCGGTCTTCGAGGGTCATCTTGCGCTCTATCAGAGCCAGCGTTTGGCTGTTGTCAATGTCTTGTGGACAGCCAACTTCCTTCAGTGTATTGAAGCTTCGCCTCAACAGGTGCACCAGATCGCAAAATCTGGAGTCCTCTCCGTCCCTCAAATCCCTAAAAGAATTCACATCGTAGATTATGGCATCTGCTATAAATCGCCGGTCACCGAAAACAGAGTTCAGGTATGCCCAAGCAGCATCATAATCGTTGCCTACCCCTCTTATCATGTCCAAGGGCTTTCCCTGAAGGCAGGTACGCAGTATGGTGACAGCATCTCTCTTGCTATATCGAGTATCGATGAGATGATGAAAGTCCGATCGAAACGTAGCAAACTCTCTCACGTCACCGCTGAACTTTGGAATTTTTGGGCGTTCCATCTGTACTTTGCAGGAGGTGACAACACGGGAGTCAACCTCTGCCTCTCTGCTCACAGTCTCATTCTCTTGCCCTGCTGTCTCTGCGGCTGCAGACGATGCAGCAGTAGCTTGGCTTGGACCATCACTCCCATCCGGTACAGTTACAATTGCCTTTGACTTGGCATGGTCCCTTATTCTCATCTGCATATCAATGAATGTAGACTGGCAGCTTTCCAACCAGGCTTCCTCTTTAGTGAATTCATCATCATCATCAATGGTCGCACAGAAGGCCTCATGCCTTTTCTCTAAATCTATAAATGTAACTTGCAAACCTTGGAAAGCTTCGTCGACCTCCTCAAGGTCCCTGTCATGGTCCAACAAATGCTGCAAGGCGTTGGACATCCGGGTTAGCTTAGCCTTTGCAGTTCTCCTCTTGATCTTGAGGTCCTTTACATCTTGTTCAGTTGTCATCTTGGTTAACTTAATCCCTTCGTCTCCTATTCCAGGTCAGCGTAGAAATCGAATGCAATGAATAGGTGAGGAAAGGGAAAAATGAATCTTTATAGATACAGTTACTTGGTTTGTTCAGATAATTTGGATTATATATTGCATTCTTGTGTAACATGAATGATATACTAAATCTGTCTTTGTTATTTTATCTGTCTTTACAGATCGAATAAATAAGCTTCACAGCTTAATATCTCCATTTACGGCTGGACTCCCAAACTTCATTTTTTCCCTTTCTTCAACTATTCATTGCATTCGATTTCTGTGGCGGGACAAAACTTCGTCGGGAATACTTCTATGGCAACTGACGGGTTAACTGGTAAATAAGTCAAACTTGACTACATTTCGGACTGCTTGCTGCTTTGACTGAAGAATATGGCGACAGTGCCGAACTTAACCTACGGTCGCTTTTAAGAGCAAAAAAGAGAAAAATCTGAACCAAGCAAAAATCATCGCTCGACGAAACAACAGTTATTAATCATAATGATTATTATGATAATAATAATAAAGATAATAATAAATGGTAACATTTTTATATCAATGAGAAACAATAAATAATAATAATTTTTGTTGTTGTTATCAGCAACTTGGAATAGTGAAAATTTATAAAACAAAGGTTAGGAAATTTAAGAATTTCGTTGGCAAAAGTTCATTGTGATTTATATGATAAATAATTTCCGTTTCCATTAAAAAAAAACTAGAATTTTATCACGTATAGCTCTACAGGTTAGAGCTTTCTGTGTTCCAACCTTAAATCATGATTATCATAAATTATATAAATCACTAAAACATTACCGCAATATCTCAGTCGGTAGAGCAGTACGTGGTCTCGTTATCCGGTGACCCGGGTTCGAAACCAAGACGATGCGCTGTGCCCTTGGGTAAGGCATTTATCATCCCTACCAGGTCCCTCGGAGAGGACCTAAAGCCGGCGGCCGTCTGGTTGCTTGCTTAAATGCATTTATGCTTTCTTAGCAGTCAGGTAAAATGACCATCACATCACAATGGTCGAGTTTTTATATGAGGTTCTATTTTTACTGCTGAAGATAAATAGGTTTAAAAAGTTATTTTCTTTGTGCTATTTGTAGCTGAAAATGTGTTGTCACATAATCGATAACTGGAATTTGATGTAATAAATTGCACAAATGTATTTATCATCAAAATAATAGGCTTTTAACTAAAGCTTTTTGTGACGCAGGAAATAAAACATAATTTTAGCTATGAACATGTGTTAAAAAGAAAAGAAGGTCTGGTGGGGGCGCTATAACGATAACAAAACTAAACGAGCTTCCATTTGTCGGCTCAACCGGTCCGAGTGGCATGAAAGAGATTTACATCTCTTGAATGAATATTGAATTTTAATTGTTTAATTTAGTTGTAATGCCTTCATTTGTTTTTCAGATTCTATTAAAAAAGCAGTGTGCATGTGCATCTTTTAAAGGTATTACAAAGTTTTGGGAAATTTTGAAAAAATGGGTGGATAGTGAATCTTTACAATTTTGATATATTTGGATGCCCCTGTGGATGTATTAAAACAACTATAAATTTTAACCCTTACAACACTTCAGCTTTCGAGAATATAAAGATTTACCGGTGCTCCCGGTATATTTTACTAAATTTCAAATAGCTCCTACGGCCGTATAATGGTAGCTGCGACCATGGAAATCTCAGAATATGTAGTTGTGGTATATAATTTCCGAATGGGAATAGCTAATCGGTCGATTTTAGTCAAGAAACATTGTTTTATAGCTTAATTAATATCTTGACCTTGAGAGGGAGCTATACAACATAAGGTGTTTATTATTTACAATTTCATAACTTTAGAGTCGATTTAGACCGCGACAACGATCAGTGAATATTCTAGGATCGCATTTCCAATATGTTCATTTGAACCAAATTCACGACCCTACACCAAAACTTTGTATTACCTTTAAGAGATGCGTATTGTAGTACTTAATATCAAGTCCGGTTTAAAGTGGCATTTTTCAAGGAAAATATCAAGTGGGCAGGTTATAAGGAGCTCAAAAAATGGCGATGAAGCGGGCTGTCGAATTTCACCTTCCTCTCCAGACCTTCTGCTTTACTGGATTATACTATGAATATTCGAATTTTCTCCTTGCTCCTTCACTTTTTGTTTGTTACTCTAACATTTCTTTAAATTTCAAATTAAATTGCCGGCTATCGATATTTTCGGGTTCATTTTTTGTTTGCATCACGCACAGATATTTTTTTTCTGAAATGTCGCCGACAAGCAATGGTGATGATAATAGTGATGACGACGACGCTCTCTCTCTCAAAAAAACAAACAAAAAAACGAGTGATCACGGACGTCACTCCTCTGGAGAGTGAAAATGTAGTGAAAATAAACTCTTTTCTTCTTAGAGAGCACTCTAAAAATCAATCGATATTCACCCCGAAACAAGTGATCCCTGACGTCACTCACAAGAAAATGAAAATAGAGTGAAAATTCACTCTTTTTTTTAGAGAGAGAGATGATGATACTACTTCAACTACTGCTGCTGCTACTACTACTACTGCTTCTAATATTGATAATACATGTAGGTCTAATAATAATAATAATGATGATTATAATGATAATATTAATACTAATTATGTTATCGATGATGAACGCGTGATAAACGAATAAAATAAATAAACAATGATATGATTAATCTTATGGCTATTGACAAATTCGCATCAAAATAAAAGAGCGTTCCCTCACCTCCCCTTCACTACTGAACCCCCCCCCCCTTCCCGCCCGCACTGAATAACCCCTGCCCCTTGAATGGGAGAGAAAGTAGGTCAATCGAAAATCTTTTTTGTTGATCCAACAAAAATATATAGTCATGATAATATTCAATATTTGTACGATTATCATTATGATTAAATAATTATGAAATGTTATTTTCCTGACTCTCCGATATCAAATTGGTATCAATTCGATATATCCCTAGAAGTATCATGCAGTTACCTTCCTCACAATGCATTAACAATGCAAACATGTAACATTCGGCCTGCGCAAATGTTTGCGATTATGTTTAAAGTGTTCTTTATTCAAATGCAAATCACCCCCTACAGAATGAATAGAATAAGCCCAGTCATGCATAATAAGTTAGTAACGGTACGCTCTCAGGCTAGCAACAAAGGGCACCGCACTTTGCTAGCTTATCTTCAAGTCGCACAGGCTTTGAACAAATGAAAAGTTACATGTCACTAATAAGCTGTTCTTTAAATTTAGCTTTAATGTTTATACGAGATTTATGTGGGTTGATTATTATACTTCATATCAATTGTATTTTAATCCACAGTGCGCTAAACCAGTAAATGGCTCACATATTCTTAACAATAGCTTGACACAGGGTCTGCGAATCGACACTAGACAAGCTATTGTGCGCATGTCTTTTGTGTATTGTGTTGCACGCGTCACATAGCACAGGAGGGAAGCAAAAGTCGGAAGTCAACAAAAGACATATTCATTAGATTAAGAGTAGCAAGAAAAAATTATTAAAAGAAACAATTATAAATACAAATAATATTAAGCGGAAATTCACTCAAAAAAAGTTGACAGAGTATCCTCGTTGGTGACGAGTTATTTTGGTGAAAAAAGTGACTGAATTCGACTTGATTTCGAGCAGTTTTCAACGATTTGGAGGAGAGATTATTTTGAGTTTACTTTCCCTCGTTTGCTTCCCCACCTTGCGCCCACACCGCCGCCATCATGCCTAACTCCGGCTTCCAGGGGCAGATAAACCAGTCCTTCTACGGGACCCACAAGGCACACCTGGTTCCCCTGGGAGACCAGTATGTCTCGGGCAACCTGCCCAATCCTGCATTTTGGAGGAGATTTATTCGGGACCCCGTCTCGAGCATTGAAAATCCTAGTGGTACGAGGGTCCTCACAACGACAGAAGTACTCGCCCCAGTCTGGCAGAGCAACAACTGCGCCGCGAACCTCTCTAAAAACGACAGGTAGGAAATTTGTTTTAATTTTGTATTCGCCCCCTCACCAAAATGTTATAATATTATTACATGATACAATTATGATGAATCCTATTCATGGTTAAGAAGTAATCTCCAGTACTATTTCAAAATGTGTGGTAGTGCTACCCCATCTCTTTCTCTCCCCCCCCCCCCCCGATAACATCGGCCGAAATCGTCATATTTCAAAAACTAGAAAATCAGGTACAGGTGTTATCACTTTTATCACTTTTTATCACATTTAATAATAAAATACTAGTAATATATACTTATAAAGCGCACTTATCTAATAACTTACTCAAGGCGCTATACAAAGCAAAATACACAAATTACACAAATCTCTCTCCAGAATGTTAACAGGATATCATTAGTAACTCTGAGTAAATAAAAACAAAAACGTTTTACCATGTTTCTGAAAGGTTTCTAGGCATTGAATTTTACGAATGGCACCTGTTCCAGAGGATTGGTGCAACATGCACAAATGCACGAAAATAAAATTGTATTATCAACTTGTAGGCCTAATCATCCTTTAAAAAAAACTTCAACTAAAGGAATAAAAAGCAAAGAGAGAACAGATAAACATTCAGTTACTTTACCACCAAAAGAAGGCAAGAATACATGATAAAACTGGTCTTATAAAGATTATGTTTGATCGAACCAAAGAAATATCTCTCTGATCAAACCTTGAAACCTAAATTCTTCTTCATGCAAAATTCTGTGGAAGGACTTGGCACTTGTTAAGTTTGTGCCTCCTAATAATGTCCTTCTCCTTGTCAATGGAAAACAAACAAAGCTGTTTGGCATTCGAGTAAATCGATGCAAGTGTTTGTGTAACTGTCGACGTTGAAGTCAAGTCACTGCAGACAATCAATACCAAGGCCTCAAGGTCAAAAGTCAGACAATTGATTAAATATTAGCAAAACAATGGACAAATCAACCAATTGGCACCTGTATCTTTAGTTTTGTTTGATCAATGATCGTTATGAGTTACTGACAACCAAAGCCATGTTTTCGCGGAGGGGGGGGGGGGGGGGGGTTGGAACACTTTTTAAGAAGTTTTAAGGTAGGGTCTAGGTGGGGGGGGGGGGGTCGGTTGGATGGGAACAGGTGATATAATATTCTTATAAGGATTCACTGACGTATATTTATTTGTCTTTGATGCTAGTTTGTTACCTTTCATCTCAATTTAAAACTCATTTGATAGGTTTGAAATACTTCGATCTTGGAGTTCAAAGTTGATACAGCTATTAATAATTTTTTTTTTTTAAACTGAACAACATTATTCTTCAATCTTTCATCTTAATCTTTCATATTCTTCTTCTCCATCTTCCTGTTTCCTTCCTTACTCATAGGGCAACGTCAAATACACTACCAAGACTTCATACGTCATCAACCTGGACAACCAACGAGGGATCAGACCACGCCCCTCTCCGTCCTCAAGTTCCATCCTCCGCTCGGGGGCGCTTCCGTGACGCGCACATTCCATTGGTCGCGCTGAACTCGCTCGCTCCTTTCGCCACGACCTACAAACCAACATGCGGTTATTTCTTTTCGAGGTCCACTAACAACAAAAAGAAACAGATGGGAATCCCCGCTACGGATCTTGTGAAATACCGCTACTATGTGAAATAAGGATTGCAATATAATAGGACGTTTACATCAAAATGACTTTGATGAAAAGCTATTGTATATAATTTGGAATCAAACGCAGACGTCAAGTTGCTTTGGAACTGTCTTCCTTCGTTGTGTCTTTCATGGATGACGCAATATTATTGTGTGACGCACTTCTAATTCTTGCAATCTACTCTTGTATATAATAAAATGTTATGCCAATAGAATGTGTTTTGTATATTTATTTTTTAGTGTAAAATATACTTAACTGGAATCCAGGGGGGTGTTTCACAAAGTTCCTAAGTTGGACTTCACAATCATGGAAAGCCGTTAGCATCTTTGAAAATATTTAGTAAAAGTTATTTTAAAAAGCATACAATGTTGATTCAAAATCATTCATATTTTCTATTATCAAGGAAACTTCGGTTCCTTGATGTGGAATTTATAAAAGATCTAAAATACTTGATTTTTCGCATTTTAATATGTTTTATTTCAAGGCTTCAAATCGCTCTCCATAATGTTTAAGTCTAACTTAGAGTTAAGTTCAACTTTGGATCTCTGTGAAACACCCCCAGGTCTATTCATCAAACAGCGATGCAGAGAAGGTTTTAATCATGGAGGGGCACCGCATTTTGTATGTAGGCCTAATGTTTGTTTTTTTTTCTTGAGAGGGGGCACTTTATAGACTTCAACATAGTTTACAATGATTCGAGAGAAATCCTAATTTGCATGTTGGGTGACGAGTGAGAGAGAAAGAGGGGGACAGAGAGAGAGAGATAAAGAGAGAGAGAGAGAGAGAGAGAAAGAGAGAGAGAGAGAGAGAGAGAGAGAGAGAGTGAGTGTGTATATAATTATGGTCGAATCTTTGAAACCCTCTCTCTTTCTCCAGTACTGATTTGTTTTCATCATCCTTGGAGAAAGAGGGGAGGGGGTGTCCCATAGCCCCTTCGTTTCTGAAGTTCATCGTGCTATTTTAAGATTGGTTGAGTATTAGTGGAGAGATGAAGCGGAAGCATTCATTTGAGGAGTGTGTATGTGGAGGGGGGGGGGGTGGTGGGGGTCCCTGACAAAAATTATATATCAAAACTTAAAAACTATTATCGTTCAGAATGAAGATTATCATTGCAGTCAGCTCTGTGACGATGAGAAATAATCATCAGCCTACAGAGTACCGAAGCTGTGACGTCATAAAAATCTATTTTTAGAATTTCTCCATTTTTTCTTCATTTTCCGAAAGAGCATCAAAAATGATGTCCAAATGTTGAAAACCCTGTACAAAGTATGGCATGTGTAAAACACCAAATCAATGTTATTTTAAACGAAATTCTTTTCAGTAAAGTATTCAGTATTCAGGTAAAACAAATCAAAGTGATTATGTGGGGGCTCCCGTAAGTACACCCCTGCTCCCTTCACACTTATGTGAATGTTTTTCCAGGGGCTCCTTCCTTGATATTCAGTAGGTCCTGAGAGAGCTTACTAGGGACATTAAATAGGATGGGTATCAGTACCCTATAATAAACATACTTTATAATTCAATTCAAAGTAATTTAAATTCTAACACTAAGGATCATTCTCAAAAATTGTTATTGCAATATCAATTATGCTGAACCATGCCATCTCTAACAGGTCAAACCCATGTCGAAAGGACTCGGTTACAAACACCTTGACATAATACTGAGAAAGCTAAGAATGTAGAATACAAAAATGTTCTAAAGGAAGGGGGTGGCTAGCAAGGCCTCAAGCCACCCCCCCCCCTAATATATAGTTTAGTAAAACTGCAATGTCTGACAGTGCTCATCTGCGGGAGCAAATGTAGATATATTATATAGAGATTGAAAAGGTTCTATTATAAAGTTTTGGAAAATTTTGAAAATTGGATGAATTGTGATTCTTTACAATTTGATATATTTGGATACCCCTGTGGATGTATCATAAATTTGTTTCACACGAGGGCTCATCTGCAACTGATTCATTCATTCAACTCGTTTATTTTGCTGATGAGCCTTCGGGTGAAAAAAAAAAAAAAAAAAAAAAAAAAAATGTCATCACACTTGCTCAGAAATAATGACCAAAAATATAAGTAAAGGAATGATTATTAATTAGAAAATATGCGATATTCATGATAAATGCTTAGCTTTTTTTTAAAACAGTTTATGGATTGTATAACCGTTTGTAAAATGATGGAAAAGAAAAGGGGAAACAATATCAACAAAACTAAAATTACTCCCCATGTAGACCTATATTGAGTAAACTTGACAAAATAACAAGACGGGAGGACAGGAAGTCAGTCCTTTTATTGACGATGCTGAAATGTCGCCCTCTTCAGACTACGAGGTGTAACTTTGGTGTTGTCTACGCCAGAGAGAGAGAGAGAGAGAGAGAGAGAACATGGAGTAGGTCCATGGAGAGAGAGAGTGAGAGAGAGAGAACAAAAAGAGAGGGGAGGGAGGCAGAGAGGGAGAGAGAGAGAGAGAGAGCATGGAGTAGGTCCATGGAGAGAGAGAGAGAGAGAGAGAGAGAGAGCACAAAGAGAGGGGAGGGAGGCAGAGAGAGAGAGAGAGAGAGAGGGGGTGATATCGGAAAACAGGGGTGGGGCAGGGGAGGGAGAGGGGTGGGGCTAGCATGGAACTGTATGGAAGAGCAGACTACTAGGAGCTATAGGGATAACAATTATGATATATATGTACTCGCAGAATATAATTATAATTGCTTACTTTTAGACCTCAAATGCATAACAAAAAGAAGAACTATATTTTAAAAGCTAGTGCAGTTGCCGAATAGATTACAACCATAGTTATCAATTAATTTTCATGACTGCATATATTATTGAGGCACATGTATTTTTATTTTTTAATTGCAATTGGCGGACTGCGTGCAAATTAACTATATTTTTTTCTAGATTTTTCTATTTTACAGCAAACTTATTCAGAATCTAACTACAACTTTACAAGCCTGGCCAAGAAACAATTATTATGATCATTTAAAGTTCGAAATGCTAGATTGGAAAAAGATTTATTGTAAGTTTCAGTTTTTCGGAAAGATTTATGTATTCCCATTTTTTTTTAGCGCACTAACATTAATTCAAATATATGATGTGGCATATAGAAGATTAGAAATACTTACCTCTATCCCTACGATGTAAGGAATTGTATTTTTGATTTGTAAGCTAGCCATGCAAGATTTTGCTAAAAGTGACCAAAAAAACATGGAATATGTAGTGTATTCCTGTTTCCAGATAATATGTCTCGCTTTCTCTGAAACTTGCGACAACAAATTTTTTTCAGGTTTTTCTCCATGGCTCTTTTCGAACAATTTTGAAATTATAATTATCACGATGTTGAACTTGTTTTCACGGAGAACTTACTATAATAATAAAGTTGAACTTAGCAGTTCAAGAATTGAAAGACATACGATCGTGTACAAGCAGACAACTACACACACATACACCATAATTACACACAATACACGCAGACGACAATACACAAAATCACGACCCGCGAGCATACAAAAGACAAGAGCTCATTTAATATGCGGTTTCCCTAGCTCCAGAACCCTGATTTGCATACGGAAACGTAACGCGCCAGAAATCTCAGCCTTTTCATTGGCTTCCTGCGAGCACCACTGCTTATTAGCATAGCAGGTGCTCGTTCGCCGGCTTGGCGGGTAAATTCGGATCGTCAATTTTGCTATAAATATACCAGCGAAGCAGTTGCTCATCAGTTCGCATTTGAAATCTCAATTCGCTAACATGCCTCCTAAAGCACAAGCCGCCGGAAAGAAGGGATCGAAGAAGGCTAAGGCCCCCAGGCCTAGCGGGGACAAGAAGAGGAGACGAAAGAGGAAGGAAAGCTACGGAATCTACATCTACAAGGTTCTGAAGCAGGTCCACCCCGACACTGGTATCTCCAGCCGTGCCATGTCCATCATGAACAGCTTCGTCAACGATGTCTTCGAGCGCATCGCCGCCGAGGCTTCCCGTCTTGCCCACTACAACAAGAAGTCTACCATCACCAGCCGTGAGGTCCAGACCGCTGTCAGACTCCTCCTCCCCGGAGAGCTGGCCAAGCACGCCGTCTCTGAGGGCACCAAGGCTGTCACCAAATACACCACCTCCAAGTAAATTAGGAGTTTTATCCTGGTTGCTTGTAAACCCAACGGCTCTTTTTAGAGCCACCAAATATTCAAGAAAGAATCATTTTGTGCTCTTCACTTCTTATTCTTTCCATTTTTATACGATGTTAGTGTTCCTGGCCTCTAATCTTTATCACTGAACAACTTATGACTCAGACTAATGACAAAATTTGTATGTGTCAACTCGTACGGCTTATGATGTTAGGTTAAAATTATGAGAGATAGAATTACATAATAATGAAAGGAAACGATTACACAAGTTATATAAAAGTATACTTTTATTCGATAATTCATCTTTTTGTTAGTCACTAAAAATGAAACGTTAAACAATAATAATAACAATGTCCAGTTGTAATTTTAATAATAGAAATAAAGTGCACTCTATTTTAGCATTTTTGTATATTGGAATATTTCTGTCACGTCTGGCATGTCTGGAGGAATGATTACTGGTTTGGGCCTCGATCGACAGTGTTTTGAACGTTAGTTTCGCTTTCAATGGTTTTGGAAAATATGTATAGCTGCATAAAAAGCTAAACAATAATAAATAGACAACGATTGGCGTATAGCAACTTTTTAAGTTCAAGTTTGGAATGTTATGCTATGCCGTCTAATCAAAATCAATATAATTCAATTAACAGTTATTTTATAATCCATTTTGTGCCAGTCACAGAAAATTAGTGGCAGGAGGGCTACGTGTATTAGATCTGGCTCTGCATCATGTACACTTACAATTGATGTATTCCTCATGGTCCATATTTACATATTCATAACATGTCTACGGCTGCATTACAGTTTACAATACATGTGTATATGAAACGTCGGGCTTGTTGGAGAAAAAAAAAGACTCGTTAAAAAGAAAATATATATATATTTTATAGTGTTGGGACGAATCGGGTCTAACAACATACCGACAATTAATTTTCTAATCATGTACAAGTGATGTACATGCACATTTTCAAGGGGGAAAAAAAGAAAAAGAAAAAAACAATGATGCAAAGAAAATGCACGGGAGCTTGGAAAGAGGACCTGCAAATCAGAATTTTGCCCCTGAAGTTGGTGAGTTAATTTATCTCCTTGGTTCCATGTGTCGCGCGAAGTGAAATGACCTTTTCTTTCAAACGGTATTTTGTCCGTTTCTAAATATAGTTTTTTTCAAATTTTAATAACGCCATCTAGCGACGCCATCGCAACCATTCTGCAAGTATGAATACAGTCGTTATTAATTTATTAATATGATTTAAGGACATCCTGGGTTTCCTATATAGAGGCAACGCCACCAGAGCAAAATATCACTGAACTCCTTTGGGAGATCATTTTCTCAGATGGTCATATCTCGGCCAATACTTAACATATTCAATTGGGTTTCAACATGTGGACATTATTGTTGATGCTCTTTCGGAAAATGAAGGAAAAATTGAGAGCAGAGCCGGATCCGGAAGGGAGTGAAAGGGGGGGGGGGGGGGGGTTCGTTGTTGGAAAACTTACAACCCTCTCCCCTCTTCCCTTTAGCGAGTCTTCCTGCAAAGGCTGTCGTAATTTTGAGGGGGGGGGTGTGGTTGAGGGATAATGGGCTCTTTCAGTTCTCACATTCTCACACCCATCCTCGTTATGGGGAAGGAGGGGGGGGGGGGGGCGGCTCACGGATTTAAGTCACTTAACCGAACTATAGGCCTATTGCTATGTCATATTTCGATTGGATGTTACGTGAGTTTAGACAATAAAATAACATATACATATATAAGAAAATACAACATCATAAGCAATATTTCCCAGAAACTTTCATCTTTTTCTACTCTTTCTACTCGTCGGCGGTTTTGTCGATACTTTCGTTGATGCCGTGGAAACGGACTTTCGGGCATATTTGTCGTAGATATCGGGAAGAAAGTTCACTCTCTGCGGCACGTACTTCGGTACATTATGTGTTCTCTTTATCTGGGCTAAACTATCCAAATGATTAGCACTTTGATTAGTTTCTAATTTAATTTGCGGCAGGGGTTTTGGTGCCTTGGGTCTCTTCACCACTCTCCTCGCCCTCCGCCCAGGAGAATCCATTCGGTATTTTCGTCGTAGCACTTTGAATTTGACTGGGACGGCTTTGACCGCCGTCATCGTGAAACCCTTCGTAGTCATCTTCGACGAAACCGTAGGCAACACGACCTCGTTAGTAGCTTTGTCCGGATCATTGACGCGGGCGCTCGTCAGCTTGTTGACGTCACGCACGCACGCGATGACGTCATCGTCGCTGTAAGTCTGCTTGCCGGCGACTTTCATGTCCAGAAACTCTTTGGATCTGTGCGTGAAATTATGGATCGGCTTAGAAGGTCCCTGAATGCGACTTGATTGTGACGAATTCACAAGAATACCTGACTGTCTGCTGTCTCCTACAGTTTCATCATCGACGTTGTCATCCTCGGAATCGTCCTCGCCACCATGATCAGTCTTGACGACCTCGACCTTCCTTTTTGGTATAATTTTCGGCAAACGTACGCTCTCTTTTCTCTCGCAGTCATCTGCGTCGCCCTTGATTGCGCTCGCAAGTTTTGTTTTCATATGACGACGACTCTCACGTTTCACTGCCTCGGTTTCGCCTCGAGAAGTTCTATCTCTACGATCCTTATCGCCGTCGCCGTCATCGTCCGTATCGACATCCTCCCATTCGCTGTCATCGCTTGACGTTGCCGCTGACATCGTCGACTCCGCATACCCGCGGTCGAGGGTCTTCGGGAGCTGCGATTTCATCTCCGCCTTCAGTTCCGACATCCTCTTCAGCATGGCCTGGACGTCGACGGTGTTGAATCGTGATCGTGGCTTCAGACTCTTCCGAAAAGACTTTAGCTCTTTACTGAGGGTGACACCTTTATCATTGGGTGGGTTCACTGCAATAGATATTGTGAAAACGAGATAAACAGTTTAGCAAAGTATATATTGGGCCGGGGTGGGGGGGGGGGGGGTACTCGCATATTAAGACATACAGAGATGTACCGTTCTAATGGGTAACTTGTTTCACGAAAAATCCTTAAACATGAGTCCCATTTTTCAAAATTTTGAAAAATGGGCTTTACTTCGAGAACAGTCCGCCAAAATGACCCTTAAAATGGATAGAGGTTTCGAGGCCCCAGCGGCACATCCCCGTCAACCCCCCCCCCCCGGATATTGGGCCATGTTTCATAAAACATGTTGAAAATAAACAAGTTGCAATAATTGTTTTCAGCTAGTCCAATGGATTTGATTGGCTGTGAGCAAATTTGTTATTACAACAAGAGGGTTCTACATACATGTTTGACTTATTATCCCACTAACCTCACACAAAACACGATTACTCAAAGCAAAACAATATACCGAAAAACAACTTTTACAAAGATTTACCCACAAAGGATTGGATTTCCCATTCACTAACTCAACAAAATGCGCAATCGAATACATTTACACAATCATGAATATGTATATTACAACATAAGTTAGGATTCGTAACGATATAAATAAATACATATTGTTGGTAAAAAGCTTTACTAACCAAAGGCTAATTTGTGAAATAATAAAAGTTCGAAAATAAATAATTTCGCATGTATGACCTTGTGGATCGATATAATTGAATTTGAATGTGTATATTTTTGTAATGTGTGTGTGTGTGTGGGGGGGGGGGGTGTGCAGTATCATGAAAATAGGATGAAGAAGCAAAATATTCCTTTCCCAACAAAACCTATTTTTCAAGGGTAATAATGATTCAGGATTATTGTCCACGAAAAACCTGTAGAAAAACTACAGTCTCAATAACGGTGTACATTTTTTTGAGATTTAATTTTTACCTCCCCCCCCCCCCCCCCCCCCCCGTCTAAATACTGTAGTGACAACCAAATACTTACTTTCATACATGATCTCTACGCCTATCTTCCGCATGTCATTCTGTCTCTTCGTACGGTATTCAACCACGAGCTCGTAGAGGTCGGGTCGGGCGATGTAGTAGAGCAGGGTCTGGAGAAAGAAAAGACTGTTTTCGGCGAGAAGACGGTGCCTTTCGAGGATGGTCATCAAGCGAGCACCTTTCATCGCCTGGCGGAGAACCTCGGGCGGCTGGATGTGGTCTTGAGAAACGATTGAAATTAATTGATTAAATGATAATAGAGATAACAAATAAAACGGATGATTTTCAAGATTATGCAGATCTAGAAAGGCGTATGTACGCAGAGAGATAGTTGACCAAGAACAAATTCCCAATATTGGAAAGAGATTGAGAAGAAAAAAATCTATACAATGTCGATAAGGGTATAGGGAAAACATTCTCTAAGGATTATTGCACCTACTATTTTATCGACAGATTCAACCAATGAAGCATGGTTCATTCAATTTTTCAAGACGTTGAAGTTGCATCCCCGCTATGCCCCCCTAAACTGAGTTGCGTTTAGTTTTGCTTGTCAGAAATGTGCCTCCCCCCATCATCCCCTTCTCGGTGAAATAAGTTTGGACCATTTGGACCAGTATTTTGACTGATATAATCCCCGAGGGGGGGGGGGGGTGGGGGGTGGGGGGAGGGTACTCAGATTTGTTTGGACCGTGGGTGTGCCGCTCAAGCCTCGGAACCTCTACCCATTTTAAGGGTCATTTGGGGGATTTTTTCTTGAATTAAGGCCCATTATACCAATTTTCGGGTGTTTGCCATGCGAATACCCGACAATTTTGGAAATTTTGAAAAACGGACCCATTTTTAGTGATATTTTTGTTAACAATGGGAACTATTAGAACGGCATCCCCCGTGTGTCTTGATATGTGAGTACCCCCCCCCCCCCCTCCCCCGGGATATAACACAAGCGCTTTTTTTTTCTTCACATAGCTATACCTCTGCATAGAAATCTCATATCGGCGATATTTTCTCCCGTCAGATTCTCGCCGATATATCGAATCATCCATCGGAACTCCTTCTCCCTCGTCGTTCTCCATCGCCTGACTATCGCTTCGTCATCGTCGAGGCAGCCCAGCTTGAGCTTATGGTGATCGGATGGGTCGACTGCTGGTACGAGCGATAGTGGGGGCAGCAGGGGCATTGATCGAGCTGGACGATAGTAGCGGCCATGATGGTAATACCGTATTTGAGGCATGGTGGTCGTGATGGCAGCCATTCACGTGACGTCATAAAATGGTTAGAGTCGGCATTGCTCTGTATAATTATGACAAATGAATATGACAGAAAGAAAAATAAATAAAGATTCTATTTAAAAATACCCATCACCCGACAAGCAAAAGGTCTGCCAGAAGGGGAAGAGAGAGAGAGAGAGAGAGAGAAGGAGAGAGAGAGAGGGGGGGGGGGGGGGGGGGAGAGAAAGAGAAAGAGTGAGAGAGAGAGAGAGAGAGAGAGAGGGACAGCAAGAGAGAATGGGGAAAAGTGGCGTGTCCAGAAATTGATTTCAAAAGGGGGAGTATATGCATGTTCGCTGCTGTATGATTTTGAAATATTCATAGCAATTTTTATCATTTTGTATAGATCATATACCACCTTGGCTTGATTATAATATGGGGAAGGGGGCATGGACTGACATCGGAATAATAAACTGGATAGGTCACGGCTGCCCACCCCCACCCCTCACACACACACACACACACACACACACGCACATACAAAATAACCAAATGCACCCGGGAGCGCATATTCAACCCCCCCCCTTCCATCTTCATCTCTTTCCTCCATCCGCAAACCATATTGGAAGCCTGAGTAAATCACCGGGTAAATCGCAGACTATGATACTTGATAGCTTGGCCAAAACTCCCGCTTTCAGATCGGGATCAATGAAGTATTGATTGACTGGACAGCGTAATAGATTGCCATGTACAGGGTGGACTCGGGGTGGTTTGTAAACGCAAACACAGATCGATAAACATGATATACGACAGCTCGGTCATATTCCCCCTTTCCGTCTTTTATGCAACATTTCTTTGATGTTACTGTGTACTGCCATAACATTTTAGTTTGTTGTTGTTGTTATCTTAGAGTGAAATAGTGTCTTTAACACCTTTGCCGGTTTTCTATTTTTATACATCTATAACGAAAATTTTCTCCCATTAACCACGTTTACTATGTTCAAAGACGGACATAATCATAAGGGCACATACAATTATTTACTGGCAATCATCAATCCGATAAGATGTGCCCGCTTCAGGTTGGAAGAAATTGTGAATTTAGTTATTAATAGTCGGATTTGACAGCTGGCCGAAGCGAGTTCAATTTTGTAGAGAACGATTAGGGCTAATATCAATTGAAGAAACAAAAATAAAGAGGTCGCAATGTCATCATGTCAGACATGTCATCCAAATTGATATTATTGGAATAGCCTATATTTTGAAGGGAGTTAGCTATTCTTCATTTTTTTTTTCGGGAGGGAGGGGGGGGGGGGGTCGGGAATACGGAAAGGGATCATTTTGAATTTTGAAGTTGGAAGCAAAGCCCAAGTAGAATTTAGAAATGTATGAGTACGTTGCCTTCATAAAAATAATTGTATCTGCATCCGCGGGACGACAAAATATTATGAGTTTGAAAAGGAAGAAAATTACCTACAAATAAAATAAGCTAAACTGGCTATATACAATTAATATTATAGAGTATATCAACGCGTTATAGTTAAAAATAGTAGACCCTCGATCATAGGCTATCGAGAAATGAGAATGCGTTCACTATAACATGTACATCTCCGTTTAGTAGCAGACATGTGTACAACGAAACAACACGTCAGACGTGTATTAGCTGCTTTGTTAAAAATACTTGATAATGCATATTAATTCTCTCATATTTCACGATTCATTGTGATCATAATGCTAGTTATATTTTCATTCAGAACTGGTCAATCATAAATTATGAACATATAGCTATATTCACTAAGGTTTTATCGAGTTTTACACGATTCTTACCGTCGCTGAAATGTCGCGAAGTTGACAATAATTATACTTTTTCAAAAAGATAGTAAAGTAAAATCTGTGGTAGACCTACAATAAACTTACTTTATATTTGTCAAATCCTGGTGCAGTCCTTTGTGCCCCCAGTCGTAGGACTATGAACATAAGACAATCATATTTATGTCTCGTTGAAGCATAACACACGAATGGTTCTCCACAATGTTCCTTTGCTTTCGACACCTCTGTTAATTACATGTGAAACGAACACTATACCTTATCAAACAAAACGCAATGTTTATTGTAGTCAAACGTCCCGAAATACATGTTATCCGTAAGCCGGTAAATCTTCCTTGTACACACGTACACGCGAAGAATGATGGTTCAGTCGGTTATATGTGCCTTGGCTACTGTACACAAACTTCGAATGAAAAAAAAGAGAAGAAAGAAGAAGATAAATAGAACAAATTATGTACGGCTTCGTCCCACCAGTTCTCTACTTTGACATGTTTGGGGCGATCTTTATTGACCCTTGTTCGGGAGTACATTGTCACAAAAGATGTCGTATCGATTTGCAGGGAGAGTGGAGTATGTTTGAGAGGATGGTGGACGAGGGTCTGACGGAGAGAGAGAGAGAGAGAGAGAGAGAGAGAGAGAAAGAGAGGGAGGGGTAATCATGTAGGCGGAATTATACAGTTGTATTGGATGAAACATAATTCAGGGAAGAGCTAGAGAGAGAAACAAAAGAGGAGGAAAGAGAGAGAGAGAGAGAGAGATAGAGAGGGTTGGGGGATAGGGGAAGCATAGGTAGGCGGAATTATACAGTTGCATTGGATGAAACATAATCGGAGGAAGAGAGAGAAAGAAAGAGGAGGAAAAAGAGGAGAGAGAGAGAGAGAGAGAGAAAGAGAGAAAGAGAGAGAGGGGGGGCCGGGGGGGGGGGGGGGGGGGGGGAGAGGGGGGGGGGGGGGAGACCCGTCTCGAATGTTTTGGTAGGTAGGCCTTTATAATGTTTTTTTTTAAATCAATGTGTTTAATGAACAATACAAAAATAAAACAATAGAACGGAAATAAGGAATGATAAAGATACTAATACTTTTTATGACGGCAGAACATTGCTCTCAACTTTTTTGAGGCCGATAGCACCGATCAAAGCGCTCTTCAATCGCGTACGTCGGTGATATTCTATAGGCCTACACCTCTCATAAAGTTAAACATCCAAGCACATGTTCTGTGATTGTGTTTTGATCTTTCATGAACCGTTTTAAACCATATGAACTACGAGTGTAATTCTCGAAATCAACCATCATCCCATTTGCAAAGGAGGGCGGGTCACAGCTAGCAACCTGTTCCTCTGTTTAACTGTTGCTAAGCTACGACCAAGTTTGTTTCCTTTTGGTTCAGCCTCGTTCACAACTATTATATGTAAGAATTAACAAACCACGCACAAAGCGTACTTGTTATTTATTTAATTTAAAACCATATTACCGAACGATCCAGAGTGACCCAGAGGTCACGAATATGCGAATACCAATAGATTTGTCTGCTCTTTGTGTAAAATCGCCGCTGAAGCCGACATAAGTCCTTATATTGTTCATGATTTCTGTCACAGAATTTGACTTAAATGTAAGAAAATCGTTTAATTATATATAAAATGTATTTGATGAATGTTTTCAGATGTATCGAGAAGAATTAACGGTAAAATACACGTTTTTATGTTGAGCGTGTAAGTAGAGCGCGACATTTTGTCTAGTCCCACAGTGATGATTTCTGTGCAGTGTTTTTCACTGAGGTGAGTGAGAGATGTTGGCTTGTGTATAGATCTAGGCCTAGACCGAATTTTTCTGTCTCTTTCGTTCGTTAGCCTCTTATTGGGGTAGGGTCGGCTCTCTCTTAGAGAGAGCCGACCCTACCCCAATAAGAGGCTAACGAACGAAAGAGACAGAAAAATTCGGTCTAATCTAGGCCTAGATCTAGGCAAATATTTGCTCTTGGGCATAGATATAACCCATTGTGCGTTCCTGAACTGAAGTCAGTCTAACATATGATATTATATTTTATAAGTGACAAGGACAGACTTGAGATTGAAGCTAGTAAAAGTGAAAATTGAAAGGCAAACGAAAAAGGAGGGTTTTTTTCGGCCACTTACTTAGTCTTACTATCTTGGACTTAGCCACTTTGGACTCTTTACTTCCTATTTATTATCATTTCTTGTTCAAATCATGAAGCAAATACTATTATTATTTGAACAAAAAAAGAATCCCAGAAAAAAAATCATGAATTGCCATGACAATATTCATTTCCATTTTTGATGTTTCGGAGGTAGTTTTTGGCCTAGCGAGGCAGTTTTCAGCCACATGTACAAAGTCATTAGGAAGCAAGCGTGCGCGCGCCGTGCGTTACCTTGCTGATCTATAGCACTAGCGGCCGGAGCAGGTATCCAACGCCGGAGGTTGCCGTGCCTAAATCTACCTCTGCGGTGCAGTGATCAGAAATTGGAATCTGAATTAGACGGAGATATCGTGTGTGTGCTGCGGTATCCGGCTGCATTGATTTAATACATGCGATGAGATACTTTTGAGCTTGCGACTCACACACAAAGTCGGGCTCTAAATCTGAAAATACTAGAAATACAGCTCATTTCATGGTACCCATATTCCTTACAGACACGCGTAAGATAGACTACTCAATTTTTCAGATTTGAGTAGCGGGATCGCCGATTACATCGCTAAAATGTGATATTTAGGGATATATTTTCCATTGCAAATGTGGTTCTTCAGTGACTCTGCCATGTTGTTGTATGTGTGTGATATGTGCTGTTATGCAATGTTTTTTAATGGGATTTTACCATGCATCCAACGGACCGGCAGAAAACTGCCACCAACCGAATAACCCCTCCTTTACCCTAGGCCCTAAATTATAATTATGATTTATGAATAACCTAGATCCATTTCTTTGTCATGTGATGAAAACAAGAGGAAAAATACGAAATTTGTTATGCAAAGACAAAGAAATAAAGTCATGTGGGGAGGGTATAAAGAAGGGAGAGAGAAAGAAGAGTGAGAGTGTGCAGTGAGATTGAAATAAATAGAAACAAATAGAATGGAAAACTGCAAAGAAAAATGAGACTTTATTTATAGTAGTAGAGCTATCATGGAAGAAGGAGGAGGAGGAGGAGGAGGAGGAGGAGGAGGATGGTAGAATAAGGAGAAATGAAGAGAAGGAAATAAACATTGTGTCATCAATGTTTTCAGATGTGCATATATTGTTGCCTCACTGCCTGCGCTGTGCGCTCACATCATATTTACATGGGCGCCAATTTAAATTACGGGTAAACAACTTTGTTTACCTGTTAATTAAAATGGCGTCTATATCTGCGCATGCACACTTTTGTAAACGTGAAAGGGTGTATTACATGTACATGTAGGTGTTAAAGGTAATACAAAGTTTTGGGAAATTTTGAAAATTGGGTGGATAGTGAATCTTTACAATTTTGATATATTTGGATGCCCCTGTGGATGTATTATAAGCACTTAAAAAATTATCCCGTAAAACACTTCTGTTTTCGAGAAAAATTGAATATAAAAATTTACCGGTGCTCCCGGTAAATTTTGATGAATTTCAAATAGCGTCTATGGCCGTACAACAGTAGCTGCGACCATGAAAATCTCAGAATATGTAGTTGTGATATATAATTTCCAAACGGGAATACCTAATCGGTCGATTTTAGTCAAGAAACTTTGTTTTATAGCTTAATTAATATCTTGACCTTGAGAGGGAGCTTTACCACATAACGTGTTTATTATTTACAATTTCATAACTTTAGAGTCGATTTCGACCGCGACAACGATCAGTGAATATTGTTGGATCACATTATGCTTCCAATATGTTCATTTGAACCAAATTCAAGACCCCATAGTACCCCATACCGAAACTTTGTATTACCTTTAAGCAGGTGAATGGCAATTTGCCATTAATCTTTTTATTCTTTATTTCTCCCTGGTTTTTTTCCACAGTAAACCTTTACTCACTAATGTTTTGAACATCCTGTAGCTACTGGTGAGGAAGTGATATCCCACAATGCCGTCTGCAGGAGCTGTTTGTGTTCCAACCATTACTCCACTGAGAGTGCCATATTCCGGTCAGACGAGCAATCAGATCGACACCAACACTCTTATTGAAATCAAATCAGGTTTGTTTCACATTTTCATTCCGTTTGATCCCTGTATCTTCAAGTTTAAGATAAACCACTATAAGGCGGTGTCACACAGAGGCCAAAACCGGATTTTAGTTATCCGGTTTTTAATTATCCTCTTTTTGGCTGTCTGACATCAATTATTCCTTCGAAAATCCCTTCAAAAATCCCTTCAAAAAACCTCATATGAAGCAAGATAATTCTCTCTTGAAAGGATTTTTCAAGGGTTTTTTGAAGGGATTTTTCTGTCTGACACCAATGTTGCAATAATTCCTTTTAATAAGCATTGTGACATCACACGTTTAAATGCGCGCATTTAAACGTGTGATGTCACAATGCGTATCTACCTAAACGGCGCATACTTTCGATTGAACGTGTAATGTCACATTGCTTATCTACCTAAACGGCGCGTGTGCAATGGCCCATCAAAAACCCAGATGTTAGTAATTCGGATTATTCTTAGCCTGTCTGTCAATAGTCTGTCATCGACGTAAGTGAAAAAAATAGATTTCTAAAATCTGGTTTATTCAAGATGGGCCGGGATTTTTTTGTGTGACACCGCCTACTATGAATCAAAGTGTTATAGTTAGAGGTCTAGTAGTCAAGTGGTTTGGGTCACTTGACTGAACATGTGAAGGTTATAGGTTCTAACCCCAGCATCACATGCCCTGTCAGTCTGTCACTATCGTCCATAGACAAGACATTAATCTACATTTGCCATTCTTTACCCAAGAGAGAAAAGGGCACTCGGTGGGATGATGAAAGGTTGTTGTTTTGATTGTACCTGTATTTGCCAAGACTAGCCCTTATAGTAACCATATGTAGGTAATACTCCCCACTTTTATAAAGTAACCTTTATAAACCAATATTTCTTGTATTTCTCTCTGTGACTTATATCTTTATTATAGCCACCCGCAATGCAGGCATCTACTTCAGTACCAATGGCAGTAAACCAGACCCCTTTGCACGCAAGGACAAGAACACAATCAAGTACAAGGGACCGTTCCTTCTCAACCATGGAAAGAGGACCATTAAAGCCATGGCTGTGTCTGGGTAAGAACAAAGAGATCACCCCGAAACTGCTGTTGTAGACTTGATAATGACAGCCATTGTAGTGTTAGTTTGTGAAAGTTTCTGCTTTATTTTTTATGTAATCTACTCTGTTAAATGTTTTTAGATTCCTAGTTTTGTATCACATTTTTCTAGATTCTTTTACAGGTGTCGTAGTTGAGTGGTTCAAGCACTTGTCGTTGGTTTGAGTTCCGACACGGCACTACTGACCTTTGGCAAGGCACTAATCAATATTTGCCACTACATACCCAGGAGAGATATGGGGCCTTGTAGGATGACAATACTGAATCTTTTTCTACAATCATTTCGGCACCTCGGAATGTGTGCACATTTGATGCTGTATTATTCACGACAATGATAGAATACATGTGGAAACTAATGTTAATTGAGCCTACAGTTCTTTGTATTAAATTTTCCCAGCATTATTTCTATTTCTATTTATTGAAAATCATAATGATATTTCATATTTTTCATGACAGCGACGGGCGAAGTGAGAGTCATGTGAACAGCAAGACCTTCATCGTTGACTGGGTTTCCCCTGACAACGATGAGAGCCATGAAGACGACGACCAGAGCTTCATCATGGACTCCAGGAGGCCGCAGAGATCACTCCATGTGAGTACACCCAAAAGAGAAACAAAGAATGAAACATAATTGGAGGAAGAGAGAGATAAATAAAGAAGAGGAAAGAGAAAGAGAGAGAGAGAGAAATAAAGAAGAGGAAAGAGAGAGAGAGAGAGAGAGAAATAAAGAAGAGGAAGAGAGAGAGAGAGAGAGAGAGAGAGAGAGAGAGACATAAAGAAGAGGAAAGAGAGAGAGAGAGAGAGAAAAATAAAGAAGAGGAAAGAGAGAGAGAGAGTAAAAGGGCAAAGTGGCCACTGTACACTACTTGACTTCTTAGACGGTTCACAACATCAATTACAGGGCTCTCTTGTCAAGTAGTTTTTATGTTTGGATAAGGCCTCAGAGATCACTCCATGTGAGTACACCAAAAAAGAAACAGAAAAAAGGTAGACACAGTTGACTTCTTAAAGGGATCCGGTAACTTTGTCTCAGATTCTGAAACAAAATCCTTGATTTAGCTCATGCTGCAATCATAATTATAAACCTTTGGGTCATACATGAATCCCATGACTTTTACAGGCTACATGTACTTGCCTGTCTGATTATCAAGATATCTATGATTGGAATTAGAAATTTCAGAATTTGTATTCCTTACAGTTTTTATAACACTACAGTCTATTGGGAAAATGAGTATGGTAAAACCGGATTTTTACTTTTTGAGGTACTTCATGATCATTTTGAAGTGCAATTTTTTGGGGGCTTCAATATAACACCACACTGAGTACACGTAGGGATTTAACATTGTCAAACGATGCCTTTAAGAAAGTCAAACAAACGATGAAAAGTTGTAGGAGCTTACCAAAACAATATCAAGGCTTTAAACTTGTAACTGCTTTCTATTTATGTGCATCATAGAATTCCTTGAACAATTCTGGTCCTTATGAGATGATTCAAACTAACGGCAGTATGGCTCTCGCAAGGTCATCAATGGTAAGTCAGAAATGCGGACGCCTTCCCTGATATTCATTTGACTTAGGTAGAAGTAGAAAAAGATAGAGAATACCAGGGGCCTGCCATATATTTCAGGCCTATAATTAATCCAAGGCCACCAAGGCCACCAAGGCCATGGCCGTGGATGCCCTTTTGATTGGCCTCAATGCCCCTCTCATTGGCCTCGGAGATTTTTTGTGCCCTTTCCAATTCTTCCTATTGGTGCTGTAATATAGGAATGTGCCCTACAGAAAAGTGGCCTTGCCCTAAAAATGTTGAAATTTAAGGCCTGATATTTGCAACTTATTTGGAATTGATATCAATCGCAACTATGTACATAAGAGATAGGAGACTGCAAACTTGCGATTGATCCGAATCAATCGCAATTCTTTATTAGATAGGGCCCAAATCCCTGACAGTTTCAACAAAAACTGATTATAATAAGGAAGCTATGAAATTTTAGAGTTGCAATCAATCATACAAAAACTGGGAACTCAGTGATGTACACATTAGTGATAGAGATTTAAAGATTTACAGATCTAAAATGCTCCCACATACCGTTTATAGATTTAATTTATTTACTTATTCATTTTATTTAGTCAGTTTTCTTTTATTTATTCATGTATGTATTCATTTCTTTACATTTAAATTTATATGCAATTTGTATGCTGAATGTAATGTGGAAATAGCTTCAAATGAAACATTAATGAATTATAATGCTACATCAATCTCTTTATCTTATTTTTTTAATGGAAATGTTAAATATCTAATATAATTATTTGAATATGATTTTCTCTCGTTACAGCCGATGCAGGGTAGCATGCCGCACAATGGCTGGGTAGGTCAGTCCCAACAGCAGCCACAGACTACTCTCAACCAGAACCCGGACTACTTTTTCCAGTGAGTATATTCCTTTGTAAATAATAAACTCTTTCTGTTGTATAGCTCCCTCTCAAGACTGATATTACCTTAGCTTTAAAACAAGGTTTCTTGGCTACAATCGACCGATTTGCTATTCACGTTTGGAAATGATATATCAGAATTGCATTCTGAGATTTTCATTACTTAGCTACCATGGAATGGCCTTAGGGGCTTTTCGATTATTTAAATATCGCGAAAGCAGAAGTGTTTTATGGGCTTAATTTTCTAGTGCTTATAATACATCCACAGGGGCATCCAATTATATCAACATTTTAAAGAATTACAATCCAAGCAATTTTCAAAATTTCCCAAAACTTTGCATTACCTTATAATGTACATTATAAGACTTCTTGACTTTTGTTTTAAACAATATTCCACCTTACCATTTATCACAATATCTTTTCTTCTGTTAGCTATCACATGCATCAGACGAGCCCTCGTCAGGCCTCCATGCGGCAGTCTGTTGGTTCAGGGCCTGCCATGGTCCAGCCTCCTGTTGTCGTTGACGTAAGTAGTGAAACCTCAAGAAATCTTTTTTTTTTAAAGAGTAGATATTTAAATCAATTATGCAAGAAGAATGTAAGTATCTTTTGGTATAACAGTTGTGTATAACTATCTAATATAACTTTTAAATACCAAAGGTAAGATATGTAGTGGAATGTGTATTAATGGTAACTAAAATTACATTATGATATATGTCCAGTCCTCTCACCCCTCTCGTTCTCTCTTTCTCCCTCCCTCTCTATCTCCTTCTCCCATCTCTCTTTCTCTTGGTTCTTTCTTTTTTCTTCCTTTTTCCCTTTTCTTTCTCTATCTCTCTCTTCCCCCCTCTCTCTCCACTATCATATTTTTTGCTTTTTTATCTCTTTCTCCCTTCCTCTCTATCTCTTTCTTCCAATCTCTCTTTCTCTTTCTTCTTTGTTTCATCTTCCTTTCTCCCTTTTTCTTTCTCTACCCCACCCTCCCCTCCCTCTCTCTCTCTCCACTCTCATTTTTCTTTCTCCCTCTTTCCCTTCCTCCCTCCCTCCCTCTCTCTCCATTCTTTCTGCATATATTTATCATGTTATCTCTTTCTTTCTCCCTCTCCCCACTCCCCAAACTTTCTGTAAGTACATGTATTTATCAAACTGTCTCTTTCTTTCTCCCTCTCCCTACTCCCCAAACTTTCTGTAAGTACATGTATTCATCAGACTGTCTCTTTCTTTTTCCCTCTCCCCACTCTTTCTGTATATACATATATTCATCAAACTTTTTCTTTCTTTGTCCCTCTCCCCACTCCACACTCTTCCTGTACGAAGAAATATTTATCACATTGTCTCTCTCTCTCTCTCCCTCCCCCCCCCCCCCACTCCACAGGCCATGGCTAGCTACAACAACCAGGAGGCGTGGCGACCAGTCAGTGTGCCCCTCCCTGCTGTCCTCAACCAATCCACCGCCACCCAGACCGTCGGCCTCTTCTACCCCACCCACGAACAGGTCACCCGCTCGCCCCAGGACGTGGAGGCGGTTCGCCAGGTCCGGGAGCAGATCACCACTGGAACGGGAACGGGAACGGGCCCCGCCCAGGAGAAGGCGCGGCTGACGGACATCAGCCCGGGGAAGGGTTACTGGAAGCGGCAGATCGCGCACATCGCGGCTCACCTTGAGGCGTTCTCGCAGAAGGACGCAGAGTTCAGAGCTGGCGTGGGAAAACCCAAGATGGGCAAGGTGAGGGAGAGGCTGTGACTGTGGAGTTATCTTGAAATCTGGAACCCGTTTCAAGAAGCCTTTTTTCAATGACAAATCAGAAGCAAGGATTTCACTAGCTTACAACAAAAACTGTCATTTGTCACTGATGACAAGTTTTGTGAAATGGGGGCCTGGTGACATGACATACTGATAAAACAAAACAAAATCTTACAAATTTCTACCTCACAGTTTAATGACAGAAAGTGTGTTTATTGCATGGTGATGTAGATATACAATAGGCTTACGGTTGCACCATGCGAGGAGGGGGGAGGGGGGGGGGGATTGGGGAGTCCTGAAAAGGACTGTCTGTAATCTTTCTTTCTTTAGTGTGTTTGTAGTCCTGAAAAGGACTGTTGGTAATCTTTCTTAGCTTATAGCGCCGGTTGATAAGCATGGGTGGTAGGAGTGGCTCGACGTTTCGAACAGGTTGACTATCCGTCGTCAGGAGAGGGGAATGGCTGGTGTAATTGTTGCACCAATGACCACTGAATGCAATTCTACATTACTTTTAAATTATTTGTAATTTCTTTTTGCCGTGTATCCACAGTTTTGAACATGAATTGACTGCTATATTACTATGTGTTACATTGTCCATTTCTTGACCATAGATGACATATGCCAGTATTGAAGATGATGGAGTGGACGTCACAGTGACCATCAGTCTGGAGTCCAGGGGGTCAACCCCTCCGGTCAGAGGAAACAGAGCTCAAGTTGCTAGACAAGGTAGGTTTAACGTCCTTCGGAGAGGACCTATACTGTTTTTTTCTTTTCTTTTCTCCCGATTTACCTCTATTTTCCTGAATTTTTCTATTTTTTTCAAATTTTCTTACTCAAAATGGGGGGGGGGGGGGGGGGGGAAGTTGATATTTCCCCCCCCCCCCCCCCCCCCCCCGAATCCCTTTTTTTTTTTTACTTAAGAGGAAAAAAACAAACAAACTATTTAGTGCTCACTATCACCCCTGCTAACAAGCATTTATGATTTCTTAGCAGTAAGGTAAAATAGCCACCACTACTAATACGATCATTATCTTGAAGGATATTATCAAAATAATGAACAGTAGAGTAAATTGGGTAGTAGAGGTGTTTTGGTCTAGTGGATAAGTCACTGGACTGTAGATCTCAAGGTTCAGGGTTCAAATCCCAGGCTAGCACTACCCTCCTTTGGCAAAAAAAATTAATCTAGATTTGTCACCCTCCACCCAGGCGTTAAATGGGTACCCGTTATAATGCAAATGTTGTTGAAATCTGCTCAGCATTGTGAGTGTCTGGCTGGAAGGTTCCCCAAGGTGTGGATAATATGCATACTGTATTTGCCGGCGTAAAGGCCGCAGTATTTTTGGAAGAGAAAATATCAAAAAGTCAGGGTGCGGCCTATGCGGCGAAAGAGTAAAAAAAACAAAAAACTTGCAAGTCAAAACCATGAAACACAGCACGAATTTGTACATATGGGACAACAATGAAAGGTGATGGACATTTCTAGAATAATTGTCTAGAATAACACATGTCTTACCGACCATTATGTGTTATATTTATTAAATGAAGGGCAAAGTTTTGCCAATCTCTTAAATAAAATTCATAACTTACCAACCAGACTCAACTGGTAGATCTAGATTTAAGTTTTTGCCGTAGCTAAAGCCTCTGGATCGCGTGAGCAAACCTATGGCCCAATGCATAAGAGAGAGGCTCAATGTATACATGAGAAAAAACTGCAAGCTGTAGTATCAGTGCGGGATGGCCGAGCGGTCTAAGGTGGTGATTTTGGTCACATCAACATTTGTAGGGAAGGGTTCAAATACAACTACCGACAATTTAAAAAAAATTAAATGTCAAAATCGGGGGTGCGGCCTATGCGGCGGTGCGGCCTTATTGCCGGCAAATATGGTACACTGTATGCGGGCAAGCCTGAATCCGTTGAACTGGAATAATAATAATATATCTGTAAAGCACTTAGAGATATCGTCGATGTATTAAGCGCTATAAAAAGATGGAATATTACTATCAGTATTTAAGTTAGTTTTGTAATGATATTCTACACTGTACTTTAAAGTAATCTATTTACATAAAGGCAGAATTTATTATGATACATTTAATTCATATTGCTTATAAATAATTTCTTGTTCTGTGCTATTTTTTTTCTAGATGCTATCAATGCAAAGAGCAAGAGTGAATCTGGTAAGACACTTTTTGTATTTCATTGTTTTATGAATCTAACATCAAGCTATTGGTGACTTGAACAAACAATAGACCAATTCTTGTATTCCTAAAGGTCAAAGGTGAATGTTGACCTGTCGAGATACAAGATACAAGTAGTACTATTTTGCAGCATGCATAGTACATAAGCTAGGAATATGCAAAAAGAAATCAAAGATCGGCAATACAATTTATAAAATGGGAAAAATTTATGGACTGGTATACCAGAGCTAGAAGAGTATCAAGCCCACACAATCCAATCCAAATTAATGTTTGAGCATTTTTTCCTTGCAATTGCAAACTTCTTGACAATTTGCTCCACAATGTGTATGCATCTGTGCCTTTTGATCCAATGAAAATTCATGTTCTCTCATTACTTAGTAGGACTCCCACAGGTTAGTCTTATATCCTGTTGTTTTTGTCATCTTTTTAAATAGATTCGCCTTATGGAGCGACAACAAGGAAGAAGAAACCCCTGACTAAGAGGCTAGCAGCCAAGAAGAAAGTAGAAGAGGAGAGATTGACGGTAATTCAGTCTGTGATATCGGACTTTTGATGTCGTATACGCTGTACTTTTAATCTTGTGTTAAGAGAAAATGTTTTGGTATTGCCCATTAACTTTTCTTTTCCAAATTCATATCTTTTGTAAGATGAATTTATCTCGGTGATAGTATAATGAAAATTTAGATGTTGAAGACTGCTTATGTATAGTTTGTATACATTATGAACATTTATGAATATGTATGCATGTTTCTGAATATATAAAGTATAATGAATATTTTCATTAAAGCCCCACTGTCCTACTTGTAGCTACTTGCTCCCTCTATCTAGAAAACTTCCCCAATCGGTGCCTGTTGGTCCCCCATGATCCTCTTTTTGTTATGTTAGTTGAGAGCTGAGTTAATGAGATAGCCACCTGTAAGTGACCTCACTGTGTGGTCTAATCCCCTCTGGCCCAGTAGTAATGACAGTCTTTAAAGCTGTAAGTATGTATAAATTGATACGTATAAGTTAATTTTTATTAATATTCATGAATTTGATCATGTTCATGAATGTTTAAATGAATATGTTTAAATATTCATAAACAATTTTTCTTCCCTATCAGCCTGAGGAGAAGCAATTGATAAGAGAATTGGGACCAAGAGGAGAGGGCAACATTGATATTGTGCAAGACATGCTTGATGAGGTAAGGTGGATATCAAAGGAACAGATCACACACCCCCCACCCCCCCCCCCCAAAAAAAAAAAAAAAAAAAAATAATAATAATAATAATTTAAAAAATACATAAATAAATAAATGAATTTAAAAAAAAAAAAAAATATATATATATATATATATATATTAATTAATTCATAAATTATAAAAAAAAAACCAATTCTTGGCTCTGTGTGTTTGGTATTCCATGAAGTTATGCTAGTAGCCTTTTATGTTACCTTGTAGAGAAACACAGAAATAGCACTTTCATTCATTTCTGTGATACTCAGTGATGAGTTCATGCTCCACAGAAGTGGAATGATAATGACGAATCACCTCTCCCAATTCTTGGCCCTGTGTTTTGGGGATTCCACACAAAATACCTTATCTTTTTATGCCTCCACCACCGAAGGTGGTGCCGGAAGCATCATGTTTTCGGGTTGTCCGTCCGTACGTCCGTCCCGTTTGACCGTTATCACAATATCTCAAGAACCATTTAAGATTTAAACTTAAGACTCGGGAATAGTATTTATCACCATAGGAAGACGATCTGATTAGATTTTGGAGTACGTAGGTCAAAGGTCACAGGTCACAGAGGTCAACTTATGAAATTCCTTGTATTGAGTTTGTTAGCGCGATATCTCAAGAACCATTTGAGATTTAAACTTCAAACTTAAGGATAGTATGTATCACCATAGGAAGACGATCTGATTAGATTTTGGAGCACGTATGTCAAAGGTCAAGGGTCACAGAGGTCAACTTATGAAATTCCATACATTGAGATTGTTATGCCTCCGCTACAAAGTAGCCGGAGGCATTATGTTTTCTGGTTGTCCGTCCGTCCGTACGTCCGTCCGTACGTACGTCCGTACGTCCCGTTCTCGTGATCGCATTATCTCAAGAACCAATTGATGGATTCTCTCTAAACTTGGATCATGTATGTATCTTGCAGAGCCAATGAACTGATTAGATTTTGGGGTCACGAGGTCGAAGGTCAAAGGTCACAGGGCTCATTATGTATTCAAAAATAGCTTGTGATCGCAATATCTCAAGAACCGATCAATGGATTCCTGCCAAACTTGGGTCATATATGTATCTAACAGAGCCAATGAACTGATTAGATTTTGGGGTCACGAGGTCGGAGGTCAAAGGTCACAGGGCTCATTATGTATTCAAAAATAGCTTGTGATCGCGTTATCTCAAGAACCGATCAATGGATTCGTGCCAAACTTGGGTCATGTATTTATCTAACAGAGCCAATGGACTGATTAGATTTTGGGGTCACGAGGTCGAAGGTCACAGGGCTCATTATGTCTGCAAAAATAGCTCGTGATCGCGTTATCTCAAGAACCGGTCAATGGATTCCTGCCAAACTTGGGTCATGTATGTATCTAACAGAGCCAATGAACTGATTATATTTTGGGGTCACGAGGTCAAAGGTCACAGGGCTCATTATGTATGCACAAATAGCTTGTGATCGCATTATAATGAGAACCAATAGACAGATTACTATCAAACTCAAGACATGTATATGTATCTTGCAGAGCCAATTAACTGATTAGATTTTAGGGTCATCAGGTCAAAGGTCATGGGGCTCATTATGTATGACTATAAATAGCTTGTGAATGCATTATTATTAAAACCGACAGATGGATTACAATCAAACTTGAATTTTAAAAATTGCTTCCGTTTTGGTTTGTAAAGTTGCTCTATGGCGGAGGCATCATTTTTGACTGCGCGCAGTCAAAATTCCATCTAGTTATCATTGATATCTCAAGAACCACTGGAGATTTAAACTTCAAACTTAGTGAAAGTGTGTATCACTATAGGAAAACAATCTGATTACATTTTGGAGCACGTAGGTCAAAGGTCAAGGGTCATAGAGGTCAACTTATGAAATTCCATACATTGAGATTGTTATCATGATATCTCAAGAACCACTGGAGATGTAAAAACTTCAAACTTAAGGATAGTATGTATCACCATAGGAAGACGATCTGATTAGATTTTGGAGCACGTAGGTCAAAGGTCAAGGGTCACAGAGGTCAACTTATGAAATTCCATACATTGAGATTGTTATCATAATATCTCAAGAACCACTGGAGATTTAAACTTCAAACTTAATGATAGTGTGTATCACCATAGGAAGACAATCTGATTAGATTTTGGAGCACGTAGGTCAAAGGTCAAGGGTCACAGAGGTCAACTTATGAAATTCCATACATTGAGATCGTTATCGCGATATCTCAAGAACCACTGGAGAATTTTCACTTCAAACTTAATGATAGTATGTATCACCATATCATAATATCTCAAGAACCACTGGAGATTTAAACTTCAAACTTAATGATAGTGTGTATCACCATAGGAAGACAATCTGATTAGATTTTGGAGCACGTAGGTCAAAGGTCAAGGGTCACAGAGGTCAACTTATGAAATTCCATACATTGAGATTGTTATCATGATATCTCAAGAACCACTGGAGATTTAAACTCCAAACTTGTTTAAATTGCTCTATGGCGGAGGCATCATTTTCGACTGCGCGCAGTCAAAATTCCATCTAGTTTTGTATTGCAGTAAAGGTACAGGTACATGTATATATGAAACATAGATTTCATTTCTGCAAAGAGAATCGATACTCAAACCGATTATCATTTTCTTCTCAGGGAGCGGATCCTAACTGCGAGACCAAGGATGGAGTCTCGGCCATTGTACATGCTGCAATGAACAACCAGGTGGAGAGTATACCGTTACTTGCAGACGCAGGGGCAGAGATTAACAGAAAGACACCGGTTAGGTAGGATCTTCATAGAATTTTGTTGTTGCCATTGCCTGTTGTTGTTGTTGTTGTTTAATTTAGACAAGTCAGTCAATTTATGACCATTATTGCCGAATACTATAATAATTTTTTTTTTTATTCAAATGTACATCTGTTCGTCCTTATCTTTTATAACATTGTTATGAATATCATTCCCAATGTCTGCATATTATTAATCAATAAGTTTACTGTTAAGGGCTAAATGTATATATGTTATTGTTCCAAATTCTACTTTTGTTTTTGTGTTATCAGTGCTCTGATCAGTATTCTGTATAAGTACTAAACTTCTGAACTTTTTGTATGTTCCTAGGCATTCTGGCAAGTTATTCCATAAAACAATGAGAGGGACATGACATAAGAGGGAGACAGATTCAGATAGACGGGGAAATATAAACACATATACATGTATAGTCCACATGCTGCTAAGTGTGCAGTGCAATTTCCACTCTAGCCTCCCACATGGTTTGTAACTTTTACACCATGCCTAGGATGGCATTGCTAATAACCCTATATATCATTATCATCACCATCTACTTTTCATCTTGGCAGGAAGGGCAACACAGCTCTCCATGAGGCCGTGCTCCTCGGCCCGGACGGCCAGGAGGTCATCGAGGCCCTCCTCGACTCGGGCGCTAACCCCAAGGTCCAGAACAACAAGGGCGACATGCCCTACGACCTGGCCGTTGCCAACGGTTACTCGTCCATCGTGGCGCTTTTCACCTCCAGTATGGGCCAGGACATGCTGAAGAAGATGACGCATTCCAAGAAGGATAAAGGAAAGAAGGGGAGGAGGAAGGAGACGGAGAGTGAGGACGAGAGCGAAGAGGAGGAGAAGCCAAGGAGGAAGAGCAAGAAGTATAAAGAGAAACTGCCCAAGGTGGGTTGATCTGTTAGAAATGTAGATGGTTTGAAGCCCCACTGCACTAGTTTGGCCAGAAGAGATTAGACCCCCCCCCCCCCCTGTGTGGTCTCTCGCAGGTGGTTATCTCATCAAATCAGCTCTCAATTAACATAAGAAATAGGGGATCAACGGGTTACGCTTGGGCATTGTTGGCTGTATAGAGGGCGCAAGTACCTACAAGTAGTGCAGTCCACTTTAAGACTGATTAAAGATCCTGTTGAAACTTTAGACAGGATCTTGAGAGTAAATGCTATCTTTAGCTTGGAATGTAAGCAAAAAAACCACATCCAATTTGCAACACCTGATATATAAATTAGATAGTGTCTTTTCATTAAGAATAATACCAATTATATTCATTCTTCGGCTCAAATAATAATCACATCATAGACATCATAAATGGATCATTTTGTTGAATCATTACCCAAAACACGAGTGCATACCACAATATGAAAAAGAATGTAGATGTTTTGTGTGCATTTTTTTGTCAACTCATCGATAATGTTTGTATCTTTCACTCTGTTTTTTCTGTCATGCAGGATAAGGGCACTGTTGTCCCCGTGTCAAAGTTCAACCCTGAGAACGACGCTGAGAAACTCAGGAAAGCCATGAAAGGATTAGGTGAGTTTTGAGATGCTAGTTTGGAGGAAGGTATTGGTATATTTAATTTATTATGATTGATGTGATTCTAGATCAACTATCCTCTCCTTGGATAAATAAATATTCCCAGAAAAAATATCTCATTCTAATTCCTGAACTCAGACCTCTCTAAGACAACTAACCATGATGACTATAGGTCCGTGGACAAATACTGCCCCCATCCTCCTACCGGACCCCCCCCCCCCTTCCCAGGCAACTACCCCCTTGTCAGTGGGCAATTAGGGAAACTTGTCACAGGGGCATTTGTCTGATTTTTACCGGTAGCTTTATGGCAAAATCCATGGTTGTTACTGGCAGAGTGATGAATACCTCGAAAACTCACAATAAAAAAAAGAAGAATATATTGCCTTGAATGCTTAGGGGTGGGTTCCATCCTCCCTCCCTCCATCGTTGCTGAGATCATTTTTAAGATATGAATATGTTAGCAAAGAAAATAGTACTAAGCTGGAAGAATTGTTGAATATACTTTAACTTTTATGTTTCACTTAATCATTGAGTTATTAATGTAAAAATGTATCAAAATTATGGAAATAAAAACCTCGCTTCAGGATAAGAGAAAAAAAAAATCCTCCCTCCCTCCACCTGAGCACTAAAGATTCTTGAAAATGGACAAAACAAATCATTGTTCATGTTTGATTGTTTCCACTTGTTATGTTCTCCTTTCTTTTGAACTAAGGTACTGATGAGCAAGCAATCATTGATGTTCTCGCTAATCGATCAAACGACCAACGGCAGAAGATTGCCAAACAGTTCAAGCAGATGTTTGGAAAGGTAACACTTCCCTCTTCTTAACCTTTTGACTACCAAATCATCTCTTCCCTTGTTTGTTTAATATGTTCTTACCTTGTACAAGTTGTATCAAAGGATACGCATGACATATATACAATATTCTGTCCAGAGTTTCCTATATGTTATACTGAATGGTGAAGATTTCAAATGAAGGACATTTGCCAACAAACTTAGTATAATACCTAATCAGTCTATCTCTCTCTCTCTCTCTCTCTCTCTCTCTCTCTTTCTCTCTCTCTTTCTCTAATCTCCCTCTCCCCCGCTCTTTCTCTCATCTCTCTCTCTTGCTCTCTCTCTCTCTGTCTATCTCTCATCAGGATTTATTGAAGGAACTCAAGAGTGAGCTGAGTGGCAAACTCTTGGATGTAGTACAAGGACTGATGATGACCCCTTCTCAGTACGATGCTTATCAACTCAACAAGGCAGTCAAGGTGAGAGATGTGGTTATATATGCACCACTCTTCTTTCTTATACCCTGCATATTGTACGTACTGTACATACATACTTGTGTATTTTAGAATAGATCTTTCTAAAAAATTGTGTGACAGGCAAATTATCATTTCGAATAAAGCTAATATATTGAGCAGTAATGTTCAAAATTTGAAGTGCACCTAATTAATGGATTTAAAAGCCAAGCCAAGAAGATGATCATTTAAACATTTATTGAACATCACTGTGATTATAAACGACTTTGCTACTCCCCTCTGCCGTAATGAAGAAATGTAAGCTTTCGGTTATGAAAGTTCTGTTTAGATTTGTGCCCTTAAAAGGGAGATTTCTTGCCAGTGATTTGTATGTATTATGTGTCTTTATACCAGAACTCATTCTGTAGACTGTAGGGTCTTGAATTTTTTTTCTTCTCCACAATCAGTAGAAAAATTACTCATTTTGATAAGCTTTCCTTTGCCGTGCTGCAAGTTCCTTCAGACCTACAGGTATGGGGTAGCTGGTGATGTTGCTGATGCAGTACCAGAGCACCAGATGTGTGTGTGACACAAGAAATCTTGAACGAAAGAATTAGAATTGTCCGAGCCGTTAGTAGAACGCATGGTACGTGCATCGTGCATAATTGTTAATTTTGGTTAAAACAACTGTAGCGTCAGTCTAGCGTCCACCAAGATTGATGCATGTTGTGGATACGAGCGTGACAATTTGCGTATCGCGACTCGACGATCGCTGGCGCAGCCGCAGTCTGTGTTGAATTATCCATCTGGTGGACTTGGTGCTGTCTCATGAGAGTATGCTGCTCTTATTTCACTTCGTGGAGTGATTGGTGGTGGCAACACGGTCACTGATTGCATCAGCAACAACAAAAGCACTAGCTATGACAAAGGTCTGAAGGAGCTTGCAGCACAGCAAGTGATGGTTACCAAAACAGGAATTTTTGCACTGATAGTGGAGAAAGACAAAAATATTCAGGTTATATCAGCAATCAGAGGTATTTTTTTAGCCAGATTCCAGAGCTGGGACCCGTTTTCATAAAGCTTTTTTTCAGTGACAAATGATAAAAATCAGTGACAAATCTGCTGATAACCAATCAGAAGCAAGGATTTCAGTAGCTTACAACTAAAGCTGTCATTTGTCACAGATGACAAGTTTTGTGAAATGGGGCCCAGGTCTTACAGAGAGTTTTAGAGTCAATAACCTCAAGTCACCCTCAGCCCCTGTCCATCTAAAAGTTGTGGTTGGTGTTCTGTCTCTAATATCTAAATATCATTTTAAATCTGTTCTTATAGGGTCTGGGCACCAATGAGGAGATACTGATTGAAATTCTATGTACAAGAACCAACAGCTCCATCGAAGCCATCAAAAATGTGTACGAAGATGGTAAGTAGTCAACAACTGAAATAAAACTGCCCACATGTTGATACAATGTATTATATTTTCCACCGAGTTAAGCAGGTCATACTATTTATTCTGATATAAACTTGCTGGACTTTAACCCCTATTAAGAAGAATTTGGTTCTCACTTGTTAAATGTTAATACTTTGTGTGCGTGTGGGGGGGGGGGGGGAATGAAGATGTAGTACCGTAACAGCCCTATTAATCCAACATACATCCGTCACCTGGGCTTTAAAGTGGGACTGCACTACTTGTAGCTACTTGCGCCCTCTATAGAGCAAACAATGCCTAAGCGGTACCTGTTGGTCCCCCATGATCCCCTTTTTAATTGAGAAATGATTTGATGAGATAACCACCTGTCAGTGGCCATGCAGGGAGGTCTAATCCCTCCTGGCCAAACTAGTGCAGATAGGCTTTAAGGTTGGGGTTAGGGCTAAGCTTAGGGTTAAGGGTTGGTTTTGAGGTTAGGGTTAATGTTTAGTGTTGAGGTTAGAGTTCGGCCTAGCGTTGGGTCCATAGTTGAAGCGACAAATTGTGTTAGTGGAGGGGCCAACCATAGAGTAATCATCAATGGAGCATGTTGCAAAACCCATGTTGGACATCTTCTCTTTATAATACAGTTAAACTTGTCTATAGTGACCGCCCAAGCGAAACACAAAAAGTGGTCTTTGTAGACAGGTGGTCTTTGTAGACAGGTTCCTTTAGTACATGTTTCAATGAGAATCCTTTTTAAGGGAAACAAAAAATGTGGTCTTTGTAGACAGGTGGTCACTAAAGTTTGACTGTATGTTTTTCTTTCTTGCTGTAGCGTATGGAGAGGAGCTGGAGGAAGCCATTGCTGATGATACCTCAGGCCACTTTGAGCGGCTTCTGATCTCTGTCCTGCAGGGGTCCAGGCCAGAGGGAGACGAGGTGGATCCAGACAAAGCCAAGGCTGATGCGGAGGTGAGATGGAGTGATTGATTAGGGGAAGACTAGATGTGGATGGGGGGGGGGGGGGGGGGGGGGAGGGAGTGAAAAAAATAAATGAACAGGAGAGATAGCAGAGAGGATGAAAGAGAAAGAGATAGAGAGAGAGATGGGGGAAAGGGGGGATGAGGTGGATCCAGACAAAGCCAAGGCTGATGCGGAGGTGAGGGATAGAGTGATTGATCAGGGGAAGACTAGATGTGGGTGGGGGGGGGGGGGCGAATAAAATAAATGAACAGGAGAGATACGATAAAGAGAGGAAGAGAGAGAGAGAGATGGGGAAAAAAGGGGGGATGAGGTGGATCCAGACAAAGCCAAGGCTGACGCGGAGGTGAGCGATCGAGTAATTGATCAGGGGAGGACTAGATGTGGATGGGGGGGGGGGAGTGAATAAAATAAATGAACAGGAGAGATAGCAGAGAGGAAGAGAAAAAGAGAGAGAGAGATAGAGAGAGATATAGAGAAGGAAAGAGAGATGTGGGAGAAAAAGATAAAAAGGTAGAGAAAAGGGAGTGAGAAGGAGGGAGAGATGACAATAAATGAGGGGTTAGGGAGGAGGAGGAAAGAAAGAGAGAGAGAGTCGGAGATGACCCTAGAGAGAAAGAAGCTGTGGTAGTAAGACAAACAGAGTGAGAGATGGATTCTACACTCATTGTACTTAGTAGCCAGAAAATTTAAGAGAGATAATCTCGCGGTTACATACACAGTCACATCATTATCACATCATTATCTTTCTCTATAGGCACTATACAAAGCAGGGGAAGCCAAGTGGGGGACAGACGAGTCGCGCTTCAACGTGATCATGATGTCAAGGAGCTACGCCCAGCTGAGGGCGACGTTCGAGGAGTACGGGAAGCTGGGCAAGCACGACATTGAGCAGGCCATCAAGAAAGAGATGTCAGGTGACCTGAAAGAAGCCATGTTAACAGTTGGTAAGTCGGTAGACCTCTCCTCTCATTCAAGTAGCAGGTTCACCAATTCAAAAATTCCAACTTAACGCTTTCTTTTATATAGTCAGAGCTGCCAACAAGTACGATTTCATCGTATTACATGCCGCTCATTGGTTCATTGAACGATCACTCATGACGAACCCTTGCATATTCAACAAAATATTTGTAAAATGTACCCATGCATAATTCTTCAAAATTTCAACGAACACAGTCTAACAAAAAAAAGTACTTATCGATCAAAAATAGGATTTTTGTTCAATTGGGGTTGGCAGCTCTTGATAGTTTTTAACTTATCATGCATTGTTCATTAGTCTTTTCTTATATGATTGGATTGTTTCAAGCAAATTGATTATAACTTTGATTTTAATTTTCATGTCTCGTTTCCATTGGGCAAACACACTTCAAAAAGAAATCCAGAAACTTCCATAATTATTATTTTGATGTTTTTGATTTCTCAATAATCTTGCTTCTTTAAACATGTCAAGACTAATTGTTATTAACAAGTAAATACAAATTGATGTCTGGAATACAATTCCTAACTGTTAATTTTTTATTTTTGTCTTCAACAGTGAGATGTGTTCGTAACAAGCATAAATACTTCTCAGACAAGCTGTATAAAACAATGAAGGTAAGTTGAAAAAAAGAAGAAGAAAATATAAGAAAATGAGCTACCCCTGGAGTTTGTTTGGATGAAGCTTGGGTATGTGATCTTAGCAGTTTCCAGAGATAAAGTTTGAGCCCCTTTACTAATGGAAAGCTTGATGTTTTTTTGGTCCAAATCTATTGCTGCAATGTGCATGCATAGAATAGGTATTTAGTTTCTTTTTTTCTTTCTTGTGTAAATGTTATATATAAAATACGTCAAATAATGAAACATTGGATAGGAAAACAGATGTGTGGGCATTCTTTTGTAAATGTACATTATAAATCTGCTACTTCAGTGAGTTGTGGATATTTCACCGGACTGTAGAACACATGGTTTGTAGTTCGCGTCCCACCATGTCACTAATGTCCTTTGGCAAGACATTAGTCTACATTTGCCACTCTCCACCCAGGTGAAGTAAATGGGTACCTGGTAGGAAGAGATTCCTAGAATGCTCTAGTGCCTTATTATGGCGCTCAACTACAGCAGGGGTATTAATGTGATACTTTGTATTTAACGCAGTAGAGTATATTCATAAAGTAGCCACGCTTTGTGAATGGACCTATTATTATCTTATTATGATTAAAGTGGCGTAAATGATTTAAAGAGGATAGTGTGATTATTGACCTTTCTATTTGAATGTTGTTGTTTTTTTGTACAGGGAGCTGGTACTGATGACGACACTTTGAAGAGGATCATTGTCTCTCGCGCTGAGGTAGACATGCTGAACATCAAGGGAGAATTCCAGTCTGCCTACTCACAGACACTCGGACAATTTGTTGCAGTGAGTACTTTAGCATTAATAGAACAGTTTAATAACGTATTCAAATTTATGGATGTTTCTTTCCTGGGGAGCTAGGGGCGATTTATTCCATTAACTTGTCATTCATGAATGAACTACAATACTCAGAATCCAGTGTGTATATTTTACTTGTTGCTATGTCGGGCAAGCCTCAGACAAGCCTTTGGGTTGTCAAGAACAACCTTTGTTTCAAAAGTATGCATTAAATTTGAATATGTTAGTAAAGCGGTCCATTGCACCCTGACCCATGCAGTCATAGAATAAAACAATTGAACGACGGTCAAAGCCTGTTCATAATTATCATTCAAAGGAATAGAGACAAACATTATTTCGTGAAAGATCAGTCTTTGAAAGATTTTAATTTCATTTATTTTAATTTCGAAACGTAACATAAAACAATTCAACATGATGACATGTGTAGGGCATGGTCAATGATCATAAAATATCAAACAAACTTACAATAAATAAATATATACAACATGACTTGGATCATAAAGATCTAACAATTACTTAATTTGTTCCATAATGTTCAAGATATGGCATGATTCAATTTTGTTTTTCTATTACCAAAAACCTAAACAAAAGAAGACAAGAAAACAAGAAAAGATGTTTGGAAATGCAGAGGCTGAATGATAGCCCCCTCCCCCCCCCCCCCTCGGAAAATTTGAACATTAATAATTGAAGTATATAGTGATAAATGTACATAGACGTTGACATAGACATTGATAAAGTAAAATTACACATAGCATGATCACTAAGAAAGAGTATAAGGACACAGGGAATGATAGAGGAAGAAGGACGGTAGATCAAAGAAAACGAGTCGGAAGAATGGGAAGGATATCTATGTAGAGGTGTCGTGGTCGAGTGGATATGTCACCGGACTGTGGATCACAAGATCTGCGGTTCAAGTACCGCCGCGGTACTAATGTCCTTTGGCAAGACATTGATCTACATTTGCCACTCTCCACCCAGGTGTTAAATGGGTACCCGGTAGGATGCGAAAGCTAATGTGGTTTGATTAGCAATGGCGCTGGTAAAATGGCGACTGGCTAGAATGCTCCCCAGGGAGTGGAGAATGTGCATACCTTGTGTGCGGGTAAGCCTGAATCCGATGACCGGGGTAATAATATGTTCCGCGCCTAGAAACAAAGTATTAGGCGCATTATAAATGTGAGCTATTATTATTATTATTTTTATCTAGAGAGAAAAGGAAAGAGAACTCATGGCGAAGTTAAGAACAAACAAGTAGGGACAATTGTAGAAATAAATATTGAATATCATGAAATGATAAAGTTTTATATTGTGTTCTCATGTCTTTATTTTGTGATTTTCTTTCCTTTATTTAAATTAATTTTTTGTTTTCTATTTAACAGGATGACACATCTGGAGATTACAAGAAGATCCTTGTTGCCCTGGTGGGCGGTACCAACTAAGGCCTAGTGCGAACACACCCTCTTGTTGTTCAATCGGTGAAGTATGTGACCTGTTCATTTCATGAGGATCCCTTTCACCCCTGGCTGGTTGGTGTTTACACTAGCTAAGGAACAGTTTAAAGACTACGTATGTTGAGATCCAGAACGTCGTTCACTCTTTGTTAAAGTATATGAGTTAACGCCCTTCCGGCTCCGAACAGACGACTACCTCTCCTGTTTGATGGGTAAAGTATTTTATTAGAAGCGGTAGACTTCAAGGAGATTAGTTCAAGTCCAAGTTCAAGTTCAAGTTTTATTTCCACATGTGTTTCATAAAAAAAAAACAAGTATACATACATGTACATGTTCAGACATATAAAAAATGCAAAGTAACACAAAATTAGAATCTGTAGACTTCAAGGAGATCCCCTTTGACCTGATTGGCAGCACCAACTACAGTGTTGTGTAAACACTCCCTATATTAGAAGATCGTCATTATCCTGGTTGATGATATTAACTTAAAGATAAACTTTAGTTCTGGTTAAAAAAAGAAAATCAATTTTCACAGAATCTAACGAAACATACACTGAATGTTCAAGATTACAAATAAATGTCATGTGCCAAACAATTCTGGAAGAAAATGTATACTGGCTGAGTAATGAGCATAGAAAGATAAGGAAATCAAGTAGTACCAGCCCGACACCATTTGTGTTGTCCCATATACATCTTTCTGTGTAGTGTGCTTGTTACTTTACCAAGACTGAGCCAAATTTGTTATGAATTTGATGACTCCAGAACCTTGCAGTGCACACCAATACTTACATGCTACATGATCAACTTTTTCGATGCATTCCACACCTTTTCTTTCACAATGTAATCGCATGACCAGAACTCAAGTTTATCTTTAAGTACTGTGTGAACATCTCTTTATGTGAATATGACATGTGGAGTACATGTATATTAGCATGTAGAGTAGAAGAAGATCGATCGCCTTGCTTGGCAGTACCACCTTAAGCGTAGATGTGAACGCTCCCTTGTGTGCATGATGGCAGAGTTCACATGGTCACTGTTCAAAGTTCAAAGTTGATTCACACTATAAAGAAGAATGAACATGTAGTGTTGCATGTACCAACTAAAAGAGCATGTGAACTCCCCCTTTTGTATGTGTTGGCAAGGCATGTTAACTCTGTAGACAAAAGAACATTCTCACTGCACTGTTCTGTGATACCAACTAAATCATCATGTAAACACTTGCGTGCGATGGGTGAAGTAAGATTACCTGTAGATCAAAAGAACATGCCAGTTGCCTTAGTTGATTGTACAAGCTAATTTAGAGTATGAACACTCCCTCATGTGTAGAAGATGGGTGAAGTTTGTTAATTTATCGATGAAACAGCCTGAAAATGTTTGCATTCACTAAAAATACTAGTCATATGAGAATTAGATGGTCTTTTTGTAGATTTCAAAAAGAATTGCTAATCTATGTTAATACCAGAGGAAACAAAGGTAACATCAAAAAGGAACATTTTGTGTTACAATGGGTGAAGAAAGATAGGAAGAGTCATGAGGAATTAAAAATAGGTTTTTCAAGAACTAAACATTTTAAGAGTAGAAGAAAAGCAGAAGGAAAAGACAGTTACGAAGGAGCTCATGGGGAGGGACTATAGCAAGATTGAAAGAAAGACAGCAGTGGTGGAGAGGGAGAAAAAAAAAAGAAACGGGCCAAAAATAGATGAAAGATTAAAGATATAGAAAAGCTTTTCACAATAAAAGAGACATAATTGGCTACTTAGTTATTTATAGTGTAATAGCAACCAAAATTGGTAGAAAAAAGAAGAATGTTATCATTGAAGGAAAATGTAGTCTCCTGCAAATTATCCTCCTAAGCAGCGGGAAAGGAACGAAACCAAGATAATGAAAAATAGAGCTGTTATATAAATTTGAGACTGTAGTCATAACAAGACAAAAACTTTTCTTAAACGGGATAAGAGAAATAGAGGATTGGGTCAGCGAGAATTGCATGACAACGAGACAGCTCAGATTCTAGATAAGAAAGGCCCCTGACCTTATTTTAGTCAACAACATGATTTACTTTGTGGAAAATAGAGATATAGGTCTGATTTTCCAGTTTTCGTGCCATCCTGAGGGCTGTCAACCAGCGAACCCGACATATCGGTTACCCAATCCAGTAAACATTTACCGGTATCGATGACACGCCCTTGGGAGCTGTGGGAAGATGGGTTTTCTTGCACTTGACCTTGTGTAAACAAACTTGTCTCTCTTAGAGGTCGTGGAATGTGACCTTTGACCTCCCTCTTGGGTCACCAGCACGTCAGTGGCTTGTCACTTTAAAAGGAGAGTCGAGGTGGAGAGTTTGAGATGCAAGGTGGGGGGGGGGGGGGGGCGGGCGGCATAGGGCTAGGGATTGCAAGGTGGCATAATAAAATAGTAATGGTTAGAATAAAGAGAAATGGATGTAGAGGACAAGATCAAGATTATCAAGAAATCAAACAGAAAGAGGTGCAGATATAGAGATAAGGAGAGAGAGAGAGAGAGAGAGAGAGAGAGTGACAGAGAGATGTATAAAAAAGAAAGTAAAGAAAATCAAGAAAAGAAATAAGGGGTGAGGGAGAGATGAAAAGCTAAATTGCTAAAAAGAGATTGTTACTCATTAGCATTTATTAACAAATCATCATTGCAATAGAATTGGCATAGCTATTCTGTGATTTTACAATGTTCACCCCCCCCCCCCCCCCCGAAAGAAAAAGGAAGAAGAAAACAACTTAAATAAAAGGTTACATAAACAACATCATTGTGCTCTAAATTTATCACATATTTGCCCCAAAATGCTTAGTCAAGAGCACTCAGTGATATCCATTTACTTCTTTTCTGTGTCAAAGATCAAAGGTCATGTCAATGTTAATCATGTTATCAGCAGCAGTTACATTATATCTTTCAGACATTGTCTCTATTTTTACTCTTTTGCATTTCAAGCACCAATGTCTGGATATTCAGATTGTTTTAGAAAAAACTAAAAGTACATTGGCTACTTATTATACATTGTACAATGCACCTGTGACCTTTTGCTTCTCAAAGTAGGGTATGTCTGAAGTTTTTTTTATTCCTAGTCTACATATTTACTCAGAAGATTCCAATTTTGAATGTTGGTTATTGAATAATGATGATTATGAACTATTCAGGTGAACTATGTTGCAATCTACCAATGTATTGATCATGTAAACTTTCAGAATCGACAGGTTTGAAATTGTTTATGTAAATTCATGTAGCACTTTTCCATATTTATGAATTTCACTCTGGTTATATATTCCATAGGCACAGCAGTTATATGTATATATGTTGTATGAGATAGGACTATGTTTTAATCTACTGTAATATATTGAAGAATGTATATAATGTATTCATGTATAGGAGAAAAATTATTGAAATTGAGGAGTAAATACACTGTATTCCAATTTTTAAAGAATAATTCATAACCTTGAATATTTGTTTTGAGTATCTATGGAATTCTATTTAATTGAGTAATTGTGTTATATTAAATACAAAATGGACAACACCTGTTTATTAAAATGTGATTGTTTCTACTGCACTGATAATTTGTGATCAAAATGTGTTTTATAATTTGCAAGTAATACGTCATGGAATAACATCTATATTTTCTTGCAAGATATTGTGAAAATCAAATTACATGATTGTAAATATCGTTTGGTGATATGTAGATTATTGTAAGCAAATTAGATTTGGAAGCAGAAAGTGCCAATTGCGTGTTTAGTCTTTTTAATTACAAATACATCATTATTTTAAGTAGTCGGTCAGTAGTGTTGTACTTAATGGTCTTGAACTCTTTTGTTGTATTTATATATTTGTGATTGTGATATATTGGAGAATTTTAGAGTGTAAATACAAATTATTGAATCGAGTGTAGGCCTATATGCCATGAACAATCAATTGTAAAGTACATGGATAGTCTTTACATTGTGTATACATGTATATTTTGTTGGCTATGAAAGATGAGTGTAAAAATTCAAACAAAATAGAACAACTTTAGACTTTGCCTTTGACAATGTCTCTCTGAGAGAGAGAAAAAAATCCATCAATTTTTGTTTGATTTAAAAAGAGTTATCTATATGTCCCTGGTCATTCGATAGTTCCATCTCTTAAAGTGAAACAAAGCAGTAGCAGTACCCCCCCCCCCATGTCTTCTAGCCCCAATTTATTCTTGATTGAAAGGGAATTTAAGCAAGGCACATGTATTTAAAAAAATCGTCTTCTAGAACCATTCCTGAATTCTGTTAGAAGATAGTATCCATACATCTCTTAGTTATTCCTTCATAACCAATGCTTGTAACATTTGAGAGTTAACTGAAATATAGTTATATGTATTTTACAAAAGCAAACCAATGATTGTAACATTTGAGAGTTAACTGAAATGTAGTTATATGTATTTTACAAAAGCAAACCAATGCTTGTAACATTTCACAGTTAACTGAAATATAGTTATATGTATTTTACAAAAGCAAAAGTAATTATGATTCATCACTTTGTGGTCAAGCGGTTAAAAATCTTTTTTTTTTCTTTCTGATATTCAAATCATGAAACGTGTTTGTACGATCTTGTTTACATTTTTTAAAGAAACATGGGTATTGTTTCACAAAACCGTTTTAAGTACAAGTTCAACGACATCCCATTGAAACATGTGTATTAAACATTACACGCATTTCAATGGGATGTACTTATGACAGTTTCGTGAAACGGTGCCATGGACAGTCATTTGATTACATTTTTGTTTTCCTTTTACAATTATGAAATTTTGATTCTTCTTATAAATTAATTTTCAAATTGATGTTTTACCTCATAATCAGCACCTTGAATTTCATTGATAAAATGTGTCTAGTTTTAGAAATGTAAATTTGTGTATATAAGTAATTTTATGTATAGAGTCATGTACAAGTATGTAATGATAGTATATATAGGAGGAAAAACTAGACAGTAGATTATATTCCGACTGTTGGGAGCTAGAAGTGTTAACTCTTTCGGGATAATCCATTAATTTTGTGATTTGGCTCAATAACCCTCGGATCAGAGCCCTAAAAAATATTCAAGATACATAAGTAAAGGCAACATTTTTTACACACACTTTTTTTTTTTTTTCCATGACTATATTGCATTTGATGCTAGGAATTTAAAAAACAAAAACAAATCAGCTCTAAAATCTATAAATTGGCAACACGTGAGATTCAATATCATTATTTTTCGATCAAAATCAAAATCGGCAATTTTTAATTTTTTTGACATTCTAGTCCATGTAGGGCCAATGTTGTTTCAGAGACACTGCAATTAAAAGAAAAATATGACTGTTGCCATTTTGATGAACATTGTGTGATCAATATATCCCTAAAACAAAAAAATCAGGTCCCGAAAGGGTTAACTCATATGTGTTCTGGCTCTGCAACAGACTATTTGTTATGTGACAGTTATTGAGTAGAATGTGTGTATTTATCTGTGATGCAATGTATACAAGTCTTTCACCTTGATCAACTATTTAATATGAAGATTATCATGTGTATAAATGATTCCAGTACCAGCATAAGAAATGTATTCTACATGTCTAATAGGCACATTGGATCAGATGATATTGGCATTTCGATACTATAACAGGTTAAAAAGAGTATGTCGAAGCTCCTGAGTTAATGTCGTATTGACCTTCAATTTCCATGCACAGTATTGGCGAGAATTAAAAGGGTTGAAACTGAAATCTGTTCTTTATTTTTGATAAATGAGGCAGAACAACTTCTTATGATTCTACTGTAGAATGCATGGATTTTAAAGAAATCAACTTTAAACATAGATAGTTCACTTCTATGAATCAAATAAGGGATACTTCTATTGCCACTTTCTTTAAATTTTATCGGAAAAAAAATGTAAATCAGACCATGGTCAATGACGGATTCAGGGATTAATCACTTGAAATTGAATATATTAAAGGGGGATTTATTTTCTTCAGACTTACGATTAACAGAGAATGACTTTCGCTATCCACATCAGGGGTTTCGCGAGTGAGAGAAGGTAGGGGATTGGGATACCACTGGTATTTCCCTCACACTGTCAATATCGCCCATGATATGAATTATTTTTCATTGAGTCAGGAATCGAATTGTAGGAATCAAATGGCACACGTTTACTCAACACAAATTGTCAGGTTATGTGTAGTGTAAAGTATATGAATATCTTGTCTACGTCTAAAGTGTATGTACTAATAGAAATAAATACTTCTCATCGGAAGATGAAATAAATAAAGCTGTCTTTCGTATGTGTCAAGTCACAGTAGGCTGAAGGTTTATCTGTTTGTTTGACCTGATTGATGATAAAGCATGTGTGTGCTTGTAAGTATGCAACCAGGGGACCAACGGCTTAAAGTCCTCTCCGATGGAATTGGTAATGAAGATTAAGGCCTTACCAAAGGGCACTAGCGCACCGATTTGGTTTCGAACCCGGGACCTCCCAGTTACGAGAACACCGTTCTATACCACTGAGCCATCGCACCTCACTGAAGTATTTCCAAGTACTAGTATATCAGCATAGATGCGGTTTTCGCTAGAACAATTCTGAGGGAGGAAGGCCCGGGATTTAAAAAACTAAAACAAAAATGATTCCCGAATTCCTTTAGGAATCACACTTTTGGACAAGAAGATTCATCTTTTCCAAATGAAATTCATTTTCAGATTGAAATTTAGAAGCAATCACAAATCGTGTAGGTGTCTCTGGCAACCTCAATGGATTTTAATATTATAAGCCTTTACAAAAAAAGTAATTCATGCAAGAAGAAAAAAAAATCGAAGAAAATGTAAATCAGATCATGGTCAATGACCGTCTGATTCAGTCGGGCAAAAACCAAAATATCCCATGATATAATTCTCAGGTATAACCAGTATCGGTCTTAGAGGGGGCTGGGGACTCAGTCTCGGCTCCCTCCCCCTAAAATTAACACACACTCACACACACACAAATTGAGGGAGGCAAACGTAAACAAATTCAATATTGCAAGAACCCCAGAGCCCCCACCCCCTCCTATGCCCACTTCAAATTGTTTTTTTAAAAACAGTGCCGCTTTCGTGTAATCAGGCATGGATCAATTGCATTGTATACCTTTTTGACTTATCTGATCCTAAAGGGTCATCACTCATGGTGAGTTTGGGTATAAATTTCGTGCAGTACATTGCATACGATGGGCGGATTCAGCATTTTCCGAAAAGTGTGTAGTGTACAGTTCAGTGGTTGTCATCAGTGTAATACAAATTGACAACATTGTGACGTATCTTGTGAGCTCCAATTTGATATGTACATAAAATATAAACTTGATGACGAATAGATTTGTTTCATACAGCGGGTTTAAAACAAAAAAAAGAAAATATTTGAAATGTAGTATATTGAGGGTAAATGTTCGTTTCAGAATTTTCTTGGGGGAAAATATAAACTTTTAGATATTGTTTGTTTTTATTTGTGTGTGTATTATATGGTAAATGGGAGAGAACCTAAGAAACGTCACAGAGTTGTCAATTTGTGTTTGATTAATAGTAACTTCAAATATTCATGAATTTCTTATTCATATTCGGATTTTGCTCAAACTTTCAGTTTTCAGTTACCTGTTCCTTTTAGATATCTAGTTATTCTATTAAAACACAAAATTTCTATAATGTTCTTTCGGTAACTGTGTTAATTTATTATGGGCGTTCCCAACTCAAGCTACGCTTTCCGGGTTTTCGCCTCCTTCCGTATCTGAATTAATTACTGTATACTCTATGTTGAAATAATTGTTACATATATCATGTATATATACATTTTGTTTTATATTGTGCTGTTGAGAAGGAAATAAATGTTAATAAATAAATAAATAAAAAAATAAAAAACCAACTTGATATCAGGATGGACTTCGATCCCCTTTAAACCTTTAAGGATTGAAAGGAAAAGACAGACTATCGTAAAGTTGGACTATGAGGGTATGTCGTTTTCTCCCCCAATGAGGCCTAACATTCAAAGCTAGTGTCTATTACAAGAATATTGAATGATTTATGTCGAAGGGGTACTTATTTAGACTTGGAGGACCTTTTACTCGAGTGACGCCCTTATTTACAATGATCAATGAACCAATTTTTTTTTCTTCTTGTTCTTCTTTCTCTCCTTCCTCCTCCTCATCTTCTTTTTTTCTTCTTCTTCTTCTTCTTCTTCTTCTTCTTCTTCTTCTTTTTCCTCTTCTTCTTCTTCTTCTTCTTCTTCTTCTTCTTCTTCTTCTTCTTCTTCTTCTTCTTTTTCCTCTTCTTCTTCTGGTCAAACAAATTGTGTTCTATGTCCGTTTTCCAAAACCTTGTGTTTATAAGAGAATTTTTCATTGCTTTAATGGGAACAATTTGATCCCATTATAGTATTCAGTTAAGAACCGTCTTTTGTTTTTGTTCTTGTGTTGTTGTTCGTGTTTTTTGTTTGTTAAGTAGTTGTGGGGGTAAAGTTTAGAGCGGGGTGGGGAGAATAGAATAAATGATTTAAAAACGAACACAAACAAATAGCCTGCTATGCCTTCCACGAAATAAACATGCTTTTTATTCCCGAATTCCTCATATTTCATGTGTTTATGCATCGTCAATGACGTCATTCAACTTTTTGGGTCAAATGTGTCGTATTTCCAACTGTCAAATCATACAAATAGGCTGGAGTCTTCAAAAATCATCAGAATCATTATCAGCGAGAAGAGGACAAAACCGCTCAATATACATTTTGGTAATTTTGGTAATGGAAGTTTATCATGCTTTTTTTTCTCTTTTAAACTTTACGCAACATCGAGATATGGAATAAAACCTGAACGAAAAGTTTGTAATTTCGTTGATTTTGAAATAGGATGATATAATAAAAATAGATCAGCGGTACTCAGCACTACTTTTAGATTTTTATAAAGATTACCAACAAACACCAACACCATTTTGAGAGCGAGATACTAATTTGGTGCTTAGTTGTTGCATTAGACCTTTCTCAAAAGAACAATACTATGCTATATAGTATTTGCTTTCATATTTTCAATTTACACGTTTCCGTATTTCAAGACAATTTCTAGATCATTATTTTTTAAGTAGAACATCATAATAGGCCTATTCACTAACCGCTATTCGATCAGGCCAGGAAAACAGGAAAAAGAATGGTAAATGGGATTTTTTTTTCTCTCTCTTCTTAACGGGCAGCAAAGGAATATCATGATGACCTCAAACGGTTCGATATTAAAGCTATTCGTAGTCGTCTTCATTCTCGTCATCATTGACGTCGGGGATTGTGAACATTTTCGGGGTGGATCGATGTCATGGAGAGCTACGCCAAATGGGGTAAGTTTTTTTAGTTTGTCAATATCTTAATCATTTGATAGTTTGACTGTTAGGAAAGCATGTGTATGCTTAACGTAATCAACTGTGACCGATGGTTTTAAGTTCTCTCTGAGGGACTGGTTATTAGGATTACTGCCTTACCAAAGGGCTCTCCGACTAGTGCATCGACTTAGTGTCGAACCCAGGACCTCCTAGACCACTAGTCTACCACTGAGCCATCGCTCCTCTGCTTATTCCTTTCTTTATTTTTCAATTATACTTTTTAGGGGTCATCTCATACAACAGGAACATCAACAATGATAATGATAAAAATAATGATGATGATATTAATAATCATAATAAAGAAATTTATCATGCGCAACATATCCACCCAGGGGGGGGGGGGGGGGGGGGGCTCAAGGCGCTTACAATGAGCTACATAATTATAAACAATAATAAGATTATGTTTACATTACATATGGTGAAAAAGATGTTATTAGGTAAAGTTGGCCATTAGATAAGTTTTCAGACTGACCTTGAAATGATCTACTGATTTACAGTCCTTAAGATGTTGCTAATGTTAATACTATTGATGATGAAACGATAATAATATCAATACTATTACTGATACGATACGATAATATTATCAATATACTGATATTACTACTTCGAGTACTTCTAGTAATAATTCATCATCTCGATCACCATTATCAATATCGGTATCATTTTCTTCACCATTTTTTAAATGCCCCAGAATGTTGAGATCACGTACCGGCTCGCCTGGAAGGCAGATACCGATGAGGGCGACCACAACTGCACCTTCGACAGGGTCTCTGCGAACACACTGCTGAACGGTGATCGAGGAGGAATTCGAATCCAGTACCCCAATGTCACCAGAGATATCGGTTATGATCGGCACCGTTTGGACTACTATTGCACTGCAAGGTTAGGTTAAAGCATTGTTTATCGTTTCAATTCAATTCAATTCAATTCGTTTTATTAAACCATTTAAAATAAACAAAAATCAATATACAAATCATGAATGTATGAAAATTATTAATACAGTATAAATGGTCAGGGTGCCCCTAAAAGCCAAGGCTTGATTAATAATGGGGTGCCCAATATATAAAGAAATATACATTCAATAAACATGAGATACAAAACAAACTTAATTAAAAAAACAAAAAACATTAAACACTAAACATACAGGCAAAGGGATATAGGAAAAGGTGAAGTAAGAAAACTTAGGGAGGAGAGATGAAATTACATGTTTATTTGACATAGGTAATTATTATTGAACGTTTGAGTTTGGTTTTCAAGTTTCCATCTTTGAAATCTGAGATTCATGGCCCTTTGCGTTATCAGACAGTGTCTGTGATATGGTGTAATATATTAATTGAAGCCCTAACAAAATTGCTCTTTGAAATGATCATGAAGTGCTTCAAAAAAGTAAAAAATCTTTGAGTGACCGGTTTTACCATACTCATTTTACCAAATAGACTCTAGTTCTGTTCAAAACCGTTTGGCAAACGGTTTTGACAATCTTAATTCCAATCATAAATATCTTGATAATCAGACAGGCGATCGGCTTGTAAAAGTCATGGGATTTCTGACTGACCTAAAGGTTTACAATTATGATTGCAGCATGAGCTAAATTCCAGATTTTGTTTAGAATCTGAGGTAAAGTTGCCCAATCCTTTTAATACTTGCCGGTTTCACAAAGTTTGTAGAGACAAACTCGTGTCAGTCGCTGTGCGTAACAGTGTGTACAATGCGAGACTAGAGCATACTGCATATACATTAGGTTATGTATCTTTTGTTTTGTTTAGCTGCTCCGGACACTTTTGTTGTTTTTGTTGTTGTTTATTTTTGTTAGACAACAAGTCAAGACTATTATAAGAAATTATAATTATATGTGTGTATATATGAAAAACACGAAATAATGAGCAAAACTAAATACTTCCTTTTACTTATTGCAGACATAATTTTGTTATTATTGGTCCGATTCGCCCGATTTGTGCACCAGATGTATTTAATGCATATTTAAAACATTCGTGACTGTTATAAGTTATTTGTTTGATTTATAAATGTATATATACATATATTTTCACCAAATTTATGTTTTAGTACCTTCTCCGCTATGATTTTTCCTCATTGAAAAGAAAATCAAAATGTCTTTCCAATTAAACTTCGCCTGGTCGCACTATCAAGAAAATGGCTGCGCCCATGTCATAGTAAAAAGGCATTATGCATCATCATGCCAAGAATATCATTTGCATATCTCTTGTACACTTTTGTAAAGAATATTGTACATAAAAATGCAGGAAATACATATCATCTTTCCTCTTACCCCCCCCCCCCGCTAATTCAGCGGCCGGCTGAGTCGTTGCCATTTTTGGGGACAAAAAAAACACAAAAAACGTGTCCTCTTACCTCCACCACCCCCCTCCCACCCCCCCCCCCACTAATTCAGCGGCTGGCTGAGTCGTTGCGAAATTTTCGGCCCGATTTATAAATGTTAACCCCCCCCCCCCCTCCTTGAAAAAATCCTGCGTACGCCACTGCCTATACTTACTCTTTGGGGTGAGGTTCCTCTAATGTTTGACTGGCGCAATAGCTCACTGTTTGTAGAGCATTGGTCTCGTAATCCAGCGACCCGGGTTCGAAACCAAGGCGATGCGCAAGTGTGCTTTGGTAAGGCATTAATCCTCATTACCAGGTCTCTCGGAGAGGACCTAAAGCCGTCGGTCCTCTGGTCGCTTACTAACAAGCATTTATGCATTCTTAGCTGTCAGGTAAAACAACCACCACTACAAATATCACTACATATACTTTAAAGGGGAAGTCCACCCTGAAATTAAGTTAGTTTTAATAGGAGTAGAAAAATGAGAGAAACAAGTCAGTGAAAGTTTGAGCAAATTCCGATTAAAAATAAGGAAGTTAGGATTTCTGAAGTTGTGATCAATCAAACACAAATTGGCAACTCTATGACGTATCATGCGAGCTCAACTTCCATTTGCTCAGTACTAAAAAATCTAAAATTTTCATTTTCCCTCAAGAAAAATTTCAACCATACATGCACCCTAATTATAATAATTGCAAATATGTTTCTATACTCCCCCTGCAAGGAACAAATATATATTCCGTCATCAATAACGAAGAAAACATGATTTTATGGAATATTATGCACAAAGCAAATGAAGGAGAGCTCGTATAATAAATCACAGAGTTGCCAATTTGTATTTGATTGATCACAACTTCAATAATTCATAACTTTCTTATTTTCATTCAGAATTTGCTCAAACTTTCACTCACCTGATTTTCTTATTATTCTGCCTCTATCGAAACAAACTTATTTTTGGGGTGGACTTTCCCTTTAATGTTTCAGACACGAGGCGGCTGGCTACCCGGTAAGCCTGGACCGAAGCTGGGTGATGGGTGAAAACAAGAAGATTATCGCACCTCCGCCAGATGGACGTCTAGACTTTGATCTCTTGTAAGTACAACCATGATATGTTTTTTTAATCAAATCACTATTCAATTATATACTATCTATTTATTCATTCATTCATTATTGTTTATCTGTTTATTTATTTGTTTGTTCTTTTATCTAATCACTTTCTTATTTATGTATGTATTTAAACATTTATGTCATTCTTTAATATATTCATTGGCTCGATCATTCATATACCTATATATTCATATCTTTCTTTCTTGATTACATTTTTTAGGCTGTATTTTTTTAAAAATTTATTTATTTGTCTAACATTTATTTATTTAGTTATCATTTACTCATTCATTTATCATTTATTTATTCAGTTAGCATTTATGTATCTACTTACCTTTTTATTCATCATTTATCTACTTATTTATTTATACATATAGGTCTTTTCATTTTATCAACTTTTTATACTAATTGATTAATTCATTCTTTTATCATTTATTTCATCATTTAAAAAAAAAATCTTTATTATCGATTTATACACATTAGATTGATATAACTTTTCACTCGCATATTTTTTTCTTTTATTCTTTCAATCATTCATTTATCATTTATATGTATTGATTAGTTTAATCATTTATTCAACTTATTATTAGAAAAGGAAAAAGCAGACAATTGATGGAGAAAGAATATTTTGAAATGTACGAACGATTACATTTTCGGGATCCGAAAATGATTATATGCAATAATATATGGAATTGAATTGCCCTCAAATTAATTTCTTGAAACTCGTTGCGATCGTGATTCGCACTCGAACAAAATCGATTCAGTTTGGACTCTTGCTCGGTCAACAACAGTGACAACATAATTATCATTGTTGTCATTATTGTCGTTATTGTCATAATCATTATTTTTGGTTGCATAGTAGTAGCCTATAGTAGTAGTAGTAGTAGTAGCAGTAGGGAAGTAGTAGTAGTAGTAGTAGTAGTAGTAGAAGTAGTAGTGGTAGTAGTAGTAGAATAGTAGTAGTAGTAGTAGTAGTAGTAGTAGTAGTAGTAGTAGTAGTAGTAGTAGTAGTAGGATAATAGTAGTAGTAGTGGTAGTAGTAGGATAGTAGTAGTAGTAGTAGTAGTAGTAGTAGTACACTGTAGTAGCACTATTATTTGTATAATCATCATCGTCGTCATCATCATTATCAATATCAATATCGTCATTACTAGATGGGACTCGTGTTGCTGGGTCCATAGTCTGCTGAACTATGAACCTCCAAAGAACTGGGACTTCGTCATGTCGGTCAACCTGTCTGTCAGGGCGGACACGGGGGCAATCAACCACGCCCCTATCACCACCGGACTACCCGTCCAGAGGGTCAATAGGGGTTGCGCAAACGCCGTTCTAAACATACCAAGTGAGTATCGGTTCAAATTCAATTCAATTAAAGCCCCACTTCGCTACTCATAACTACTTGTGCCCTCTATTTAACAAACATTACCTAATCGGTGACCATTAGTCCCCCATGATCCCTTATTTCTTATGTGATAGCTTGATGAGATAACCACCTGTCACTGACCATGCAGGGAGGTGTAATCCATCCTGGCCAAACTTAGGCAGTGGGGCTTAAAAATGGTTTCGTGCACCGGTTTTAACCCTTTTTCTTTCAATCACGGCATAATTTTCAGAAATTAAAGGTTTCGCGTAACCCCAATCCCAAATTCATCACATGCTATTACTTGTGCATCACTTTGTAACTAGTCAAGTGCCGTGTGCACACTTACCATACATATTGGAATATTTGTTTCTTATTTTTGCTAACGGGCAAATCAAGTGAGCCCCCCTCCCCCCAAACAAAATACCAATTAAAAAAAAAATGTCATCTTTGATATGTTGAAATAATTATTCTGCGATCAACATACTAGATAATATATAACATAACGTATATGCGGTCACCCCGCCAACAAATATACAAGACAATGTGGATGTTCAGGCATCTCGTTCAAATACTAACAAGGAAATTTTCGTGAATGGGGTTTAGACTTAAATTAACGAATATTTTCAGCTTAAGTTTCGATAATAATGTATCCATATTATCCGCTTGATTTTCATTTGTATTTGTATCTCTTTTTATGTTTTGCTTTTTTACTTTTTTGTTTTCCCTTTTTGATTGAAAGCTTACGATGCGGACGGCGATGACGTAAGATGTCGATGGATTGACGGTGAAAGAGGCGAGTGTAGGAGCAATTGCAATGTTCGCCGCGTCTGGCCTATTTCAAAATGGCGTCTACAGGTAGGGTAGTAATCTAGGGGCGTGTAGTTTCGAATTGGAGGGGTCGTCGGACCTTGTAAACCGTATCCTGAAACCTACCCCCTGGACATCGACCCCCGGATAATCAACCCCTGGGTTTGAACCAGGGGGTAGTTGTCCTGGAGGGTGGTTGCCCTATAGGGGGTAGATGTCCTAGAACCCTTACAAACACAATCAGCCCTAGATCTTATACAAGCAAAGCAAGAAGAAAGTTAACAAATTAAACCAAAACAAAATCATCAATTTCTGCATTTTTAATTGCCAAGAATGCTCGAATATGTAATTCAAGATTTACCAATGGTAATGTGGGTTTCATTAAACACACCCCTTTATGTAGCGAAATCCCTGTAGTCAATACCGTCTTATTCTATCTATCTCAGTATCTTCTCCCGGTTCGGAGGTTGAATGCAACATCTCTCCATTTCACTCTATCTTCTGCCATTCTGGTGCACTCTTGCAGTTTTAGTCCACTCCAGTTCTTGACATTCTCTTCCCAGTTGATTCTACATGGTCTCCCTCTACGTCTATTTCCTTCCACTCTTCCTTCCAATACATCCTTTAAAAGGGTTTGGTGCCTTTTAACGTGACCAAAGTATTTGATCTTTCCCTCCTTAACTAATCCTACTAGTGCAATTTGTTTACGTCCTGCCATGTGCAATATCTCTTTGTTGGTTTTCATTCGTCTTATTATTCAGAGGTTAAACAGATTAGAAACGAGAGAGTAGTCAGCTCTCCCCCTCCCAAACCTATTAACAAAGTTACTCTATAATTTAACTAGAGTTAACTTTTTCGTTTCGGCTTTAAAACTACACGGGTGAACATACATATGTAATATGGCAATCAAAATAATAGGGAATCGTCATCAATAGTGATCTGTCAGTTTATGACAGGTTCAGTGACCCAATAAGAATTCTATGTCAAGTGTCAAGTGTCTCTCAAAATAGTAAATATTTTTAACGATCAGGAGACAAATCTTAGAGCCTCCCATCTCCCTTTCTAGAATCGAGAACTCGGCTGCCGCCTCATACTCCCCAACCCCGGTGCCATGGAAGTCGGCTGGTACGCCGTGGCCATCATGATCGAAGACTCCAGCAACGGCGTCGTCCACAGTAAGGTCCCCTTCCAGCTCATGCTGGAGGTCACTGGGGACATGACCTGTTCCAAGCCCGTCATCCTCGGCCCGTCGACGGGCTCCTGTTGGATCCTCCGGGTCGGGCAGACGTTCAGATTTAACGTCACCGCACAGACGACAAACAATGCAACAAGGTTAGCGAATAACCCAATTTAAGCTCCTAAATTCGTTAACAAAATTCAAGGAGGAAGGAGGAGTACGTTGATATGATGAAAAGTCCAATTTTTTGTTTATTTAAATGAGCTAAACAGAAAAGCATATAGAGTGTAAGCTTCTTTGAGAACAAAGTCATGTCGAATCCGTTTCCATGACCACCTGTTCTTAAAGGGCATCTGGGTAAGGGTGAAATGTGTGTTGCAGAGCCTTTTGCATAGCAAGGGCACATGGCTAAGGCATCTGAAGCCTTTTATTGTCAGACCTATATAGACCGAAAGCTTCATTCTCTGATATTGACGGTATCGCAGATATCCTCTGGCCCTGACCGCCTCACAAAGAGGTTGTATGTGTAAGTGAGTGGAGGTTGCACAGTGCTTGTGTTTACTTGATTGCCGATCTCATCGCGCACAGAAGCCTCAAGAAAATGGACAGATAAGCTAAATAATTGTTTTTGTTAAATAATTTGTTGATGTTGTTAGATTTTAGGCCTACCTCTGGGATGATTTAATTCATTTAGTTGTTTCCATGACCTCAGTTTTACGTCCCATGCGAAGTACATGAACTATAGGTATGGTTCATAATCTAAATGAAGTATCTATTATAATTCACCTAATATGCATTTTCTGACTACTGGCAATTAATTTCGGTTTCAGGAAATGCCAACATGAGACTCTCGTTAATAACTTGTGATGGACGTGAACTTTCAAAAGTAAGCCGGCTTTGTCCATTTTGCCTTCAACTTGTCCTCGTCGGTCTCTCTGATTCTTTCCCAAACTGAATCTTCCACAGGATCCGACAAATCGCCACGACCAGCGTGCGTGGAATGCAGAGGAGCCCTCTACGCCAGGTTCCAGGAAACCCATTGCAGGCTTACGTCACAATGTCATGGACACCGGAAGAGAATGACAGGGGTGTGTCTCTCTTCTGCTTCCAGCCAGAAGATACTACCGGGTAACAAAAATAGTGTTTTACCGCGATGTAATAGTTAACAGAATCATAACTACTTTCATCTGCTGTCAAAGGGGGGTGTAGCTTTGCAAATACTGGTTAACGCCATCTACGTCTTCTTTTGGACAACTGTACGTAAACGAATGGACTTGATGGACGGTAGTCAGCAACTTAATCTCTACATGGTCAGCGCGCGCTAGCGTTCGCGAAACAGACCCAAGTTCTTCTCACGCTTCGGTTTCGCGTACGGTTCCACGCACCGGCTGCGGTCGCGTCGTCCGAATTCGTATTATACCCGATTGGCCCCGAGTCAGGCCACGCGGGAAAGACACGTATAGTCTCGTCATGCTACACTCCCTTTAATTTTTTTTTTGTAATGAACATACCAGATATAAAATAATGTACGCGTGCAACCCGCCATCATGATAATTATATGCATGAATATGAGGATATTCGGGCATCTCGTTGCTCGGAATTATCCCTTTCTAAATGTTGCGAGGGGGTGAAGCGAACAACTTAGTAGTAACATAAATATGTAATTTTTATTCGAAAGATATAACAAGAGATTGTATCTTGGTCTATGATTTATATTTCTTTCCCGATTGTCATTAAATAGTGCAATACTGAAAACACCTCGTGGGAAACCGAAGAATCGTTAAAATTGGCCCAATAAAAATGACGCACCGATTGCAGACGTCATCTTAACATAATTATGCTTGTTTTAATGAAATCCCAATTTGTAAGTGGGCTTTGATGATGGGAAACGCTTTGTTTGTAACGTTAACACTGATGTATATTTCTCTATACCTCTGTCACAAAATGAAACCCTCCTTGGTTATAGTAATATTACGATTTTCTTCCCCCTCAAATTCAGGTTGCAAGGAAGTCAAGGATGTATTGACATTTCAGTGGGAGGTAAGATAGAGTTTAGCTTCGAACCACAAATATGCTCACCCCAAGCACTTCAACTCCATACACACTCCTTCGGCCCCCTCCCCCTCCTCCGTATCCCTTCACTAAATTCCTGATAAATCCTGTTTTTATTTGAACCAATGACAGACGAGATGAGTTTTTAATAATGTTGTTTTTAGTACGCCTATTAATATTTTCAGTGATTACAACTTTTGAATGTTACTGTTTCATACTGTCTCTCTTTGTCAACATAATGTCTCTATAATTCCTTTCAAATCTCCATGAATTTTAGATCTGTGCACAGTCATGACTCCTATTATTTCATAACAAAAAAAAAGGAAGAGATGAAAAGCAACAACTGATACTTTCCGACAAATAGGGTTTCCAGCTTTCACCATTTCCAGTTTACATTCTAGTTGATATCCCCTATCAATAATAAGTTTTAACTGAATATAGGGCTCGTTAGCACTGAATGAAACCGTGCATTATGCATCTCGTGTAATTATCATGAATTTGTTAATCGCATTTGTTTACTTGTACTTATATTATCATTTATAATTATTAATAATTGATCAATATTGTAGTTATTTTTGGGACCCCGAGGAAGAACGGATCAGCTTTGTCGATGGATCTGAATCGGATGATACCTCGATCTTTATTTGTTATTTCTTTTAATAGAATAGTCCATGTAAATATATTAGTGTTTTGTTTCTTTTTATGTTATTATGTTTGTACAGTGTGAGTCAAGAAAAAGTTTACAACTAGAAAAAGCGTGAACATACCACACAAAAATGATACTAAATGATTTGGGATAAAACGCTCTTTCACAAGATGTATAATGATTTACTGTTCATAGATGATTTTTTAAATAATCAGCAATTTTCCAGGTGTATTTTTTCTTTTGGCTCACATGGTATTTTATATTTTATGATCATAAATATAACCAACCAATATCCTACCAACTTTAACGTATTTTCACGTCTTAGATGAGAGTGCTCCGACACCGAGTCCTCTCTTCTCCTATCCGGGTGACGGCATGGCAGTCCGTCCCGAGGGGACAGCTTTTGAGATTGTCTTTGATGATCTGGTAAGCTTTTGATATACATCGCAGTATTTTCTTGCTTCTCTTGTTTATAGCCATTATTTATAGTCAGTAGATTCTATTATACTTATTTATGTTTATATTTTTCTTAGTTCATTATTTAGTTTAGTTTGTAAGCATTTTAATGAATGCAGTATTCTTATCTGACGAGTTTTTTAAATTTTGGACATATTCATGTGCTACTCGACCACGAGGGACCTTAATTCCACAAGCCTTGCTTTCAACCAAGGTCATCTCATCTAACGCCATATTCTGTCAACTTGTAATATATTCATGTCATATTTGTAATGCGTGTTATGAAAGAAAGATAAATAAAACTGGAACTGGAACTTATACAAGCGTCGTGTTCATTAGACGAATCTTCTAGCAGATGATTTGTCCTGTTTAAATTGTATCGATTCGCTGTACTTCTGTATGTTTGTTCTTTGACATCTGTACGTCTCATTTCTTACCACGTATAGCCTCTTAGACATACGCCTATCATCGTATAGGCAGCAAATTGACTAGACATTTTGTTGTCCAAAGCTTAATACGAAATCGTAAGTCACACTCCGTGATCGGAGGGATACCATGCGTGTTACCAAAATGTCCGGTAAAAGGGAACTTTTCACGCACCAAAGTTCGGCTCGTAGTACACAAAAGCCCGTTTTAAACACCGGACTTAGGTTTTTTTTTCAAAGAGGGTACATGCATATGCGTACCCTAAATAACACTGAGTGGGGGGGGGGGGGGGGCGGGCTTTTCCCCCTTATACACAAACCGAATGAACAGGAAGCAGAGATAAACAAAATCGGTGTCCACTTCAATGTGAGCCTATCCCTGCGCTTATATACAGATCTGGGCCCCGTTGCATACAACTTACTATCGATGATGTCTTTGCCATCAATGGCTACTACCATGGTAACAGGGTTCAACAGCCAATCAAAATCAAGGTTTCCATTGGTAGTTACCATTGATGGCAAAGTTACCATCAATGGTAAGTTTTGTGCAACAGGGCCCTGAACAGCCAATCGAGATGATATATCGAGAAATGGAACCCAGATTATTATGCTCTTTTGGAAGATGTAATACAACCACAACAGTCTGTGATTGATCCAGTTGTATTGAGTGTTTAAGGATATGAAGATTCGTTTTTGGCACAACCATGCTCGAATTCATAGACTTTGTTTCCTTCATATTTTGATCACAGATAGCCCGCCCCAATCTGATATCCGAGATCCGAATCCTTCGGGCCGACGACCACTCGACCCTGGTCCACTCCGTCAAGGTCGAAACCGAACCGGGCGACGGCCTCATCTACGACTACAACGCCATCTTGTTTAGCGTCCCCGATGGTCTGCTTCACGAAGGCACCAACTACACCCTCAGCCTGCCCGAAGGTCTGGCGAGGGGATTCAGCACCTGCGAGCCCTGGTCAAAACCGGCCGCCTGGGACTTCTACATAGGCACAGGTAGATTTGAAAGTGGCTACAGGGATTGTTACCGGGGAACAAGCGAGATGAAAAGTAATTCAAAGTTGAATGTTTGAGCTAGATCGCTTGAGTCGCTTGTAGTCATGCAAAATCAAAAGTAGAAAAATTTGGAATCCTGAATTTCTTAGTCCATAAATTACCGGAGTATGACGTTATTAGATCGCTTGATTCAATTTTCGAGATTGCAAGAGGCCCTAGAGTAAAATAAATTTTCTTATCTGCAAACAATATTACTGGTGAATGGTCAAGAGTTAATCAGCTCCTATATCGCTTGCATTGTTTGGAGTGGCTTTGTCTAGTGCTACAATGTAGAGACCAGATTTCATTTGGATACTAACTTTTCTTTTGCCGCCTCTCATAATTATGAATTCCTAATCCGTCTCTGCCAAAGAGAGCATGTGATAGGCTTTGCATATCAGCGAAAAAGACGTCTCCTATTGGTTGGAATGTTTTAAAGCGGACAGTGGCGCAGGCTTGCATTATCATGAAGCTTCAACAGTGAACGAAAATCTATAATGAAATATAATTTAAGTCGTTCAGTTTAATAGCCATCAGTTTCAGCACACCTTTTTCAATATTACAGGTAAATGGCCGAGAGTAAGCTCGTCTAACGCCCGATTGTTTTGCAGTGGCTTTTTAGTGTTACAATGTAGAGACTAGATTTCAGATGGGCACTAACTTTTATTTTGCCGCCTCTCATATGAATTCCGTATTTAAGCGATTAGCAAAAATTAATCACCAGAATTAATTCCTAATCACTGATTTAAATATCAAGTTTTAATTAATTTTGATCAACAATTACTTATGATGATATTTTAAACAGAAACAAAAGCCAACTACATTCTTTACGCCTTCAACACCAAGTTCCCTTTCAAAATGCATAATTTTGTTAGACCATAAAGAGGGCGTCCTAGCTTAATTTGTTTACATTGAAGTTGACACAAGATGAATAGATTTTTATGCGAGAAGAAGTGAGACCAAAACGAGAGATTGCTCAGCATCCTTATGTTTTTATAATATGAAATTATGGCAATATCTTTGATAGAAAGGTAGGCGAAATAAATATTCTTAAAAGGCTTAGATCGTCTTTATCCCAATTCTAGTAATGTATTTGCTTGATCCCATATAAGCGATAAGCAAAAATTAATCACCAGAGATCGTACTTGATGTGCCCGTTAACGACACTACCTTACGATCAACAGGGATGTGGGGAGGGGATGTTCGGGTGGGGTGGGGCTACTATGGCAGATTTTTATTTTTTTTTATTTTAATCAATATGTATTATGAACTTCTAAAAACAATAGCGGTTGGACTGCCTGCGAGAAACAGTTAATTTTGTAAATACTGGAATGACATGAAAACAAAGTTATTTGTTTTAAAAGTTTGATAACCATCAATATCTATTTTTTCTAAAGACAAAGGCCTAAAAAAATATTTAAAAAATAAAATGCCATGGTGGTAGGAAGCTTACCTTTAACAGAGTAGTCGAAGAGATGCTAATGTTTGCTCGACATCCCTTTATACGGTTATGTCAGTTTTTCGATTTTTATCTGTTTTATATGTGGTTCTCGTATCTTGCATTCATTTTCTTGGTGTGCCTCGGGAAAAGGTTTTGGAGGCTTGAACATGTATTGTTAAGGGGCGGGAACTTGAGCACCCCCACCCCCCCCCAAAAAAAACAACAACAACAAAACAATAGAACCGATTCGATGTTGATTTGCTTTATTTCTTATAGACTCGAAAGGGATCACGCGTCCTCCAACCGACCGGTTCCTTCCGCGTCCGCAATGTTTCGGGACTTTCATGCAGATCTTCGTTCCGAAGACAATGGTCCCATTTGAAGACCCGAACAACATGCACTTCAATGAACCAACTTGTGTCGGGCAGGAACACAATGGGACCCATTTTGTAATGGGGACCCACTACCAGTATTGTGGAACCCAAATCGTAAGAAGTCAATCTAATTATCTCAAATCTAAATACGGTAACGGTATAATATCCCCTTCTTCATCCCTTCCCTCTTTGTTCCATAATGTGATTTACCCTCTCCCCAGCCACCCCCCCCCCCCACTTTTAGTACTTACTTCTTAGTACTCAAAAACTTTTGACAAGACTTTTTTTTTTAAAATTTAAGCTCTTAACTGTATTAACTAAATAAATTTACTAAAATAACTAACTTGTTACCTAGTTCTTATATTGTTACCTTACCTTGTTATCTTATGTTTCATAATTTCACTTTATATTTGTTTTCTTGTCATTACTCTGTTTAGTTTTAATTGTATCAATATTGTAAAGCGCTTTGATATAAATGTTTTATGAAAAGCGCTATATAAGTAAAAGTTATTATTATTATTATTATTAATCCATTCTAATGTTTGCTCCGATTCAATGAACCAGTGTAGGCATATTTGAAATATCAATCTACCTTGTCATTAAGTACGGTACTTGGTATATATATCTCAGGCCCAAGTATTTTCCCCTATAAAGAACGATAATGAAGACTGTATAACATTAAAATCCCTCTTTTAAATATGATAAGCAAAATCTCGTTGATTATTTTTGCCAGGATGCGGGACGTGGAAAATCAATAATATCCAACACAATTCGGATAGCCCCATTGACGGTTCTTGGACACCCGTCGGTTACCCGGCACAATGCCATGGCAATCAACGTGATCTGCGAAATGGATAAGGATAAGATAACGTTTGTCGAGTTCGACGCGGATCTACCGGCGGTGGTCTTTAACCGAACCGGCCATGGTACTTTCAATTTTTCCATGAAGATGTACGAGGATGAAACCTATTTCCGAAAATATGTGTAAGTCTCGAAGTGTAACCCTCCATAGGTTAACCCTAATAGGGCCGGGCTATTTGAAGTCTTAGTAGGGCCGGGGGGGCATTATGGCCCCCCCCCCCCCCTGAAGATCTCGGCCGCGAAGCGGCCGATCGCCGCGAAAATTTGCACGCATGTCAAGTGAAGTGTAAAGAATAATATGATAATTTCAATTTTTTGAAAAATTCACTCATTTGCATATTTATGGTAATTTATGCAAATAAAGTCATAAAAATTACATTTTTACCCATAAATCATATATTATTCATTTAAGCATTCTTTTTCACTAGATATATTCATTAGACCATTCTGAATAATAATACGACAAAAAATTTAGAAGAGCCAGCTTATTTCTTATGTTATCCCTTGTTTTGATAATTTCTTATGTATTTCATTGTTTTTTTAACTTATGTATTTCATTGTTTTTGTTGTTTTATTTCATCTTTTACTACAATTTAACTATTTTGGCTCCCAAAACAACCACCTAAACTTTAAACAAGACCCAATAACCCATGTTTGATCTGTTTTTAGGGAAAATGACTTTGCCATACGTTTTGTACACAAATCACGAAAATGAGCGAATTTCAGGCTGACATGCAAAGACAAAAGGTCACGTGACCTTGTAACCGTAGGTCCGATTTTCAAAAAAATTATTTTAAAAGTTGCGCAAGACTCGAAAGAAAAAAGTCAGCGAGGGGCGGGGCGCCATCCATATGCGTTCCCGAGCAATCAGAAAAATTGTGGAGGGGGGGGGGGGGGGCCATAATGGCCCCCCGGCCTTATTAGGGTTAAAACAGAAAGGAATTAGACAGAGAGAGATAGATAGACAGAGAGAGATAGATAGAGAGAGAAGTGGGGGGGGGGGATTGTTCACTCGAAAGAATGAATAGAAGCTAGGAGAATTTTAAAAAGAGATTATATTCAAATTATGAGTTTGCCTACATAATCTCGACTGTGAAAACAAGTTTTTAGTTGCTTGTGTTTTGGATTCCATCCTGGTGTAACAAACTGCTAGAGTTTATAGGAAATAATTCCACGCTTTCCTTTTCTGGTTATGGAATTTTGATTTTGTTGTAATATGCGAAATTGACTGAAGGAAAGTGACTTATTTGAACGAATTATTGAACGAATGATAGAATAAATGTAATGAAAATTGATTGAAAGAATGAACAAATGCAAGAAAAATTATTAGAGGATGATTGATGAACTAAACATTATTATAGACGTTTGATTTGATGAATGTAAGAACGATTGATTAATTGAATGTAAGAACGATTGATTATATTGAATGGATGAATAAACAAACGATTGAATGAATGCACAAATGAATCAACGACTGAAATAATGAAAGAATATTTGAAAGAATGAACGACTGATTGTAATGAATGAAGGAATGAATGAACGAATGACAATGAATGATTTAAAGGAATGAATGATTTAATTGTGTGAATGAATGATTTAATTGTGTGAATGAATGATTAAATATGAATGATATGTGGAATGAATATATGAATAAATGAATTAATTAATGTTAGAATGACTGAATGAATAAATACAATATTGTAATAGTAATAGTATAAATGAGTGAACGTTTGAATGGTCTTAATAAATGACTAAAAGACGAAATTAATGAATGTGGTATGCTTATTAATTTGAGCCTAGTAGCTCTTGTTGGAATGCTCCCAAGGGAGTGGAGACAGTGCATACATTGTGTGTGGGCAAGCCAGAATCCGATGACCGGGGTAATAATGTACAACGCTTAGAAACTCAGACATTCCCAACGTATTAAGCGCTATATAAGCAAAAATATTATTATTATTAATGAATATATAATGTTTTACTTCGATTTAGATACACCGACTACCCACTCGAAGTCACGCTTGAGGACAGATTGTTCTTTGAAGCTAAGGTCATCCTGGATGCCCCTCAGACCAACACGTTGCCAGGGCAACGCATCTTCTTGAAATCTTGCGAAGCCACGCCTACTCCTAACCCTGCCGACCGTTTGTACTACCGGTTCATTGAAAATGGGTAATCAAACAACACATAACTAAACTATATGTACGGTGTAAATATCGCGATGTTAAGAAAAAGGGTTAATTTTAAAGTAAAGTTAGTAAAATCACAATGGTTTGACCGTACAACTAATGGCTTTACATCAATTTCTAGTAGGCCTACGATGTATTCGGCATTATTTATCTTCTGTCTTATTAGTTCTGCATACAAAAACAAAATATTTGAAGAAAAAAAAATGTTTTGTACTTCTTTATCTCGTCATTCATCCCGTCTGCATCTTCTCGTTGATAATTTACCTGATCCATTTATATTTTATGTTGAAGATTGATGAAACCTATTTTTCAAAAGAAGGAATCCAGTTCATATATATTTGTAACTCCATACTCTATTTGTTTCCCTTTTTTAATAAATTAGCTGTGCTTTGGATGATACGGTCCAGTTTGAACATCAAGCTCGTCTGAAGACCCGATTCTCAATTCAGTCCTTCGCTTTCCTCGGCCACTTCATGAGCGAGTCGGTACGTTACATGATTAAATTGTGACTTAATACCCGACAAGAAGTTATTGTGCCATGAATGTTTGTACAATTTTGCAGCGATTGGTATCACTTTATAAGATCAGTTGATGTTATTACAAACAATTACATAAATAGTTACAATTTTGCAAATTGAAGTTTCAGGAAGAAGAGGCCTATCTAAAGTTCACGAAATTATGCTTACAGAGAATGTTTCATTTCATTTCTCTCAGAAACCTGTTTTATTGCACAAAATATGGGGCCTATACGCCTGTGTAGTACAGACAGCTCTGGTAATTTTAATTTTGCATGTTTTTCCGGCCTTATAATCCTATATCACTTCACTCGGAAATTTATTCATAAAGCCTTTAAGCCATACTATTTTGTTAACTTTAATCCAAGACGTAATATTTATCTCCTACTAAAACCGGTCTATGATTCAAAAGCTATACGCCCTGATGCACGGCAACTATTGTCTAATCGCAACTCGCATGCAATCTCCCCTCTGTACTATTAGCCAATCAATATCCGTCAGACTCGATGTATTCCGAAACGACGATTCTGATTGGCTTATTAAACCAATGTCATTCTCTTCTGCTATGCATCTTCCTTCAACGTGAAATACAGCTTAGGGAGAATGGAAGCTTCAATTTTATTTCTTCATGTAATCTCCCCCCTGTGGTTTTAACCAATCAGTATCCGTCTTTTAACAAGGTGCTCTGAAACCTCGCATCTGATTGGCTAATTGGAAAAATCCCATTCTTTTTCGTTGTAGATCTTCGTTCACTGTGAAATACAGCTTCAGGATAATGCAAGCCTGCGTCACTGTCCTCTTTACAACATTCCAACCAATAGGAGACGTCGTTTCGCCGATACGCACAGCCTATCACATGCGCTCTTCGGCACAGACGGACCAATCAGAGTTGTTAAGGAGAATGGTCGTGGAAAATCGTCCTCCTTAATAGGTGGGAGCAAATAATGACATGTTTTCTCTTTCTTTTCTTCCTCCCCCTATCGGCCTATTCCTACTTTTCCTATTTGCATTCATTTAAAAAAAAAGAAGAAGCTTATCTGTACTAGTTTATAGGAGGGATTAGACCATCCTGCAAGGTCACTCCACAGGTGGTTATCTAATCAACTCGGCTCTCAAATAACATACGAAAAAGAGGATCATGGGGGATCAATGGTCACCGATTAGGTATTGTTTTCTATATAGAGGGAGCAATTACAAGTATACAGTGTGGCTTTAAAATAGGTGATAGAAAATGGAACTATTATGCCTTCCTTTGTTTTGCAATCATGTTGTGTAATTGTTGTTCTCTCTCTCTCTCTCTCTTGTCTAGATAATAAGAATAAGACCCTATCCCAGAGTCCTCTCGGCTCCATCTATGTCTCGGTGAGCGCCCTCATCATGTGCCTCGTCCTCGTAGCTCTTCTCGTTTCCATGGTGACGGTGATGCGAAGACTCAAGATCCAGAATCGGAGGTTGGGGAAGTTCGTGGGTCGCCCCGGCATCTCACTAGAATCCATCACGGAACGTTAGAAATGCCGGTTGAACATAAGGCAACAGATGTCGGCCAGAAGGAAGATGGTCAGAATAATTTGTCAGTTTTATGGAAAAAAAGGACACTTCGCCAATGGTTATAATGTTCATTTCGAGGTTTGAAAATAGGGCAACGGATGTAAGAAGATGGTCAGAAGAATTTTGTCAGTTTTATGAAAAAAGGGACACTTTGTCAATGACTATAATGTTCATTTCGCGGTTTGAAAATAGGGCAACAGATGGTAGAAAATGATATGAAGAATAAAGTCAGTTTTATGGAAAAAGGACACTTTGTCAATAATGGCTATAAATTCATTTTAGCGATGAGGTGACGAATGTAGGCCCTACTCGATTAAGACTTTTATTTATTCTGTTCGTTTTCTTAACAGGTGGAAAGATTTGCAACGAGAACCTGAAGGGAGGCGAGACATTTCTGTCCAAGAGAGAGAGAAGGGGGGGGGGGATACATTCTAGTAATAACTTTGTCACTCTCAGAGTCTCAGTAGTACAAATCGACCACTACTTTTGAGTGGGTTCAACATCATGATAATCAGGATTATAATCATTATTAATATGACTCCAAACAGTAGATTTTTACTCTTTTGAATCGAGAAATTAAATATGTTAACACTTGACTTGAGTTTCGGTGATGGAATTGCGTTCAGAGAAATTCTTTGGACCACAAATAAAAACAAATGAACAAATTAATCCATCTTCGGATAGGGGAGGAGGGTAAAGTAATAAGGATTTAAACAATTTGCGCCTTGTATTTGAGTGTTTTCATTACTTTGGGATGAATGAATCTCAAGAATTGGAGAAAAAAATTGATAATAGATTGAATCAACCATCGACAAGTACCTGCAAAATCCGTCGTACTCGTGCAAGTAGCGCGAGTGACATGCTTTCTCGGTAGATATTCAATGCCAAGTAACTTGTATATAAAGTGATTTAATACTAGCCACCAAGCCTTATAAAATGTAAAATGAACGGATATAAAGGTATAATTAAATTTCTAAATATTATCGTTGCCAGTATGTGACTATACTTTAGAATACTAGAGAATTAACAAATTTGACAATCTATTTTTGCATTATTTGGCAGTTGCCGACCTGGATATTTGTGTTATTGGTAACACTCAAGGAGAGAGGAAAAATAGAGGTGAATGCAAAATAAATGAGAAGAGGGGGAGAGAGAGAAAAAAAATAAGCGAGAGTGATAGCGAATGAGAGATAGGTAGAGAGAGAAAGAGAAAGAGAGAGTGAAGGGGGGAACTTAGGAAGGGGAGGTACAGGAAGCAGGAATTAAAGAGATAACAACAGTACCAACAACAAAAAAAGAGATAATAATAATAGAAAGAGAGAGAGAGAGAGAGAGAGAGAGAGAGAGAGAGAGAGAGAGAGAAGGGGGGGGGGGCAGAGAAGTAGAAAACAAATTTGGAAAATATATTACAGTAACTTAATAAAATCCATTCTCAATAACGGTGATTTTTTCAATAATATGTCAAATGAGTTTATTACACAAAATAATAGATTTTTACTCCTCTGGAATCGAGAAATAAAAAATGATGTTAACGCTTGCCTTGAGTTTTGGTGATGGAATTACGATCAAAGGAATTCTTTGGACCACACATAAAACCAAACTAAAAAAAATTAATCCACCTTCGAGGTGGGGGTAGGAGGGCAAAGGAATAATGATTTAAACAATCTGCGCATTGTATTTGAGCGTTTATAACCTCAATGGGATGAATCAAATCTTAAGAATTGGCGAGTTTTTGAACCAAGTCATGGACAAGTACCTGAAAAATCAGTCGTACTCGTGCATGTAGCGCGAGTGACATGCTTTCTCGGTAGATATTCAATGCCAAGTAACTTGTATATAAAATGATTTAATACTAGCCACAAAGCCTTATCAAATGTAAAATGTAACTGATAGAAAGGTATAATTCAATGTATAAATAGTATCATTGCCAGTATGTGACTATACTTTAGAATACTAGAGAATTAAAAATTTGACAATCTATTTTTGCATTATTTGGCAGTTGCCGACCTGGATATTTGTGTTATTGGCAACACTCAAGGAGAGGGGAAAAAAGAGGTGAAAGAAAAAATAAATGAGAAGAGGTGGAGAAAGAGAAAGAAAAGAAGAGAGAGTGTGAGATAATGAGAGAGAGAAAGAGACAGAGAGACAGAGAGAGAGAGAGAGAAACAAAGAAGGAGAGAACAAATTTGGAAAATATATTACAGTTAACTTAATAACATTTAATTGTCAATATAATAGCAATTTTTTCAAATAATATTTCAAATGAGATTTATTAAAAAAATAAAGTATTATCTTACATTGCAGAAATCTCAGTATAGGAAAAATGTGATTTAAATATCGCTTTTTTAATTTTCAAATACAATTTTTTTTCTGTAAAGATTAAATCGCTAAATTAGAAGAACAAAAAAATCATAAAAATGAATAACTAAATCTGGGAGCATGAATTTACATTTTTGTTACTTCTTACATGTACATGTATTCCTAAAATACAAGAAAGAAAAATAAACTCATTGATCATGATTTCATCTACCAAATAAGGTAAAAATATATTTAAACATGTAGGCATCAGCTACATTAAAATAAAAAAACCTGTTACAAAACACAAAAGTTTCTTTTTTCTTTCTTTTAATGAGTACATGAACCTGCACACTAATACATTGCTCCCCCACCACACAAAATCTCAATCGGGAAAAAAGCCTCATTTTGAATTTGTCTATTTTGATACAAAATCCTGATAATACACTACATTCACAATCCAATACTCCCAACTTCAAGAAGAAAATAAGGAAAAAAGGCAGGCCTGTGTCTGTATTGATACTGATACCTACATGTACCCAATTAGTAATACAGTGATAATATTAAGACAATTTTTAATGATAATTGGGGTTTGACTAGCCCACAACACTGACATTATTATGTGTAGAAATTGCCATCTGCCCAATTGAGTAAATAAGCCTAGAATTCAATGGAATGTATGTGTCATTATTTCAGGCTGCCCCTGGAAAGCTTGCTTTCTTTGTGCCATGCAATGCAAATTGTGTAGCATTTTTATAGACCAGTTCATGGTTAGCACATGGCCCAAATGACCCGAAATATCCACAGATCTTCAAAACATGAAGAGGTCCCACTTTGTACATTTTGAAATAGTCACTCCTACAGCGATGGAGGTGCTACATAAATAGCTTTTGTTTCCCCTTTTCAAAGAATACTTCCACCTGTGTATCATAAAGTGCATGCCCTGTTTGTGCATAAACGAATAATGATAACATAACTTTCATGAGCACGTATTCAGTATTTTGTCTCTGTGTATTTCACAATTCGGTCTGTAATGACCTTTATCTGCTCATGCTCAGACTGCAACCGGAACTGGCTTATTCAAAAGATGCAATATCATTCACGGATAAATATCAATATAACAGTGATGCCTTTTTGACTATAAAGGATGAAACTCAAATACACATACATTGACGTACAACAGGGCATGATATTCTCAATTTGTGTAAAGTTGTCAGGAAGACTGTATATTTCAGAAATATTGGTAGGTATATCTCAGTCCTGTGAATATACAATACTGTATTGCACACCAATACTATCTACTATAACCCAAAGACCATTATATTTGTAAAGTCCTAGACCCATACAGGGGGCATACATGTATGTGCCCACCCCTGTCAAATGTCAAAAATATTAATAAAAAGGGGGATGGAATAAGTGGCAATAGGAATAGGGTTAAAGCAAAGTTAAAAGAAGATGACAACCCCCCCCCCCCCCTCCTCCTCACCCATCACTTGCTGGCCTAATTCTTTGCATTTTATCCACCTACTTTTATAAACCCAATGCGCCCCCCCTCTACAGTTCCATGTAAAGGAGGTTCCATGCTCTGCAATGCAATGCAAAGAACCTAAAATTACCAAACAATCTTACAAAACCAATGTGCGTACAAAAGTTGATACAGTTGGTTCCACATTATTGTATTCCTCGTTAATGACTGTCACTGAACCGGAGTGCCTTTAACGACAAGTTTAATGAATCTCTATTAACCTTTGCTGCTGAACAGCCAAGGAACGAGTAGCCGGCAGACCGCATGTTTCACCAGCTGATCAAAAACGCTAACAATGACTAGTCTAACTAGCATGTGCTAAAGAGCGGAGTAAGAAGATGTCAGACCAACGGTCCATCTCGTTGAACTGGACTGGTCTATTTTCTGACCGATTTAAAGCCTATCTGCACTAGTTTGGCCAGGAGGGATTAGACCTCTCTGCATAGTGCACTGACAGGTGGTTATCTCATCAAAATCAGCTATCTATTAACATAAGAAAAGGGAGACCATGGGGGACCATCAGTCACCGATTAGGCATTATTTGCTATGTAGAGGGCGCAAGTAGATATAAGTAGTGCAGTGGGGCTTTAACTTAACAGCCCCCCAATACAAAACAGCTGTCATATTGAGACTGGTTTGAAGTGGTTCTGATGATTTTCCAATGTAGACTGGGTTACACAATAGTCAAAAGAGGAGTAGCTTTAAGATAAAGGGGTCGAAGTAGCCAATGTAATTGCTAGTCTTCCAAAGACAAATACATAATAAGAATATGAAAGAATAAAGTGAGTGGGAGCAGCAAGTAGGTCATGGTACACAAAGTGAAATGCAACATGAGCCCCTGCACTTGCTTCTCCCAGTACATTTCTATCATAAAATCTCTACATTGAGTATTGCACGTGAGAGAGCATTTACATCAAACAATTACAAACAAAAAAATTAAGAGGTTGAATATGTTGTGACTAAAAAGAATGCATGAATGTAGTCTGAACGTAAACTTTAAGGCCTAAATTCACAAAGGAGGTTTAACTTTAAACTCTCATTTACATAACCCATAATTAAAAAAATTAGCGCAAAATAAGCGTACCCTGCCTTGAGCGTGTCTAATATTGGACCTCTGACTGCGTCACGCTTATTTTGCGCTAATTTTAGACCATGGGTTTTGTAAATGAAGATCTAAACCATGGGTTAAATTTTAACCTCCTTTGTGAATTTGGCCTACAAGTATATCAAAGAAACCAAATAACATTAAAGGAAAATACTAATTTACAAGAAAGAATGTGAAATGGGCCATTAGAATGACATATGAAAAATGTACATGTCCAAATACAAATTCTGCAATCATTATCATACAAAAACAGTACAGGTATAACAGGTGGTGCCAATCACAAGGATTAGCCTTCAGTTTTACGACCTACAGGCTTTACGTAGTGCTCTGCACTTTCCACCATTTGGAAAAGATATTTTCTTACATTTCCCTCAACCGCAGACTCTCCAAGAGACTAGGGGTATTTGTTGATGGGACCAAGGGTTTGCTGTGTGCAAGACTTGTACACCCATTGATGGTATTTCCAACAAGACTAGTGTCGGCGAATTACGACCTACTGCACATGGAAACTAACTTCCGTCTCCCTTAACGATAAAGTTGAGTTCTGGTCATGTGATTGCATTGTGAAAGAAACGGTGTGGAATCTATAAGAAAAGTTTGATCATCTAGTATTTAAGTATTTGTGTGTATTGCAAGGTTCTGGAATCATCAAAATGATAAGAAATTTGGCCAAATCTTGGCAAAGTTACAAGCACTGTACACAGAATGATGTATATGGGACTACACAAGCACATGGCAAAAAAAACCTACCCCCCGATTTTTACGACGTTTCATGTCATATTTAGAATATGAAGGCATTTGAAGAGCCATGCTTTTCAGGGAACATGTTTAATCTGATGTTCTTCCACCTTTGCTTAATAACAATGATAACGCTCACAAATTATTTTTTTCCTCTTCCCAGAACTCAACCTTCTCTTTAACAGCTCAGAAAGAAGCAGATGTGATACTAACAGTTTCACCTTGCTGATCTAGACCCTGTATTATAAAACTTGTTATCAATAACAAATGCTACATTTCTATGGCATATATGCTCTCGGCCAATCAAATGTCAGGATTTCAGTAGCTTATAACAGTTATTGTAACTTGTTATTGATAACAAGTTTCATGAAACAGGGCCTTCAGAGTATGTCCAATGACTGGTCCAATCAGGGAGTTGTTGCTATACAGCCGAGAAATATCAGAATTAGAGTTCCACATAGCAGATTTTAGGTCCTTCCTTTAGGTAGCCGTAAGAAACCAAGGTCAAGAATGGTGTCAGAACAAGAATGGTGTCGCACGAAGAAGGACTTCATGTTGGTAAACTGGAATCCTGTCAACGATTGGTCCAGCACACCCTATGCACGTTCTCAGCCAAGAAAGACATCAGATCAGATGTAGCTATCAGATCATGGGTTTCATGTAAATGATTAGCTGTAACAGTGGATAAAATAAAGAACAAAATGTTGTTTAGAGTCAGAAGGTCGTTACCTCATTTGCTTCAAGTTCAGCACAGTTAAAGCCCTTCTGGCTTTGAATGGGTGAAGTATTATAGGTACTATTGAGTTGTTGAACATACATTTCGAAATATCAGTCAATAAAAGTAACAGGTGGGATATTTGAATATCTTTTTAAACTAACCCATTTCATACCTGCCAGAATTTGAAAATAAGAATTAGGAACTTTTAGCACGGTATGCCTTCAAAAATAAGAAATCGCACTTGCAACTGGCAATACGTGGTAAATCTGTAGGCACTACAAAAAAGCGAATACAAATTCACTGCTCAATCATGCAGCCATTCAACGCACCCAATACGTGAACTCTCAAATCGTGGCACATGATAAAACAAGTTTAATTTGGCTTAAGCATCATTTCCTGAGAGAAATATTCTTATTGAGTGATTTCTCTGTCACATCATACATTCATCTTAAACCCAATTTACTCAATCAGGTAATATTAATAATAGATGTGGAATTAAATTTTTGTTTGAAAATCGCAATGTCTTTCTTCACCACATCATGACAAACTTTATGCTAAATTCGAGGGGAAATGAAACATTAGAATCAACTTGAATGCTGTATTACGTGGTGTTTTTTTCCGGAAGAAGAATGAACAAATACTTAATTACAACGAACCTCCATTTATGTAGACGTCTCATTTTCCTCACTTTGAAACCAAGATCAAAATGAGATCAAAATGAAAAACCTTTGTGTTCAGTCTTTGGAGTGTAGTTGACAGAGATTTTCAACAATGAGGCAACCTGCAAAAAAATATTTTAAAAAATAACGGATTATTCAGAAAAATTGCATCAGGGGATCATTAAATTAAAGGATGAGTCAGACAACAGTTATTGACAAGTTTAAAGATTACTTGGTGAAAAGAAAACACATTTCAGGTAGAAATAAAGAAAAAAAGGTCCTCACATTAATATCTTAACAAGTCAACGCAAAGCGTAGCATCCCCTCGCAGGGCACAAATTGCCTATATACATCAGAACATTGGACTATACTATTATATTACTAGGCAAGGAAGTTAACCACATTTTCACATATATAATTAGGTGTTTTTGCATATTTAATGAGCTATGACCTTTGACCTACATACTCGGAAATTGAACTTGGGCTGTGTTTTGATACCATATACCTTCATATCAAATTTGATTAAAATCCGTCAACCATTACTGAAGTTATCGAACAGAAACCAGATTTGGATATTTAATGAGCTATGACCTTTGACCTACATACTCCGAAATCAAACTTGGGCTGTGTTTTGATACCATGTACCTTCATATCAAATTTAATTAAAATCCGTCAACCATTACTGAAGTTATCGATCGAAAACCAGATGTGTATTTTTTCGCATATTTAATGAGCTATGACCTTCGACCTTTTACCTACGTACTCCAAAATCGAACTCAGACTGTATTTTGATATCATGTACCTTCATATCAAACTTCATTAAAATCTGTCAAACATTATTGAAGTTATCGATCAGAAACCAAATTTGTTACGGACTGACGGACGCACTAACGGAGCACGGACGGAAGGAAGGAAGGAAAGACGGACACCCTCCGACTTCGTCGGCGAGGGGATAATTAGCCTACATGAGTATAATAAATTTACACATTTTGCCAGAAAAGCAACGATCAAAAGTGAAATTATCACCTGCACAACGACCAACCTCTCCTAGCCCCTCCCCCAGAGCCCCCCCCCCCCCCAATGTCCTATGCACTACCAATTTGAGATGGATGGTTGTAAAAGATTACTGTGCAGGAACTACATGTAGTGGTCCAGATAGCTGTACCGATACTGTAAATTAGCGGTCTACAATTTTATTTTAAGAAAAAAAGATACCCTACTGTACTGTCTTTACCTGCTTAAATTTTGCTCTGATCTTCTGTATTATGTCCCAGTACTTGACACTGTTTGGTTCTTCTTGTGGTAGTTCTTTAATGATGTCGATTAAACTCTCAATGATCTTCAAGGGCCTATGAAACCCAAATAAGGGGCAGAGAGAGAGAGAGAGAGAAAGAAATTATAAGGCGACCTGTAGATGATGTTGCAAATGTTTAATAACGGGGTCCAAACATTGATTTTCTAATATATAATGTACATGTACAGAGTACAATATAACCCCTGAGGTTTTCTCTGGAATGTCTTAATTTTTAGGAAATCACATGTCAGTTTTGCATCCATATGATTAATCTGCCAAAGTCAGCCAACTGTCTACAGAAACCGTCATAAGTACAAGTTCACTGACATCCCATTGGAACGCGTGTTAAACTTAATACACACATTTCAATGAGATGTCGATGAACTTGTACTGTTGACGGTTTTGTGAGATCCTGCCCAGGTTAAGTTTCCCGTGTTTTGTATGGCTGATATCGTTAAATGTGAGCAGCTAAAAAATATAACAAATTGTTTCCCATTTTATTTTTTTAAAACATGTTTCTATCTACATTAAATGAAAAGATATTAAAAAAGCTAAACAGTTTTATCCGTCAAATTTACAGCTAATTTGAAGTATGAAACCAAATTGAGTCAGAAAACATAAAGACTGAAATTTTCTAAAGGACAAATTTCACAATGATTAGTGCTATTTGATCCGAAGGAAAAAGGGAAGGCTTTATGTTTGTTGAGTGTCCAGAAAAACAACCCCAAATCAAGCAAAAATTGAGTCAGTGAAACATAAATACTGAAATATTCTACAGGACAAATTTTATGATGGTTAGTGCTTTTTGATGAATATTGTTTGTTAAATCCAAGACAAAGAGGAGGCTTTATGTTTCTTAAGTCTCTGGACGGCGGACGCACAACCCTCAATCATGCAACCATCTTACCTGGGGACGTCTTTGTCACCATCAGGTTTGTTCTTCAGCAAAGCTCTCCATGTGACAATGAAACCAAAGTAGAAGCCCAACTCATCTCCAATCTGCCCTCCTTTCTCCATCCCCATGACTAGGCCCTGCTCTCTCCCCAACTCCTGCCCTTTCTTAAAACCATCCTCATAACCAGCAGCTTGGCATCTTAAGTTGAAAGAGAGAGGAAGAGAGAGAGAGAGAGAGAGAGAGAGAGAAACAAAACAGTTTGTTTATACAAGTTCATTTATTTATTGAGGGATTTTTTTTTATAACACATTCTGGAACAAAATGAGCGGAAGAAAGCTGTGTATTCAATAGTCAGGCTTCCAGTTCCAGTTTGTGCACTAGTATTCATCCTTCTCATAGCAAGATGTGTTCAGCAGGTAATCTGGCTCAGCAATGAAAGCGCGTACCGTAAACTCCACTGTACAACCAATGCGCAAAGTTCTTCGTGTCGTCGTAGCGAGGCCTAGTCCTAGACTACTAGACTCCTAGAGGTCGTTCTTTCTACACTCGAGTTTACCGTCACATTAAATCCAACATGTGGGGCAAGGCAAATTGATTCGGTCAATGTAAACAACGAAACGCCGTGGGAAAATAGCAATACAACGACATGAAAACCAACATACCTCTCTTCCGCCATCACAACACTGTCGAAAATATCATCTTCATCACACATTGAATCGTTATCCTCTTGAAATCGAGCCATTTTTCATTAATTTGTTCTCGGAACTAGATCCCAGATCTACATGTAGAGTTTGTAGCAGGACTGAACTTTCTGGCTATCATTATTAAGGATTCAGGCGAAGTTAGCCTGGAAAACGATAGAATAAGTACTATGGTGTCTTCGAAAAGAAAAACGAAAATGAATGTGTAACATTGGTAATAAAGAGAAGAAAAAATCTTTTAATACTACAGTCTTGAATGTGAAAATAAAACGTGGCATATTATGACAGAGCAAATACCTTATAAACCGGTACGTTTCAGGCGTTGAAAACGTCTAGTTTCAATTTAAAGTTGAGATCATGATACACCAATTTAAGAAAACGCGATTCTACAAATGAATAAAAGTACGTAATTTTAGCATGTTAAGACAATTCTTTAAAAATAAAATTGAAATTGAACTATACAAAAGAAAATTTCTTTAGTTTTAAGAGATTTTGGCTGAATTTTAAGAGTTGCAAAATATTATCAAAGTTTCAACGCTTTTAAAGCATAGCGTTTGATGAAATGCAATTATAAACCGGCAAATACAGGATTTATACGCTCTGTTCTTCCAAAAATCCCAGAAATGCGTTTTTAACTTGATGACCTACATACTTTTAAGCTGAAAAATTGTTTTTTACTTTTATTATGTCACATGCTGAAACTTTGAAGTGTGTTAAAGCTATCGTATGACATTTTAACTACATAATTAAATAATTACCCCCCCCCCCCCAGCTTATTCAGCGGCTGGCTGAGTCATTGCGAAATTCATTTGGGACATAGAACAAAAAAATGTCCTCTTGCCCCGATTTCAACCGCAACAACGATCACTGAATATCGTAGGATCGCATATGCTTCCTATAATGTTCATTTGAACCGAACTTCTTACCCAAACTTTGTATTACCTCTATAAATGCAGTGATTCCCGCTACATACATTTTCTTTTAAGTTCTCAAACAATGGCCCTAATAGAAGATGAAAGAAGAAGAACAACTAATAAAATGAAAAGGAGGAAGTATATTAGCAGAAGAAGGGCAAGAACAAGAAAGAGACTACTGAGTTCATTAACATTGTAAGGGCATTTTCGAGCGAGATAGGCTATAGAAGCGCTGAATGAGTAATTTAAAACCTATTATATATTATGCAAACTTTGGACCTATGCACACGTATACCTTCTTGATTACACGAATGATACTGTTCATAACCTCAGTCACACACTCGCTCGCCGACTCCAAAACCGACCGATCTTGTCATGCAATTAATTGTCTCGGTGTGTAGCCGGTCTGGTATCGGTCTCTTCGGTGTGGCCGGGGTCGGAATGATTTTGTATACTTGGCCAGCTGACATGGGACTGCAATTAACTACGCGAAACATTATCCAAACAAAACATCAACGCGGCCGTATCGTATAATCTTCGAGTTCTAGCTCCCCGCAAAGCTAATTCTTGCTTGAATTTAGAGACGGACGATGCATGGTACAAGATTAAATGTGATCATTTTGCCTACGGTATTTGAAGCGTGAAGTCAACGGTAACGGAAACTCTCTGATGTAAGTAGACGTTAATCTTCTTTGTCGTTGCTGCGTGAATGAATTGTTTGGTTGATCTCAGGGTTTAACAGAGACACCATAGTAATATTCATGTATTTCACGGAGATCACACTCGTTTATTGTACCCCAAATTTCAGTTAAGCAAGGATTAACCGGTTGCCTTCGGTTGCCCATCTTCAGTATTAGGATTGCGTTGAAGCCACGCAAACTATAAGACTGTTAAAATGTAATGGTTCTGTTGGTACTTTTACCAGTTCGGGAGTGATTTTACATCATATTTTTGCAGTCTGGGTAAGTTGTCTTCCTTCTTACTTAGAAACAGAAGTGTAGAAAGTCGGGCTATTGCGAAGGGATACGAAGAGTAGATAAATGGACAGAGAGATAGATAGGGAGATAGGTACGTAGGTATACCAGAGATAGTACATGTGTGTGTGTGTGTGTGTGTGTGTGTGTGTGTGTGTGTGTGAGAGAGAGAGAGAGAAAATCAATAATATTACGTTTTTTTACCGACTTTAATTTCATAACTATCTTTTAATCTTTAGCAAGCCTGTCTTTCCTCGTGGGAAGGTGAACATGTTTGCAATGGCATAAATGTCATAATCATGAAACCTCGCATGGAGAAAAATTAATTGTGTATCGATTGGTTATCTTAAGAGCGCAATCAATGATTGATAAGATCAAAAGAAGGACATTCATACCACTCATCCCCACGAGAAATTTCTCCTACCCTCGATTTTCTTTAATCGAGTGATATGACAATTATATATTGATAGGTTTTGAATGTCATTTATTATTCATAATATTTGACAGCCTACCTGAAGAGTCTCTTAAAGGTAGTACAAAGTTCTAGTATGGGGTCATGAATTTGGTTAAAATGAACATATTTGAAACAAAATGCGATCCTACAATATTTAGTGATCGTTGTTGCGGTTGAAATCGAATCTTAAGTGATGTAATTGTAAATATTAAACTATTTTCGTTGTTTAGCTCCCTCTCAAGGTCGATATATTAATTTAGCTATAAAACAATGTTTATTGAATAAATCGACCAATTGGCTATTTCCGTTTGGAAATTATATATCACAATTACATATTCTGATATTTTTATGGTCGCAGCTACCATTGTATGGCCGTAGGCGCTATTTGAAAATTATCGAAATTTACCGGGAGCACCGGTAAATTTTGATATTCAATTTTTCTCGAAAGTAAAAGTGTTTTAGGGCTAAAACTCTTGTGCTTATAATACATCCACAGAGGCATCCAAATATTTCAAAATTGTAAAGAATCACTATCCAGCCAATTTTCAAAATTTCCCAAAACTTTGTAAATACTTTTAAAGGAAAATTTCAAACCCGTTTTCATCATAATAGTTTTCAAATTTGTAAGCACAATTTATTGTGTGAGTGGGATTTAAAACGGGAATAAGAAATCCTGTGTATATGTTTTTTCAATTGAGGTTATATCCTTTACAAATAATCGAAAGCATTCAGAAATTATACTAGACCTTTCTTTCTCAGCAAGAAAAGAAACGGAATCATTCAGGACCCATAAGGATTCGAAAAAAAGGGATAAGAAGGATAAAAGAAGAAGAAGCTGAAAAGGAATAAGGAGAAAAAGAAATAGCAGAAGAAAAATAAAGTAGAAAAAAATAAGAAAGAGAAAGAGGCAGAAGAAGAAGAAAAATAAAAACATGAAAAATAATGATAATAAGAAGATGGAAATAAGAAAAAGAAGAAGAATAGGAAGAAGAAAATAAAAAGCAAGGAAAAAGTACATCAATAATTATGCTATATAATTAGATTTATTCTAAACTACCACAATTTTCAACAATACGGTGTATGTTTGTGTGTGAGTGTGTGTGGGGAAGGGGGGGGGGTCTGTCTAGACACAACCCCACGATATTCCCCTTCAAAAGAAGTTGTGGCTGGTGTATTTTTGCAGGATCATGCTAAACACTATCATTGTCCGGTTTGAAATACAAACACACATCGCAGTTCTACCATTGTAGGTCCATGGTAGGTCCATGGCTCTAACTTATTTTTTTGTTATAGTAAGCGTTGAAAGTATAGCTCGACCGAAAATCTCTGACTTCGGCGATCTTCTCTTTGTAATCCACTATTTGCACACCAAACATTTTGAGTGTGTTTGATCAAAACCAAGAAGTGTTTACCAGTGGCGAATCGTTGCCTCGTCTAAAAGGCCGCAACAAAATGGGGAAAAGGTAGAATGCATATCAATGAAGAGTTTTATAGGAGAGCAGGGGCGGATCTAGGGGAGGGGGTTCGGCGGTTTAACCCCCCTCCCCCCTTGGGCGACCAAGTGAAAGGGGGGGGGGGGGGTAAAGGGAGAAAAGAAGAAAGAAAGAAAAAAAAGAAAAGAAGGTAAAACAGTAAAACAGCGCGATTTTTGGAAAATCATGGATCCGCCACTGGATTCGCTATAGCAACCACGGACCATTTGAAATGGAATGTAGCATAGATTGTAGTCTTTGTGGTGTTATTTACCAAAAATAAAATGGACTCTTGTCATATTGATATGGTATTATGGCCGTCGAGCCATCTGGTTAGAATGAAAGGGAGGGGACAAACCCGTTGGAGGACTAACAAACGCGTCGAAAGGAATATACAGTGATAATGATATTGCTAGTAATAATAATAATGATGCTAATAATAACACCGATGATAAACGGTAGTAGTAGCTGTACTACTACTAGTAGTGGTAGTAATAATACAAATAAGCCTAATAATGAAAATGATAATGATAATGATAATGATAATAATAATAATAATAATAATGATAATAATAATTATGATAATAATAATAGTAATATTAATATTAATATTAAAACAAATAACAACACCAGCAATAGTAACAATGTTACTGATTTTAATAACCATAATAACAAACAAGAAAAACAATAATAAATTAAATACTTGTAGTATGTTGAAATAATGTTACTGGTCAAGATCATTGTATTTTCATAATCTTACCGCTTCTGAGAAATTGTTGCCGTTTTAATAATTTATTTCAAAGAAAATTATAGCAATGCACGAATTTGTACAATTACAATTAAAGTAGTCGTGGCCAGGGCCCCATTCCACAAAACTTGTCATCAGTGACAAATGACAGTTGTTATTATAAGCTACTGAAATCCTTGCTTCTGATTGGTTATCAGCAGATTTGTCATTGATTTTTTTTTCATTTGTTATTGAAAAAAAGCTTTGTGAAACAGGGCCCTTGGATTCAAGGCTCAAGTTTGTGCATGGAACTTAAATCATCGTGACTTTAAAAGAAAAGCATATTGCCATTATTGATGATATTTATAATATATTAGCAGGCAAAGTAATTAACGAAAAGTTTAGATAAAATATTGATCATAATAATCTATGGGTGATGGGTAATGCTGATTAAACATGAAATGAGAGAATGAATAAATCAACAAATATTTATGAAAATACGGGGGTGTACACGGGGTTAGAAAATTGTTTGCACAATGTTTTTTAATATGTACTACATATTAGGTAAAGTATGATGATTATCATGAATCATTTGTCATAGTGACGGGATAAATCTAAAATAATATTTATTTAAGTGATACACGTTTGCATATCATAGAGATTGTAATCAGTAAATGGGTACAAATTCCATTTATTTGAAAATCGTGTTCAGCACATCCTGTAATCGTAGTATGTTTCGGAATAATCGAGAAACAATACACATTTGCAATCAATCAAGTTAAACCCATATATAGTTAGTCCCAGAGATCCTTTAAAAAGTAGTTTCTTTCATGATTTACTTCCATCTATACGGCTTTTAAGCCAAAATGATAATTGAACTTGAAATCAATGAGTAGGTTTTCCGATTCAGATTTCTTTCTTCTATGATCATAAACGTATTACAAACCTTTGAAAGTATCATACATCACGATATGGCTTTCAAATTGATAAAGTGAAAATCTTAAAGTACAATCATGACGTTTCGTTTACCCCTCACCCTCATCGGTTTCCACGTCCTTAGCATGAATCAGTAGCGAGTGACCCTTCATCAGGTTATGGAAAATTGTCTAGATTAGTCATTGAGCAACAGCAATATCAAAATTAATGTAGAAAAAACTGGGCGGGGATGAACTTTACCCTGGCTCCAAACAAAAACTCGGTTTCAAAATTCCCCCAACCTAAACATTTTGAATTTGCGAGAGCGGGGAGCAGGGAATTCTTTCCATGTAATTATTCCGGGGAGGGGGGGGGGGGGGGCGGTTGAGGAGGGTGAATTATGATCCGAAACGTTCAGAGTTGAGTATGCAATCCACAATCTTTACGCTGGGTGGCCCCGAGGGGGGGGGGGGGGGGGGGGGGGGGCGGCTCCAAACGGCTGCGTCACTACAATATCACAACCTGTCTTTCAATACATTTATAAACACGTAATTGACTTTTGATAACAACTAGTAGATAATAGGATAACATTTCTATTATTCATCTGGCAATCAGACACTTTGATTTCAAATTATCTGCATGTTTTGTTTACACGCGTGTAATTGAACCTCAACAACACCAATTTAGATGATTATGATTCATTGTTTATAGTTATCAGATAATTGGAAATCTTATAAGCTTAATGATTGAACAATATAGCACTCAATGTTACCTGACTTTACTTACCCAAATGCACTTGATTCTTGATACTTTCAATCTGTGATAATCTCTTAGTAATTATCAGGACCAATTATTGATGGGCGTTAATGATCACCTGATAATCAAATGGCAGTTTGCTTGTAATTGTTTAGCAATAACACATTCATTAAAGGTAGTGTACCCCTTTTGCAGCCAACATCAAATTATGTAGAACTTTGCAGGAATTATGAATATGTATGTCCTATCTGTACAATTTAAACGTTAGCAGTGTCGTAGTATTCAAATAATGCAAGGAAACCCGTTTACTTTCTAGACTTCACCGTCAGACAATATTGAGTGACTGACTGATTTTTATCTTCTTTGGTAATAAAATACATAAAATGAGCTGTAAAGGGTACGTGAGCATTTGCTACATCTAAAACCCACTTCTTGTAATGGCCAAAATCAAACTGATTGATTCTTTACACAGAACAAAACGTCGACCGTTCGGTACAAGAGTCTGATAATCCGACTAATAGTGAAACGACCGCTATCGCTAAATTCGATTTTACAACTAACTGTCGTTATTTCCCCACGAAAAGACATTTTCAAGCCCTCTTGTCTTGAGGAAAGTTCTAAGTTCTAAGTTCTATTTTTTTCTTCTTCAAATGCCGTTAAAATTTAATCATTGCATTTTTGGGGCCTGCAAATGGGACATAGTACCTTTAAAGATAAAGTTAAGTGTTGGTCATGCGATTGCATTGTGAAAGAAAAAGAAAAATGGATCAGAAAAAGTTGATCATGTAGCATATAAGTATTGGTGTGTACTGCAAGGTTCTGGAGTCATCAAAATCAGAATAAATTTGGCCCAGTCTTGGTAAAGTAACAAGCACTGTACACAGAAAGGTGAATATGGGACTATGGTGTCGGGCCTACTTACCTTGATTTCCTCATCTTTCTATGCTCATTACTCAGCCAGTATAATTTTCTACCAACATTGTTAGGCTAATTACATTTTTTTTGTAATCTTGAACATTCAGTGTAAGTTTCGTTCGATTCTGTGAGAATTTATTTTTTCTTTTTTTACAAGAACTCAAGTTTATCTTTAACATCGCATCTGAATAGAACATGTCTTCAAATAGATGAAATACGATCAGGCCTGGATACGACACAATGAAACAAAACCTGCTTAAATTGATTAACCCAAAGTTCCCTATTATCTAAGCATAATAAACGGATTTCTGAGCCTTATTATAGTTGAAAGATGGCCCATTGTGATGATTCTATTTTAAAGGATGAACGTTATTTTTTTAATTTTGTTTGTACTCTTAAAAAAAAAAAAATCTTTGTTTGTGTAGTATGGCCTTGATTTAGATAAACTAATAATTGATATTGTTTATTGTGTGTTTAGCATGATAATTCCCGTTTTTCTATTCGATTGTGTATTCCAAAATAGGTTGACCAAACGTAAGCATCACAGTCACCATGTCGAGATCGAACAACGACAGGACGTCGTCGAAGCACACGAAGATGGACCGGTACACGGAGGACCTCAAGTATTCATTGCGATCTCAACTCTCCGAGTCCGTCGGTAAGGGGACACTCCGTACCGACGACATCCTCGCCCGCGGTCACCGACAAATCGTTGCCGACTTCACCGACCCCAGGCAGTGGTACTACTCGGCCACTCACGACTACGTCATCGCTCTCATGCGAGAGAGTCAGAAACAAAATGGTGGCTCGGTATGGGGAAGTGGAAGTCGAAGGCGGGATAGAGGTTCAACGACTTCAAGGCATCATCCGTCATCAGCAACACAATCAAAGGATGTACGACCAGGGAGGAAAAAGGGGTTGTTCGTCGAAATTCTTGCCACAACTTCTGACGATCTTCAAGAAATACGTGGGTCCACTGAAAAGACATCGGACACTAAACTAAAAAAGGACTATATCTCTGGTGAGGGAATAGGCTTGGAAGGCAGCGTGAGTTTAACTCAAACACAGAATTCAAAAGAGACGACGGACAATGGTGAAGACAATGAAATCGCACTTCTTGATTATGTTGCGCCAGGTAGCATCTCACCTGAGGGGAAGTCAAACATTGTAAGCAAACAGGACGCAACCGTTCCACTTCGTGTAAACAATGATCAAAACATTAGCGTGTTATCGCAAGATTGCACCGGATCCGACATACCTTCCAATACGTCTGTCGAGAAATCAAGTACTGAATACCAGGATAAATCTGTTGGAATCCATTCCAAATTTGTAACAGATATAGACAGCATGAGAGAGCCCTACGAAAATGAAGCAATAGTCGATGAATATAACGTAGCCGCCATGGAAACTTACAGGGCATCGAAACAAAGTCAAAAGTCTCGTATCCCCTCGAAGAAGCAGAAAGTTCCAGCGGCCTATTGTGACACACACAGCTATTATCCAGGGAGACTGGAATCTTTTGAACCTATGGGGAAGCGAGGCAGAGCGGGGCCTGGTCTGAAAACCCCAGTATCTCTACCTCAGATTGGGAAGAATATTCAGATCGAACAACCTGAATTCCCAAGGAAAAATCTGTATAAGGTCAGACGTGGTAGAGTTGGGAGTCGCAAACTTAGGCTGCGTCCTCTGACGGGTCTAGAGAGAGTATCCGACAAGACGGGAGACCTTCCATACGTTGAGGATTGGATCAGGAAGCTTCAAATCAATGGGAAAGATCTAGGTAGCGATAAACACCTGGAACCCATCGAACGTGTTGATGAAACATTTCCTTTCAAGTCACAACAGCGCCCGCAATTGGCCAACGCTGTGCACCAACTGATGGAGCTTCCGACTGATTTTATACCTGTGACAGGTTTTCAGCCATTTCAGCCCCACCCGAGTCTCTATTTGTACTCTTTGAAACAGAAGTCAGACCTCAATGTTAAGTTGCAGTATTTGGATATCCCCAAACCTGTCAAACAGCAAACCGATCCAGGTATTCAACAAAAACATTCCTTCAAGGATGACCTGACAAAGGTGAGATCGAAGGTGAATTACATCGAGGACAGGCTAGGGGAACTCTATAAGTCCGAGGCGAATCTGGACAGAATCGTTTCAAGGCAACAAATCAAGCCATTGAAGAAACAGAATGGCAGGTTTATTGGAATCACAACAGGAATCACCAATCGCAATCCGGACTTAAACTCGTCTGAAGAACGTCCCGTTGATCACTCTGGTGCTTGTCTACCTAAGGTTCCTGCAACAAAGGATCATGCTAGCATACCAAGAGTTGCCGATGAATACGATAAAGGACATCATTCCAAGATGAACACTATCAGCTTGGCACTATCTCCGAATGAAACACATTTTGCAACGAGGGATGATGGTCCATCAAACCCGAGTCGGAATCATTGACTCAGGGAGAAGACTTTCATGCAACATCAACGTCGTCGTGGAAACAACCGTATCCAGTATCTCCTGGAAGACAAAAGAGTGGTAGGGCCGTTGAGGGGAAAATTCTTCGCGTCTTTGACAAGCGTGGTGTGGGAAATGACGATCAATATGTAGACCACACAAACAAGGTTCTGAAGGATGATCCAGAAGAGGCCATTGCATCTGTTCAGGAATGCAATGCCTCAGGGTCAGCAATCGATCCCCCAAAACAGGAGCATCATGGTATTGAAACAGGAGACGAAGAGCTAGATGAGGAGAAGACCGGTTCCAGGTTATCAGTACTTGTGCTTGAAGTCCTCAATGATATGATGGATCGTCTTGAGTTACCAGCAGATATCAGTGATTATGGTACACTGCCAAGCAATTTCGGTGCCGGTGGGGCCTCATCAACCGAAGAAATCCCAGTTCAGATGGCTCAGGATACATCAACACTCGAAGAATCGCAAAGTCCGATTAGAGGAGATGGCAATCAAGAACCGATAAATCTAGTGCGCCTTTGTTCATTTTGCGATGAGCCACATGAACTAACCTGAAATATGGACTGTTGTTCTAAGTCAGCATCAGAGAAAGGTTTTTCTTGTTGTTTTATTTTATCTGACTGCTAAGAAAGCCTGTGTATATTTGTACGAAAGCAACCCGGGGACCGACGGCTTTAAGTTCTTTCCGAGGAACTCTTTTACCATGCATACTGCATATGAGTGGAAATATTCTTTTCATGAGCCATCTGAGGGATCAATAAAACTCCAATTATAGCGGAATCCACTCCAACCTTGTGATTGGATTACGCCTTTGAGTTTTGTTTTAACTATAATTTTTTTGCGGAAATTTCCACTCAAAAGAAAATAATGCATAATATATGTTTCAACCCTTAAAGGTATTACAAAGTTTTGGGAAGATTGACAATTGCGTGGATAGGGATTCTTTACAATTTAGATATATTTGGATCCCTTGTGGATGCATTATAAGCACTGGAAAATTTAGCCCCTAAAACACTTCTGCTTTCGAGAAAAATTGAATATAACAATTTACCGGTGCTCCCGGGAAATTTTGATAAATTTCAAATAGCGCCTATACGGCCATACAATGGTAGCTGCGACCATGAAATTTCGTAATATGTAGTTGTGATATACAATTTCTAAACGGGAATGGCCAATCGGTCAATTTTAGTCAAGAAATATTGTTTTATAGCTAAATTGATATATTGACCTTGAGATGGAGCTATACAACATAAACAGTTTATTATTCACAATTTCATCACTTTAGACTCGATTTGAACCGCGACAACGATCATTGAATATTGTAGAATCACATTTGCTTCTAATTTGTTCATTTGAACCGCATTCATGCCCCCATATTAAATCTTTGTATTACATTTAAGTTTGTTTCAAGAGAATTAATCTAAAGAAGCAGACTTATAAAAGACGCAGACCGGTGATTTTTTTTTTTACAGAATCGGACAAAAATAAGTAATGAATTACTGAAAGTTGTGTAATCATATACGTATTGGCATTTTAAATTGGCTGGATCGGTCATGTCCCTGTAATGTGGTGCCGGACAATTTTCGCATTTGTTCCAACACGCAGAATGACTAACATTTTATTTACAAAACATGTATGAATCATGACTGTATTTTTTATAGGACGTTTGATTATATGCTATCCATAACATATGTTGATTAGTGCCCCAAGGGAGAGGGCACTCAGGAGAAAAACTGAAATTAATTTTTCGACACGACAAACTGGAGAATTATCAGCTGACCAAATGGCCAATTTGAGATTCGCGAAAATGTAGTGGTCTCCTTTTTATTTTTAAACATTCACAACTTTCTTATTATTACTATTAGTCCGGTTTATTTCAAACTATTGCCATTTTATACAGTAGGCTTGTGGGTGCACCATGTGAGAGAGAGAGAGAGAGAGAGAGAGAGGGAGGATTGAGGAGTCCTAAAAAGGACTCTGACGCGTAATCTTTCTTGAGGGTTTGTTAGTCCTGAAAAGGACTGTCGGTATAGCCTTGAAAAAGACTGTTGGTTATCTTTCTTAGCTATAGTTCTAAGGAGAAGTATAGCGCTTGGAGAGTGGCGGGAGTTGGCTCGACGTTTCGAACAGGTTGACTATCCGTCGTCAGGAGTGGAGAATAGCTGGCGTGCGTGAGCTTAATATTGTCATTTTGTTTTTCTTATTTTTTCTGTTTATTGCAATGGTTGGATTACCCTTTAGAAAGTGGCCTCATAATCTACGTATAAATGCTTAGAATTAATTGCGTAACTATACTGAAAATCTAAATTTCTTGCCTATCTATAATTTTGTACAAAGTGGAGTTGCGTTCATGTAAAAGCCCTCTCACACTTCTTTGTCTCCTGAAGTATTTTCTTTTCATTTGTATTGATATTTAAATTGACTATTTCTTGCGACTTTGTAAATGTTATCTGAGAGCTTTACGTTTTCGTGTATCTTCGAGAATGTTTGTTATTATTTCCATATTTGATTTAATTTACCTCTAAACATATATTTTGTTTGTATTTCAGAATTTCATAAAGCAGAAAAATATGAGAGGGCATTTCACGTCCAGCATTCGCGACCCTTCATAGATAGTTTTCGCAAGTGCTGACTACTGGGTATTTAAATGAGCTCGCCATCCCGTACTAGCTCGACCGTACTCCCGACGCTGAATACCGTCGTATAAGCTTGGACGATACGCGGAAATTTTCGCTCTGAGTGCGACCCCCGCTAAGATTAGCGTTGTAGAAGGCCGCGTCGCCGGTTGCGAAAACTCGCCACTACTGACGCTGACGGAGCTAATAGTTTACACATTCTGTTTTCACCGACGAGGCATTAAGTAAAGGATTATAAGATTTATTTCTGTATACGACGGGGGGGGGGGGGGGGGGGGGGATCGAACAGCTTTTCATTTGTTTCCATGAACATGAATAAGAAGTTGCAGTGATTTCTGATGTAAGGAATTAATGCCTTTAACTAAAGCCAAGAGTTATTTCTTACAGTTATTTTACATCTAAAGGAAAGGAATTAAAAGAATACACATGTACGCGTTGATTTTGTTGATATTAAAAGTTAATGAGTCTGACATAAATATTAGAAATGTGAATTACTGTGACCCGCCTTGTGATAAGTCCTTCTGGTAGATAGACACAGAGAGGAGAGATAAAGAGAGAGAGAGAGAGAGAGAGGGGGGGGGGGGGCGAAGTGGGGGGGGGGGGGGAAGAGAGAGAGAGAGAAAGAGAGAGAGAGGTAGAGAGAGGGGAGGGGAGAGATAGAGAAACATACATAGAGACAGATATAGAGAAAAGGAGAGAGGAAAGAAAGAGAGATAGATAGGAAGAGAGAGGGAAAGAGAGAGTGGGGATACATATGCTGAAAGTAAGAGAGAGGGAGATAGAGAGGGGGAGAAAGCGAGAGAGAGAGAGAGAGAGAGGGGGGGGGGAGGGAAGAATGAGAGAACTCGTATGCCTGGATTACATTTGGCCTGCGATTAGTCTACGGAGCCCGTATCCTGCCCGTATCCCCTTTTCCGTGCGGCCTCTGTGCGGAGGCAGGAGGCGGCCGTGAGATTTTCGTACGGATTCACGGGCTCCGCAGCCTTTACGATTTTGTTTCGCGAGAACTTAAACAAATTTGAAAAAATCGTAAGCCCGTAGTCCGTATACATGTCGTAGGTGGCATTGCACAATCCCCGCACGGGCATCGCCCGGAGGTCTCGCACTGATTGTGCAGCAAACGTACGATTTTTCGGTGAACATAGGGACAAACAAAAATCGTACATAGATTGTAGACTCGTGGGGCATTCGCACGGCCATTGCACAGCTATCGCAAGGTTGTTGCTCGCTGCCCGTGCACTATCCGTGATATTGAGCATTCAAATTGCACGATTTCCGTACAATCTCCGAGCAGCCTCTATACGGATTTGCCCCGGCCTGCCACCGAGGGCCAATACAATAAATAGCACGATGCTCGTAGATAATGTAAACACAAACATCGTAGCCCGTAGCCTCCTACGATATCTACGAAAAATCGTAGACTAATTTATCGTACGGCGCCCGGGGCAAATGTAATCCAGGCATTAGATACCGCTTCTATTTATAAATAAATAGTAAAACCTTTGTATTAACATACACAATCTAGCGTGATGTAGGTTTAATGATTGAAGAAAGTACAAGTACATTAATGACGTGGATCGTTCAGCCCCAATACAATCATTTCTTTACACCCCCCCCCCCCGCACACTCTCTTCATCTTTAACTTATACTCTTTCTGCCTCTTTTTCATTTTCCTCATATTACTAGTCTTCCGTCCACTTTCTCTCCAATGATCAGCCCAGTTGCTTTTCTCGTTCCTTTACATTTCCTTTTCTCTTTCCCTGCCCCCTCATGTGGTGTAGTAGCAATGCACCCTCACGCATAGACATACTATAATGATATTAAAACTAATGATGATAGTGACAATAAATATAATTATAATAATATTAATCATGATAATAATTACAATACAAATAACAATAATAACAATGGCAATAGTAATAATAGTAGTAATAGCAATGCTGAATAAGAATACAAATTACGCTTTAATAATGATAAAGATAACGTGTATATAAGGTAACGTTGATTAACGAACGTAAGTGGTTAGTGTGAAGACAATATGTCTTTTTTAAAATCAGTATACAATGCCAGTTGAAAAACTATTTTTTGCTCTTGATATAATATAGACGCGGGGCGTTAAATAAGTTTATAAGATGATGACGTGGATCCTAATCAAATGATTGCGTACACGTGACCAGGCATTTATTTTGCCTAATGCGTAATTTGGATAATTACCGGTCATTAGTAAAATCATGTAATAAAACATCATTTAATATAACAAATAAAACATAATTTTATAAAACATATAATACACAGCATTTTGGTTTGGGTATTAGTAAAATTAGCCACATTCGGTACCTTCAAAATAGTCCAAACATCCTCGGCTACCGCCTCGGGCGTGTTAGACTGTTCCAAAAGTACCTTGTGTGGGTAATTCTTACTAATGCCCTAACTGCTGTGTATTATTGTATATTTAAGCATTGTTTCCTAATAGTGACATGTTTTAAAGTCCCTGGTAATGTAATGTAAACGGCTGCTTTAATACCTAAGTAGGGGTGCAACTCAACTTAAATCTCGTCACCTATAATGGACATAATTACGTCACCGAATTATACCTTCTCCTTCAAATTAGTGCTTTGAGCGTATGTAGTGGTGAAGTACGTGTGACTTCATCAAAAAACTATTGTTTTAGAATTTCTCATTTTTTTCCTTTTTTTTCAG